AGCCTGCCAAACCCAAGAAGCCTCTCAATTTCTTCAGAGTTTTGGGAACTGCCCAGTTGATAACATCTGCAATTTTCTGAGGATCAGTGGAGACTCCATGAGCTCCAATAATATCACCAAGGTAAGATAGTTGTTGTTGAGCAAAAGAACACTTGCTTAGTTTCACCTTCCACTGCTTCTGTGCTAGTAACTGAAATACTTCCCTTAGATGCAGTAAGTGGGTTTGCAGGTCTGGGCTATAAATGAGGATATCATTAAAAAATACTATAACAAACTTCCTCAAAACAGAAGATAGAATATCATTCATTGCACTCAAAAAGGTGGCTGGTGCTCCAGTTAATCCAAAGGGCATGACCTTGTATTCATAATGGCCAGGGCCAGGGTGTGTCTGAAATGCAGTTTTATACTCTTCTCCCTCAGCCAACCTGATCTGGTGATAGCCAGCTCTGAGATCCAACTTAGAAAACCACTTGGAGCCTGATAATTCATCCAAAAGTTCCTCAATGGCAGGGACTGGGTACTTACTTTTAATGGTATTACTGTTGAGTTGTCTATAATCAATACACAATCTCCAAGTACCATCTTTCTTCTTGACTAAGAGAGCTGGAGAAGAGAATTCACTTTGACTGTGTTGGATAACACCAGATTGGAGCATTTCTGTGATTTGATTCTCAATTTCATCTTTAAGTGCAGGCTTATACCTGTAAGGCCTCAAGTTAACAGGTTTAGTTCCTTCCACTAGTGGGATATGATGGTCACAATTCCTTTTTGGAGGTAAAGCAGTAGGTTCTGTGAAGATATGTTGGAATTCCTGCAATAGAGGTTGTACTGATTCTAGAATAATATTGGCTGGTGCTTGCTCGATGGTCTGTAGTTGAACCATACAGAGAACTGAACCTTGTTTAACCATTCCCTGAAGTTGATTTGATGTAATAAGACTGCAGTGATCCTTTTTGTTCACTATGCCCTGCAGCCTAATTTCTTTGCCCAGGTGCTGAAATTCCAACCATTTGTGGACCCAATCGATTTGCATTGGACTAAATTGCTCTAACCAGTCCATGCCTAAAATGATGTCGTAGGTGCCCAAGGGAATTAATCTGAAATCACCCTTGAAACTGTGTCCTTGTACACACCAATTACATTGAGAGAGAATCTTATCACAAGTAATCTGGCCCCCATCAGCAATCTGTACTTTCAGAGGAGATGATAAACATTTAAATCCCCTAATCTTTTGCGCCACTTGCTCATCAATGAAAGAGTGAGTACTTCCTCAATCAATCAACATCAAGAGCTCTGAGTTCTGAACCCACCCCTGCAACCTAATTGATTTGGATGATTCAGAACCAGTTAGTGCTTGATAAGAAATAGACATCAACATATCCTCTTCAGTTTCAACAGAATTCTCCTCACTACCTTGACTTTCTATTGAATTCTCCAGTACTTCCAATAATTCTTGTACCACATATAATTGTACAGATGTAGCACATTTGTGGTCCTTGCCCCATCTTTCTCCACAAACAAAGCACAAACCCTTGGATCTTTTGTATGACCTGAGAGCAGACAGTCTGTCCTCTCTAGCCTTAACAGATTATGCTTCTTTCCTAGCATCTTCAGCAACTGCAACTGAGTTGATAACAGGAGTGTTTGAACCAGAAGAGTGAGTCTGTCCAGCAGATGTTCTGATGTAAGAACTGTCATCTACCTTTCTGTACCCTCCAGTCTTAGTACCCCCAAGTGCCTCCTCTTGCAACAGGGCCAAAGAACAAGCTGTATCCAGGTCCTGTGGTCTCTGAAGCAAAATGGCTGATCTGATCTCATCCTTAAGGCCCTCAACAAATTTTGTCACAAAGTAGATTGGTTCAAGATTTCTGTTATAAGCAGTTAACTGGTGCATTAATGTATCAAACTTCTCCACATAATCAGACACAGAAGCAGTTTGAACAATATGAATCCATTGTCTTATCAACGCCTGGTGATGGTCCCTGGTGAACCTAGAGCACACTTGCTCACAAAATTCCACCCAAGTAATACCCAACAGAGTGGCGAATTGACTGTAACCAAAAAGCGGCATTCCTAGAAAAATTCAGAGTGGCTACTTTAACCCAATTGCGGGGATGAATTCCATAGACATCAAAATATTGTTCACAGTTTGCCTTCCACATTTGAGGATTCTCCCCGGTGAACTGAGGGAAAGTCATGGGTGGCACCGCCCCACTCAATTCACTCCAACCAGACCCATCCCCAAACTCTGGTGAAGCGGAACCAGGAGAACCATCAAGAGAATTAAATTGGGGATCGCGTTTACCTTGCAAGAATTGGGTCGATGTCGAGCGGTTGATGCTGAATTGCTCATTCTTGATCTTGCGAGAGGCACCTCCCCTGGCCTGCTGCATCACCGTGTCCTCTAGGTGCTCAACCTTGTCACTCAACGAGATAAGTGCCGTGTTAAGATCCTCAACTTTCTTCTCCACCTCCGGGATCTTGGCTTCCACGATCTTCTTCAGCTCCAAGTACTCGGCCCTTGTCCTCTCATCCGCCGCCTCCCTCTTCTTCTCATTCTCCGCGATCGTCTTCATCAACAACTCGAACTGGTTGGATTGCGCCATGCTTCCAGTGTATCTCTCACGCTGGTGGATCGAACCACTAAAACTCTCCCCGAATCTAGCAAACCAGAAGAAGGCAAGTTTCCTTTTCGCGGGCCGATCCGAAGATCACGCAATCCTTCTCTGGAATTTTACCGCCTGATCAAGGGATTGCGAGTTTAGTGCGGCTCTGATACCAAGTTGTGAGATCTAGTGAGAAAATTGGAAAGAATTTGAGAGGAATCGGTAGTTGCTTGTATTGAAAGGAAGAAACACGATACAAGTTCTCGATCCAGCAGGATCAAGCCTCCGCCGCCATCGCCACCAACCGTGTTCTACCAGCCTACCGAAACCTTCTCCTCGTTGTTCTATTTGTTACAGAGTTTAGCCAGAATTCAGCCAGCTCACGCAACGCCAACTCACGCACGCCTCTACCTGTCGATCACGTGCACGCGCCCTCCCTCGTTGTCCCATTCTGGGCTGCAATACTTGAGGTTCTTCTTCCTGGACCGAACTGGGCCTGATCTTCCCTGCCTCGGTTGAGTCTGGCTTGGCTCCCTCCCCTGTAGCTCATCCAGCAACGTCTTGTCTTCATTGTTCTTCAGGGAGGGTTCGTCAGCCTTTACCAAAGGATGGCTTACAAGTCCTCCGCCGCCTCGCAATGGCCGGCCTAGCCGACGGCCGCTGTCCGACCAACGGCCGAAGGTGGAATCCGGGGAGGAGGGACCGGCCAGCACCCGCACCGCCACCACCACCATCCACTCGCTCGGCGAGGATCTCCTGCTCGCCTTCCTCCGCCTCCCGTCTCTTGCGGTGCTCGTCCGCGCCGCCCTCGCCTGCCGCGCGTGGCGCCGCGTCGCCGGCCTTCCGCGCCCGCTTCCGCGCAACCCACCGGGCGCCATTCCTCGGCCTCTTCTTCGCGCCCTCCGCCCCGCGACCGGGACATGGCCGCCGCCGTCCGTGGCGGCGACTTCTTCCTCACCTCCCTGCAACCGGGACATGGCCGCCGCCGTCCGTGGCGGCGACTTCTTCCTCACCTCCCTGCAAGATCGCCCCCCACGACGAGCAGCAATGCAGATCTGCGGCGGCTACTGCCTGCTCATGAATTGGGATGATGGGTTGTTCGCGGTGCTGAACCCATTGATGCGGACAACACCGGGGAGTGGTCGTCTCTGCCATGGGTGGACATCCCAGAACCTGTCAGGTCAGATGACACTAGCTGCTGGCTTCTGAATTATGGGTCTACGAGAATCGGAGGTATGTGCTTTCGCTTGACACCGCCACAATGGCATTCTCCGCTGTTCAGCTTCCGCAGTGCCCGAGACATTGTTCTTTTGATGTTGGCGAAACAAAGGATGGCGCGATCTGCATCGTTTACGCGCATCAATTGAATGTCAGCGTTCTGATGCACACCAAGGGTGATGATGGTGCTGCTGAGAGATGGGTGATGGACAGGTAGTTCCCTTGGACAAGGAGCTCGAACGAGTCCTTCGAGCCCCGCTGCGTGACGGCAGTGTACTGATGCATTTTAGTGGATGACCCCAGACAGGTGTTTGTGTTAGCTGTCCGCGACAGCTACGCGTATTTAGCAACATCTCCGATGTTCCATGATCCCCAATCTCCTTGTTGGTTCCTGTTCCTATGTTTGGAAACGATGAAACTGGAAAGGCTGTTTCGCAGGACATTTGACAATGATGTTCAGCCGTACATCATGGCATGACCTCCTTCTTTAGTCGGTAACTATGGGAGGTTTGCAGTTGAAGAGGCTCCATGAAATGCAGTACTCCTTGGTCATTGGGCATTAGAAGAAAATGAGCAGAATCTATGAACCACACTGCCTTGCTCGTGATTAAATCGAAATGCTGAAGAGATACTAGAAATTGATTTTTTTTTTTTGCCGGGTTGGCCGAAAGAAAGGGCGACCAAATTTCATTAAGATTGGGTGTGTGTACAAATACTAGAAATTGATTTAGTTTGAAGCTGTATCAAACTGAAGAATCTAGTCAAGTTGCATGATGTTCATCCTTTGTTGTTGGTCTTACACTATTTTTTTTTAACCTTATGTTTATCTGTTAGTGTAGAAGTCACCTAGAGCTTTTCTGATTTAGTGTAGGAGTTCTGAACCTGCTCTTTTAGGATGTCAACTGGGTTTACTTTTTGGCATTCCAGTATGGTATTATTGTTCTATTTTGTATGCCAATCGGATGCATAGTTAGCAATTTATACAGATAATGTTCCTAGACTGTATGATTAGCAGGTCTTCAGACTGGATTGAAGGAAAAGAGAAATTACAAAACACACACACACACACACACTTTCTTGGCCATTTATAGTTGTCACCTAGCTGTCATACAGCGACAGCATGATTAGCATGAGTCATTAGCTCTATAATAGTATTGCAATGTCGGATCAGCTGGGTGTTATCCAATCTTGGGTAACTCCAACGAATGAAGATTCCACTCTATTTTGAGTTGATCAAGTTGAAAATTTGTACTGCTTCCAAATGTTTGTTTCGAAAAAAAAATGCTTGTCACATAGTTGAGTAGCGTCATCTCAAATGCCACATACATGAGTGACAAATTTGCTGATTTTACACAAAGTGTAAGTTCCTTGACTACATTGTCACTGCACTGAACAATCTTATTCTATCCTGACTATAAAAAATTGCAATGGCCATGCTGCCCTTGATCAAAAAATAAAAAATTGCAATGCAACATTCATGTCGTGATTGCTCATTGTTGTCCATTTTATTTTATTTTTATTTTTGGCTTATGATCAAGGAGAAATCCTCGGCTCGATTTCGATGGGCAGACCGTGCAGCGGCGTCGGCATGGGGTCCCTCGCGAAGGTGTCCTCCTTGCAGCAGAGCTTCCACCTGAACTTCCTGACAAGATGGTGCATCATCACCAGCGTCTCGATCCTCGCGAACTCTATCCCGGGGCAGATCCTCGGCCCGCCGCCGAACGCCACGTACGAGCACGGCGGCGCCGCCTTCGCCGTCGACGGAGAAGACGACTGGCTGTCGAAGCGCGACGGCAAGAACTTGTCCGGGTCGTGGAAGATGGCCGCGTCCATGTGCGTCACGCTCGCCACCCAGAACACCTGCCACCCTTTGGGGATGACGTAGCCGTCGAGCTCGATGTCCTCGAGCGCCCTCCTGAAGTTGCCGAAGATGGGTGGCACCATGCGGAGCGTCTCCTGCGCGACGCGCCATGTCAGCTTCATCCTCGTCAGGTCCTCCCATGTCAGCGCCTCGCCGTCGCGCTTGCTCCTCGCGATCTCCTCGTGCTCTGTCCATGGCGTTGTCACTTGTCAGGGGGGATTCGATCTTGGGCAAATGGAAATGGTGATGTGTGACAGTGTGAGTTTCTTGCCTTGGACCATGGCGGCGAGGGTGTCAGGGTCGTTGGCGAGGTGGCGGACCATGAAGGTCATGAGGATGGAGGAGGTGTCGTGGCCGGCGACGAGGGCGACCATGGCGGTGTCGACGATCTCCTCCTCGGACAGCAGCGGCGCGCCGCCGCGGTCGTCGGTGAGGCTGAGCAGGCAGGCGATGAGGTCGCTGCTCCGCGTGGCCGCGCCGCGCTCCAGCGCGGCCTTCCTCTCCCGCGTGATCCCGGCGAGCAGCCGGCGGGCGCGGGCGGCGGCCCTGAGGCTCCGCCTGAACGCCGTGAACGGCAGGTCCACCGGCACGGCCCACATGCCCCCCATCACGCGCTCGAAGTCGCCGGCGAGCGCGTCTCGCGCGGCGGCGCCGGGCCCCAGGCCGAAGAGCAGGGAGGCGATGATGTCGAACGTCAGCCGCTTCATCAGCGGCATCACCGTGACGGCGGCGCGCCCGGACCAGCAGCCCGCGACGTGGCGCCGCGCCTCGCCGTCGATCTTGCCCACGTACATCCGCAGCATCTCCGGGCGGAGGAACTCCGACAGCGCGCCGCGGACGCGCCGGTGGTCGGCGCCGACGAGGTCCAGGATGCTCCTGTCGCCCAGTATCCGCTGCACCGACCTCGGCTGCTGCAGGGCCAGCGCGCCGCTGAAGAAGACGAACCGGTTCGCCGCGGCGCCGGCGACCAGCACCGTCGGCTTGCCGAACAGCGACAGCTTCGACACCGCGCCGTACCTGTCGATCCGGCGCCGCACCCACCGCTCGCCGGAGTTGCTGCGCATCGCGCGGAGGAGGCCGAGGCTCTGCCCGATCACCGGCAGGCCGAGGGAGCCCGGCGGCAGCTTCTTGGCCGCCGGCGATCGCCGTTTCTTGGTGGCGCCCCGCGCCAAGAAATGGACGAACACGCATGATGATGCCACGGCGATCAATGCTACGACCAAAGAAAACTCCATTGTTGGAGATTTGAGATACGATTACTAGTGTTGGATACCAATGATAGCTATGCCTTTTTCCCCTTTAATTTTGCGTGTTCTAAAGAGCCCTAAGCTGAAATTGCAAACGAAAGAAAAACTTCGTATTGACAAGCATGTATATATATTAGGGTCTTACACAATAAGCTGAAGGTTTGTTTGTTGATTTTTCAAGTCAATTAGTGGTAGCTGAATATTTGCATCTTCGAGGATCTTGCAAGCTCCAACATGCCTGTGCGAGAAGACAAAACCGCTCCAAGATCCATTGCATTTTTTTCTCTTTTTATTATGACAAACAAGTATTTTCACGAATAAACAAGTAGTAGCGAATCTGTTACCCGTTTGAGCCTAATTTATTGTCAAGGAGATAAACCGAGTTTGAGAGTTGCCAACTTTGAGATATTGAGGACTTTTTTTTTTGACTGGGATATCGGGGACATCTTCTCTTCAACAACTCAAAACGATAATCTTTTTGTTTTCCGTTAGCACATTTCCCGAACAACTATGCGGTACAGAGTTTTGTAGAAATTTTCTTACATAAGTTTTAAAAAATCAAATAAATCTATATTTTAAATCTATAATAGTTAATATATAATTAATTATACCATTATCTAAAAAAATATAATTAATTATACGATAATGATTGGTCTAATTTTCCTAGCCACAAACAGCTCCAGCAGAACTGCACATTGGAACTGTGCCTAGACTGCATCCGACGGCGGCACCCTAGGATCGGCAGCCGCCGGCTGCGTGAGTGCGTGGTTGCAGCCTTTCAGGAATCAGGACCCATTTGGAATGCTGAAAAATCTCCCCGTCCCTGCGGGAATCGAACTGTTCCATGTCAAAATTAAATTCCTTGCGAAACTAACGGAGCCATTTTCGCTTATTCATGGAATAAGCCAAACAGAATATTTACAAACAAAAAATAATGTATAAATAAAATTTTTATATACGTGTTCTTAGTAATCTAAAAGCAAAAGCTGAAAAATAAACTTCAATAAAATAACCACAAATCAACTTTAAATTTAAGGTTAAAAATTTAAATTTTGACTGATAAGTATAAACATAAGTGAAAAGATGAGGTACTGCTCTTCGCTCCACAGTCACCGTCCTTGTCCATTTCGTGAGATTTTTCTCTACGTTTTTCCATATCGAAATGCGTGCTTAGATTTCTCTCCCTTCCTCGAAGATGACCCCCATGGACTTTCAGAACATGCCATTCTGTGTTGAGTGTCCCATTCCCGTTTACCATGATTTGAAGGTTTACCAGATTTCTCGGCTCATCCTTTGCGCAAAGAATAAAAACAAAAGAGAACATGGCCGATCATGCACAATTGCTTGCACAAATGATTCTTTTGTTCCTGTTGATCGACAGTGCGGCATAGAGAATTAATTTGTCTCTGTACCTCCCAGTTTAAGACAATGTGTTTGCTGGCTTAAGAGCTACAAGTTGGGGTAGTTGATGTTGGCTTGGCATTCTCTAGTAATTTCACATACTTTATACTAAACTGGTCCCATCACGTGGCTTGGAAGTTGAATTACTATTTCATCTGTCTCAATATAAATACAACCTATTACTTATATGATATATTCTATTCTAGTGGTACGAATCTAGACAAACAGTTGTTCAGATCTACAGTGATAGGATATGTCACATATGAAGGGTCATATCTAATAAATTCACTACTGCAAAAAGACTATAGGTATCGGTTGGAAAACCCCCATTGGTGCCGGTTTTCGCAACCGGTACCTTTGAGGTTGTCTCAAAGGTGCCGGTTTAGGAACCAACACCTTTGAGGTTCCATGAATAAAAAAAAGTCACCCAACTTCACAAACATTTCGGCATCAAGAACATCAACACAAACACAAAACACAAAGAAGATGGACGACGACCTCCGTGGAGACGAGCAGCACGTCAGAAGGCGCCACCCGCCGCCTCCCCCCCCATCAGATCTGGCGGAGGGGAGGGCGCCGTCCGCCGCTCCTGTCGCCTCTCCTCCCGTTGGATTGGGTAGGGTGGAGGGCGCCGCTCGCCGCTAGCGCCTCCCCACTCGCCGGGTCTAGCAGAGGGGAGGGCGCCGCACGCCACTGCCGTCGCCTCCTTGGTGGGGGAAGAAGGAGGGCGCCGCATGCCGCTGCCGCCTCACCTCCCGCCTTCGCTCGTTGCTCCCGCTACCGCACGTCACTGTCGTCGCCTCACCTCCCGCTGCCGCAGCCTCTCCTCCCACCATCACACGCCGCTGCACCGACAGCCAACACAGAGAGAGAGGAACCGAGAGAGGGGGGGAGAGGATGCGGTGTAGACTGGAAGGGATAAGGATATGGATGGTGCGCACCTGTCGGCTCGGCTCCATATAGGGGTGTCGGTTTCTTTTAATAGGTATCGGTTTTTTAAAAGAACCGACATGTTTTTTAAAAGAACCAACACCTATATTTATACTATAGGTGTCAGCTCTTTTAAATAAATCGCTACCTATAGTATTAGTACTGGTTTTTCTCTAAAACCGACACCTATAATATAAGTATAGGTTTCAGTCTTTTAAAAAACCGACCCATATAGTATTGGTATATGTTTTTTTTTCCAGAACCGATACCTATAGTGTTTAAAGGTACCCGTTCTGTATTTTTTCATCATGTGGAAGTAGGAAAAGGCCGGCACCTATACGACCGGTCCTTTTTGCATTAGTGATTGAGGCCCTGCCCAAAATATACAATAAGGCTTTATCTTTAGAAAATAGTAATTGTATAATAGATCATGGCTATATACTACTACCTCCGTCCTAAGTTAGTGGTCGTTTTGATTTTTTTTGCATTAGTGATTGAGGCCCCGTCCAAAATATACAATAAGGCTTTATCTTTAGAAAATAGTAATTGCATAATAGATCATGGCTATATACTATTACCTCCGTCCTAAGTTAGTGGTCGTTTTGACTTTTTTTGCATTAGTGATTGAGGCCCTGTCCAAAATATACAATAAGGCTTTATCTTTAGAAAATAGTAATTGCATAATAGATCATAGCTATATACTACTACCTCTGTCCTAAGTTAGTGGTCGTTTTGACTTTTTGCTTGCAACGTTTGACCATTCGTCTTATTTGAAAAATTAGTGCAAATATAAAAAATGATAACTGTTATACTTAAAGTACTTTTAATAATAAAGCAAGTCACAAATAAAATAAATAATTATTCCATAATTTTCTAAATAAGACGAATGGTCAAACGTTACAAACAAAAACTCAAAGCGAAAGTATTTTGGTACGGAGGTAGTATTGTTTATAATACATTGGGATGAATTTCTATTACCACTGATTTTTTTTCTTCGTCTGTACAGCCTTTCAACCATACTTGAAAAGCTAGCATCAATCTAATACTCATTTCTTAAGCTATGTCCTACTAGTATCAAACAAACAAGAATTATTCGAAGCTCACCCACCTACATATGCAGTGGCATTCCGCCTAAGTAGAACAAGAATTGTCGCAACAATTCAGTTTTTTCTTACTAAATGGAAAAAAATGTAATCTTTATTGCTTAGAAAACACGTTCACATTATCGTCATGTACTACCGTTCTTTGATGTGGTTATAATTATCATCGAACACTTGTCAGAGTTGAGAAAAATACAGCTCGTTCTAGCCAATTCAGTGACGTAGAAAAAATGAAATATGAAAAAAATAATAATCTAGAGATCATAAATATATCGGAACATATTAAATTGAATTGAAATGCATAATTGTTAGGACCCTGTACGGTCGCACGTGCTTAGGGATGGCCTTGCTTGTTCTAATGCGGCGAGGCCACACTTTCTTTACTCCGTGGGTCTATATATCATACGCTCATTCTCTAATCAAACATTACCTCACTTGGAGTAGCATTTTGTGTATCGTGTCACACTTGGTAAGTTATTGCTTAGAAAACATGTTCACATTATCGCCGTGGACTATAGTTCTTTGTTGTGGTTATAGTTACCATCGAACACTTGTTAGGGTTGAGAAAAATACAACAAGTAATTTAGTGAAGTAGAAAAGGTGAAATATAAAAAAAATAAAAGGAATCTAAAGATCATAAATATATCGGAACATATTAAATTAAATTAAATGCATAATTTCGCTTGCTTGTCTTAATATGGCAAGTCACACTTTCTTACTCCATGGATCTATGTGTCATACGCTCATTCTCTAATCAAACATTATTACATCACTTGGAGTAACATTTTGTGTGTCATGTCACACTTGGTAAGTTGAGTTGTGACGAGGTAAGGCAAGAAGCCAAGAACCAACAGGCCCTAGATTTCTTGGGGTAGGCCAACCTGGTTTTGGGCCCAAACCAACGTTCCGACTTCCGACAAGGTTGGGCTGGGCTGGTTCTGCTACCCCAACATGGGCCTAGAAAGTTCCGCCACCTTCTCTGGCTCGAGCCGGCGAGCTAGTGCGCAGCCTTGTGCCGGCCTCCCGGCGGCGGCGCCGGCGGCGCCGACGGCGTGCCGGCTGACAGCTCCACTTCCTGCATCCCGGCATGCCGCCTACACTTGCAAACCGCTTCAGCAGCAGCAGCAGCAGCAGCAGTCAGGTACTTCACTATCTCTCTCTGGTGTGTTGGATTCTTGATTTCTACTGGCTTGCAATTGGTTGGTGAAATCAAACGTTGTTTGATTTGTTAATTGTGGGGATAAGTGAGCTGTGATGGCGCAGATGCGATAGGGAGAGTCAGGTTGCGGATTGATGAGCAGTGGTTTCACTGCTCAAAATCAGTACAACAGTGAACAACTGAACAATGGTCTCCTTGACCTAGGGATTGCTGATTTCGTTCCGTGGACAAACTATATTATTAAATCAAATCTGTATTTGTGATGTGATCTCGAAATCCATATTTCTGGAGTCTATTTTTCCGTATACTTTTTCCTTTTGTTGTTCTTGGAAGTTGACCATGATGAATTTTCAGAATATGTTATCTGACATGTCGTTTTCCTTTCCTTTTTTTTTTTTTGCCATTTTTTCAGGATCAACGTGGCCCTCAAGTTCATTATCGTGTGTCCTCCTGATAATGACAGATGGTGCCAAAATCGTTAAAAGAAAGTGGTTATTGCTGTATTAGGGGATGAATATTCTGCTTATGATAAATTCTAAGGTATTGTTCTGTATTGCAGGGCCATTCCATTTTCAGAAGAATTGAAGCTACAGTAATTTTGTCTTCGTGTGCACAGGTACATACATAAAACTGGAGCCAACCTTCCCTGCTACGTATGCAATCCGCTTCTATATAGTTTTTCAATTGTATAACTATTTTTCCTGGCTCATATTCTTAATAACATTAAAATAAAAAGATAGCTGTGCTGTGTACATGGCCTGTGCCAAGGCAATTACCCCTCTGTCCCACAAAAACCAAACCTAAGATGAGAGGGTACATAATCTAGTATAACAAATCTAGACACTAAGTTAAGTTTTTTGGGACGGAGGGAGTAGACCTTAAGATCGCATAGTGGGCTTCCTTGCAGAGAAAACTCTCTAGTACTTGTTGATCGAGAGTCCTGCAATCACGCAAAGAATTAAAAACTAGAATATATTGTTCAAGTGTCTCATCATTACATAGGACATGAATAGTTTCCTTAGTAATGACCAAATTGTTGTCACCAGATCTTTTCCTTTGCTTGATTCGTAAAATTTAGTGCTGCGGTATGTAAACACTCTCCAAGCACGAGCAAACAATAGTATATTTTTTCTGCCTAATACTATATCCAAAGAAATATTCTGTTCATCTCTTTCTTTTCAAGTCTATGTACTTCCCTTTTTAGATTTTTTTTTTAGGGAATTCGTTTTTCTGTATTTCATTTGAGGGAGAAATGTGATTCTTTGATTAGCATAGATGCAGAAATTCCATTGCTAGCGTAATTTCTTTTTAATTTCACAAGTTGATGTTGAATTGGCTTCCATTTATTTTCAGCAATTCACATATCTCGTGCTAAGCTGCTCCTATCATGTGGCTAGGGATGGAATTGTTTACTTATAAACTGATATTTTAAGTTATCATGAATCAAACTCAATTGCTCTGATGACGATGAAGGTTGTTAATGTAATCTTATATTCTTATACTGTGTCTTCTCATTCCCTTCCATCAGTTTGCATTCTTTGCCTTGGCCTATGCTTTGGTCACTTTTGTTCTATGACTTTTGAGAAAGTAATATATTGAGGTGGGTCACCTAGGTGTTTGAGTTTAAAAGAAAACATCAAATTTGTTGAATCATACTCCCCTATATATCATGGAGAAAGGAACAGCTCTGTTTTACCCATATATATGTATACAGATCCACAAGCTGATCGTCCAACCTGCATAGTGCATAACAACATTCCATGTCAATGGATTCATCCATGCCTTTTGCTCTGCTGCTTGCCTTGTTCATACCCATCCTCCTCCACCTTGTCACCAGGCACAAGTACTCATCTGATAATCTCCCTCCAGGTTCCCTTGGCTTCCCATTGATCGGCCAAAGCATCTCCCTACTTCGTGCCCTCCGCAGTAATACTGATTACCAGTGGTACCAGGACAGGATCAAGAAGTATGGTCCTGTGTCCAAGATGTCAGTGTTTGGCTCACCAACAGTGCTGATGGCTGGCCCTGCATCCAATCACTTTGTTTTCAGCAACCAGGACCTCATTTTCACCCAGACAAAGGCGATCAACGTCCTTATCGGGTGTTCCATAATGACACTCTCAGGTGACGAGCTAAAGCAAGTCCGCAGTGCACTGCAGGGCTATCTGAGTCCGGAGATGGTGACAAAATATGTCTGGAAGATGGATGAGGAAGTAAGGAGGCACATTGACCTGAATTGGGTTGGTCATAAGACTATCAAGGTATTAACATTGTGTTTTTTTTCCTTTTTTGGCTTAATCTTCTTTGAATTCTACATCCTTATGTATATTAAAACTACTTTCATGTTATGTATATATATGTATATGTGTGGCACTTTTGTGATTATAGGTCGCACCGTTGGCGAAGAGGCTCACCTTTAATATCATCTCCTCAGTCATGTTTGGACAAGGGGCAGCTCCTTTCAGAGAAGCCCTTGCAATAGATTTTGAGAAAGTGGTGAGGGCTGCGTTGTCGATTCCAGTGAATATACCCTTCACCAAGTTCAACAAGGGCTTGAGTGCGAGCCGGAGGATTAGGAAGTTGCTCAGGCAGATTGCTCACGAGAGGGAAGCAGCATTTCAGCAAGGCTATTGCAGTTCAGCTGATGATTTCTTTACATACATGCTTGCTTTACGCTCCGAAGGAAAACACTCTCTCACAGTGGAGGACATTGTGGACAATGCAATCTTACTCCTGATTGCCGGTTATGAGACGTCATCTGTTCTTATCACCTTCTTGATCCGACAGCTAGCCAATGAGCCGGACATCCTTGGCAAGATAACTGATGGTGAGCAACTAGTACTCTGTATTTGTATTTGGTATTCAAATCTTCTGTGCAACATTGCTATCATTTCTACTTATGCTGAACCGCAGAACAAGAGGAGATCGCTAGGAACAAAGGACCTAACAAGCCTTTGACCTGGAATGATGTTTCAAGGATGAAGTACACTTGGAAGGTGGCAATGGAGACGCTACGGACAGTTCCTGCACTTCTAGGAAGCTTCCGAACAGCTACCAAAGACATCGAGTACCGGGGCTATCACATTCCAAAAGGCTGGCAAGTATGTATATTTCTGTCGACTAATTCCGTTCTCTGCCATTGGATATCTTGACAATAGTGTGTCAGTGATACATCTATATCTGAAAACTATACCCAACTCTTGTATATTCTTTTTATTGATCCCCCACACATTTTTCTCTGCTATGCCAGATCTTCACTGCACAAATTGTCACACATTTGGACACTAATTTTTTCGACGAGCCAAGCAAGTTTGACCCTTCTAGATTTGATAACCTGTCTTCGATCCCACCCTATTGCTTTGTTCCATTTGGGGGAGGTCCAAGAATGTGCCCCGGAAACGAGTTTGCGAGGACTGAGACATCGGTAGCTATGCACTACCTAGTGAGACAGTTCAGGTGGAAATTGTGCTGCAAAGAAGGTTACAGGAAAGATGCTACTCCGATGCCTGTTCTTGGACTCCCAATTGAACTTGAGACCAGAAGTGCCCCCTGATTATGCTCATGCTTAAAATGATTCATATGTTTTTTGTGTATTAGCATGCATTTCACTTTCTCAGTTTATGCTTTAAGAGTTGGACTGTTATAGATGTAATGGTATTCAGCTTATAATTAAAAGAGGTCTACGGTTTGTGCCATTAGGTCAATCAGCCAGCTCTGGCTAGTTTATCTGGTATGCAAAGAGCCAGAGCTGGCTGATTGACCTAATGGCACATTATAGACATTTTTTAATTATAAAGGGATAATGCAAAATTACCCATTAGAAAAGGCAAGAGTAAACAAAATCGCGGCAAACAATACTACTACTTGTCTTCGCCCTGTTGAAACTGAAGTGAAAACCAATCCAATCTTTCTAATGGGGCAGTCCTACATATTACTCCAGGTTAATCTTCTTCCTTTGAGTGGGAATTCAATTAGTCCCAATTGACTAAATGGCTTCACTAAAAAGAAATATATCATTTGAATCCCCTCCTAGCATGTTCCTGTCTTCTGGAGCCTTGATAAAATTAAAATCCCCCATGATTAATCAATCAATTTTATCATCCATTTGAATATTCTTGAACCAGTTTAGAAATTCCTCTTTTTTGTTTGGAGTACATGGACCATACATATTGGTTAAAATCCAAGATTGTTCGTTAAGAAGGGAAGTGAAGGCAATAGAAATTGCAAAATCATTGTTGAAAGAAAGGACACCATCAAAATGATTTATATCCCAAGCTACCAGTAAACCACCAGATGCACCTACTGATGGTAGGAATTCAAATTGTTTATATTTCTCGGGAAACAATTCCTGTGATATTATTGATCCAAAAATTCCCTTTTTTTTCTTGCACAGATGATGGAGCTACCAACTTTCATCTACTTTGTTTCTTAGAGCTTTCCATTTGCTAGGAGCATTCATTTCCCTTATATTCCAAATTCAAAATTTTCCATTGCCCATTCATGATATAACAAGATGGTAAAAGAGAACTGAAGCCGAGGCAACCAGCTGCACTGCAAGCACCCTGAGAGCAGGACCAGAGGATGTTGGTCTCGATGACATAAACGGATTTATAAAAGAAGAGCATGAATCTTGGTTACTGGAGTCAAGTAGACTCATAAGCATGAATCTCTTCTTCCTGCTCTCAGAATATTTACTAACAAGTCGGAGTCAGAATATTACAGGCTTATGAGTCTGAAAACAAGTCTGTCCAAAAATAATACTCCCTCTATCCGTTTACGTTTGACGTTGGTTAGCTCAAAGACGAAGTAACTAACATCAAACATTTGTGGAAGGAGGTAGTACATTATTTGGTAGCAATGTTCTTTTGAAAAATCTTGTTCTGGTTGCTAACATTCTTTTTATTTGGCTTCTTTTTGTTCAGGTTTTTAGTAGTCACCTCCTCATGAAGGACTCTGCAGAAATCAACACAGAGATTGCGTATCACTTTCTCATTTAACACCGGAGGAATTGCATTACAGGCCAAACAAGTGCTCTTCTTGTAGTCAAAATGTTTAAATCGGCATCTTTTTTATCTTCCTATCTTTGAAATGTAGCACAGAAGTTGTCACTAGATGCCGAGGTACACTTGATCCTGCCCTTCTATGCTCTGGAGACAAGTTGAGCTCAGGCTGAGTTTCAGTGACTTGAGTCAAAACTACAACATATTTGTCCTGTTCCTGTAACTCTTTCTCAAGCTCCAGAATGTGTTGTGGCTGTTCTTCTTCCAAGGAGAGAATTTGAGCAGTCAGAGAGGAGCATTGTGTTGGTAGTTTGAACTGAAATGGATGTGAGTCATGAAATTCCAGGTAGCAGACTGCAGAGTAACCTTGGCCCACTTAAATTCATCGGGAGAAAGGAGCACATCAGTGAAGAAATCGGGCAATTTATGTGGTATATCAACTGTTGGGCTAGAGGAACCATCTGGCCCAGTCGAAATGCTTGGCCCATAGGTTTGAACTCACATATGCCATGAAGCAAGGACATCGGTTTGTGCAGCATAGGAGTATAGGACATATGCCATGAAGCCTATCGTACTACTTCGTCCCATAATAATTGTATTTCTACCATTCAAAGTTTGTCAAAATATATATATATATTTATGATAAGATGGGACATAACAAATAAAATGTGTACCCCAACCTTCCTTTTAATTAAGTTTACATATAAAATGTGTTTCTCGACCTTTCTTTTAATCGAGTATATATATGGAATATGCGTATGCAGCGCAGTTATTAAATAAGGTTATTATCGTAAATTGTCTTTTCTACTAATCTAACTCTAATTTCCTTAAAAATACAATTATTATGGGTCAGAGGTAGTACTACTTTTCTGATAGTGGAATAATATCAGGGCTTTGCTTCTAAGAAATTACAGCCACTTATTACAGAGTCAGCTAATCAAAGAGCAAATAAAATTCAGGAATTGAAAGTGCAAAGACGAGCGCGGAGTGATACCGGAGACCAGGATATTATGGTGGGCATATGCTCTGTTTCCATGGAGAGGTAATTGGGAAAATTTTGATCTGTTTGTTCCGCTAACTTGTCGTGGTGATGAGAACATGTTGTGAGTGATGTGAAATATGATGACTCTCGACAGTTCAGACACTGGTTCAGCTAAAGTACTACTGGACCAAATTATCCCTGCAATTGTGACATATCCTGGAGAGTGGAGACCTGAACTGAATTCGATCATGGCCATACATGAAAGGGGATACCAATTCTGAAGATTACTAATCAAGCTACATTGCCATTAATTTCGACTCCTTCGTTGTTGTTGATCTCTTCATCCTCTTGTCTTGCCCGTGTTGCCAAACACTAATCACATTTGATCAAAAATGCTTGGGTGCACACTTTGGTCCTCTGATTAGTGCCTCCTCTTCGTCCTAATTAGTCACTCATATAAAATTAGAAGAGACTAGTATAAGATAAGAGGGTACTCCGGCGGTCTGGTCCATTTGCGCGAGCTGGTCAGATAGGATTTGTTAAATACTCACTTTAACTTGTATTACTATATATGAAATTATATTTTGTATATAATAGGGTTGGATATACAAACCTTATCATTTGTTTCTATATATACAATTTACAGTTGTACCATTGCGATCAATCAATACTATTATAATTTAGTGGTGCCACTGTTATGATCACTACCGTAGCAGCATTTTTGCCACGCTCACTAGTTTCTATACCAAATCACGGTTCTTGCTGTTGTCTTGCAATAGCATTGCTAGGCAACAGAGCAAAGTCCAGATAGCCTGGTCATGTACTCTCTTGGGCTGGTATGTTAAGTTGAGTACATACTGGTCCAGTAAGACGATGTTACATGAACCAGTTTATTTTTTTACCACATCTCAAATAGCTCCATCATAGGGCCAAAACTAGATGGGGATGAAATGGGATTCTGCATTTCTGAATCAGTTTTGCAAACTCTGCATGATGGAGCTACAAATCATGGATACATATCCCCTTGTTTTTTGAACAACACAATCATCCCAAATTATTCAACCTCTGACTACATGTGGGACCCCTGCACCGGCGCCCCCCGCCGGCCAGCCTTCGTGCACCGAAGACTATGCCACACCCACCAGCATCTCCTCCTTGCACTAGGGTCGCCTCCTCCACCGCCAGCCGCGCCTCTCGTGCCAAACCAGCCTCCTCCACCGAACGCGCCTCTCGCGCCAATCCGGCCTCCCTCCATCTGCCGCGCCTCTCACGCCAAGCCAGCCTCCATCTCCGCCGCCCGTGCCTCTCGCGCCGAGCCGGCCTCCGCTGCCATTGGCTGCGCCTCTCTGCGCTAAGCCGGTCTCCGACCCCTCCTCCGTACTCTCCCGCACCGGCCAGATGCAGCCGTCTACCACGCCCTCGGCTAGCCAATCGAGGCCACCATGTCACCTCCCACCACCACCACAGCCGTTGCTGCCGACGGCCACCTCGCCGCCGGCCAGCCGCAGCCCCATCACCTCGTCCAGCCGCTACCGCAAACGTCGCCACAAGCTCCACGTCGCTGCCTCCGCCGCGAGAGCCCCAATGCCACAGCAGCCGACAGCCGCCAATGCCGTCGACCAGCCACAGTGTTGTCGCCGCCGACAAGCCGTTGTTGCCACCATCGCCATGAACTCCGCGTCGTTGCCACAGTCGCCGTTGCCCCGTGCTCCCGCGCCGTTGCCGCCGCCGACATCGCCGCGAGCTCCGCGGTGCCGCCACCGCCGCGAGCTTGCCACGCACCGGATCCGCCCTCGGGGGGGCGGAGGGGGGGCGGATCCGCCTCTGCCCGCCATCACCATCCTCACCGGCCTCTGGGCAACGGCCTCTCTGCCATCGCCCCGCTTCAACCGCCGCCTGGCGACGCTCGGCCTCACCCGCGCCCGGCCACACAACCGTCGCTGCCACCGCCTCTTCCCCGCCGCTAGCACGCACGCTTCCCCGCCGCCCGCCGCCGCCCCGCGTCAGCCCCACCAGATCCGGCCAAAACGACGCGGATCTGGGCGGGGGTTTCCGCCGCCGCCGGCCCTATCCGCCGCCACCACACAACGCCAGACACCGCCGCCACCACTCCGCCCCGCCGCCAAGCGCCGCCCCGCTGGATCCGGCCGGGCGGGCGCGGATCCGGACGGTTGCCACCATCGCCGACCGGCCAGCTCCCCGGGCCGCCCGAGCACATGCTGGGCGAAGCCTTGCCGCCGTCGTCCCCGCGGCCGCGCGGCTTTGCCGGCGCCCGCTCAGGCAGCGGTGAGGCAGAGAAGGATTAGAGACATTGTCTGAAATCTGAATCAGTTGTGTGTACTCTGCATAATGCAAATGGAGTTTATCCAATCATGGATACAAAAAATCACCCAAATTTAGCAAAACTTCGGAATCATCATCATCCCATTCCATGCAATATCAAGAACTCTATCCTATTATGTAAAATGCAATGTCATGAACGAATTTAATTCAGGGTTTGATGAAGTAATTTCTGTCAGTGTTCACTAATTTAATTCTGTTGCAAATCTTCCAACTTACCCATGACCCATCAGGTCATCACGGTTCTTGCTGTTGTCTTGCAGTGGCATAGCTAGGCAACAGAACAGAGTGAAAATCGCTGGGTCATATTGAGCATTTTTCAGTCAAACCCAGCCCAACTTTACAAACAAGCCGAGAGGATGTTAGAAATTTGGCATGCCAGACAAATACAAGACAAGATTAATTACTGTTCACCCAAGTTTGCACACACAAAAAAATGGCAATTCAAGAAGTATAGAACTAGGTTTCCCTAAGCTGACCTACTCATATTTGGGATGCAAAACTGATGAAAAATCGAAACATGATGCTCTATTGCTCTCAACTCTCAAGTGAAAGAATAGAAGAGTAACAAGTTAGGATGCATTGTGCGTGGAGCCGTGGATGATACATTTTCTGAACCAGTTTTCTATGCTCTGCATAATGCAGGTGGAGATTATCCCCAATCAGATCAATCATCCAAATTAGTTCCTAGGAGAGGACTAGAACAATCAGAGATTCAGAGAAGCAGTGGCACTTCAAAGGAAATTAGGAACAAGAACGGAATCATCTCAAGGATTAGACTTCGAGAACACAAAATGGCCTGCTCCTACTTCAAACCTGATGTTCTTGATGCGTCGACGCTACTTGCTAGCTTCTTCTTCTCCTCGAGGAACTCGACGAGGCCCGCGAGCGCGGCGTCGGCGTCCTCGCTGCGCAGCAGCATCTCCGACACCTCGGCCGGCGTCGCCTCCACGCCGGCGAGCAGCTCCCGTATCTCCGGGAACAGCGGGTGGTCGCCGACGAGGAAGTAGTTGTGTGCGAGCGTCTTGAACGCGTCCCCGCCGCAGTAGCCCATGTAGATGTGCATGTCCATCCTCCCCGGCCGGAGCAGCGCCGCGTCGAGGCGATCCTTGTAGTTGGTGGTGAACACGATGACGCGCTCCTCGCCGCTCGTCGACCACAGCCCGTCGATGAAGTTGAGCAGCCCGGACAATGTCAGGCTCTGCTGCTCAAGATGAAATCACAACGAGTCAAGGGCAAAATCAAGAATCAGGAATCGAGAAATCAAGATTCAGATATGGCGTACCTTCTCTGAAAAATCGTCTCTCCAGTTGCCCTCATCCTCCTCGTAGTACTCGTCCTCGTCGTAGTCGCCGCCACCGTCGCCGTAGCAGACCGCCGGTGGCGTCTTGCGATCTTTGCCATCCTCCCTCGACCTCGCGCTGAAGCAGCAATCGATGTTCTCGATGACGAGGATGGTGCGGTTGGGCATGCCAATGAGCAGCCTCTGCAGAGCCGAGTTGCTGTGCACCTCGGAGAGGTCGAGGTCGTAGAGGTTGAAGCGGAGTTGGTTGGCCATGGCGGCGACGAGGCTGGACTTGCCGGTGCCGGGCGGGCCGTGGAGGAGGTACCCGCGCTTCCACGCCTTGCCGATGCGGCGGTAGTACTCCTTCCGCTTCAGGAAGCGGTCGAGGTCGGCGACGATGGATTGCTTGAGCTCCGGGTCCATGGCGAGGGTGTCGAACGTGGCCGGGTGGTGGTGGACGATGCCGCGCTACGAAGAGCGCTCGTTCATGAAGATCTTGAGGTCCCGGTCCCGCCGCCGCGCCTGCTCCACCTCCTCCGTGATGAAGGGCACGTACCTGCCCAGCGCCATGTCCGTGTGCTCCGCGTCGAAGCTGAGCTCCAGCGACGACTCGCTGAACCTGCCCCCGCCTTCTGCGACGACGGAAGTCCACCTGAACTCCACGCCCTCGAAGACGTCGGTCATCGAGTCGCCGGGCACCATGGACAGGGCATTCCGTCGGCCGCGCCCGTCCCCGACGCCGCCGCTGAGGCGGAACCGGCTCAAGGCCCGGGGATCGATCCTGGTGGCGAGGTAAGCGTGGGCGTCGGCGAAGCAGCCGTCGTGGCGTCCGTCTTCGTCGACGCGGCGGATGATGACGGTGCGCCGCTCCGCCGGGCGGGGGCCGAGGCGGGCGCGGACGAGCGTGGCGGCCCAGCTCACCGCCGCGCGCAGGTCGTGCGGCACGAGCTCCCTCGCCATGCCGCGCGCCAGCACGGCGTACGCGGTCACCGTGGCCGCCGTGGCCACCGCCCTCCTGTAGGTGTCCACTGCCTTGGCGAACGACGGCGACGGCGAGAGGTCCATGCCCACCACCTGTTCGACTAGAGGACTACACTACCTAGGGCGTGGGCGTGCGCGTGGCGTCGCAACAGAATAGCGTAGCGTAGAAGCCTTTTACGGTGGTGGGACCGAACCGTACAGGGGAGAGAGATATAATAGATTCCATTTATATTAGGCGATTTTTTGGTTAAGAAAAAAGAGAGAGGAAAAACAGCACTTCATTTTGGCAAGCAGATCCTAAAGGAGATACTTTACTTATTTTTAGACAATGCACAAATCTTATAATGGCTAAGGAGTGTTTGAGAGGAGGTGAAGGAGATATTAAAAAATACGTAAAACAAAGTAAGCCAGCACATTATTAATTGAGCATTGATTATTTTAAATTTTAAAAATGAAATAATATGATTTTTTAAACAACTTTTTATAGTTCTTTTTTTAAAAAAACATTGCGTTCTTAGACTTATGAAAGGTTTGTGTTGGTAATAAACTAAACTTTAGTAAGGTAAAAGTAGTAAAATTTTCAGTTATTATTCATGCTAATCATATATTGCACTTTATATTATTCAAAACACGAGAGATGGTTTTTATTCTTTAAAGAGATTGGTATGTTCTATGTTCTTCAAATTAAGTCTTCAAAGGACCTGATGAATAAGCAACAACAAAGTAACAAAATTAATAAACTAAGAACTGCAACTATTGTTCGATCAACCAGTTGGAGGTTGATTTTCAAACGCACGATAAGTGAGAAAGCTTATTAGCACATGATTAATTAAGTATTAATAATTATAAACTTGAAAATAGATTTATTTGAAATTTTCAAACAACATCTTTTTTTTTTGCAAAAAACATACCATTTAACAAATTGAAAAGTGTACTAAGGGAAAACAAAAGGTTGAAGTTTGAAGTTAAAGAATAGAACTTAGTGCTTAGGCTAAGTTTGATAAAATAAGAAAGGAGAAGATTGAGAAGATATGCAAAATGAAGTGAGCCATTAGCGTATGTCTAGTTGAGTATTAATTACTTCAAACTTGAAAAATAGGTTAATATGATTTTTAAAGCAATTTTTATATATAATTTTTTACAAACAAAAGCACACCGTTCAGCAATTTTTGTATATAAATTTTTACAAACAAAAACACACCGTTCAGCAGTTTGAAAAGCATGCACGTGAAACACGATGAACTTTCTCTCCTCTCGAATGAACGAACACAACCTTTTTAGCTACTCGGTAGCATAGAAAATATAGTATATGCATGAGATTAGTACATGATTAATTAAGTATTAAGTTTCAAAATTAGATTTATTTCATATTTTAAAGAAAAAGATTCTTATATAGAAACTATTTGCAAAATTCATACCGTTTATAAGTTTGGGAAACGTACTTACGATTAGTTAACCGAGACTACCCTAAGGATGAGTTTAATAATAATACGGTTAGAGTCATCTAATTAGTCGTTTATGGTAGACATGTTTCTCTATTTTTTAAGTTTGTAATAGTTAATGCTTAGTCATCATACACAAACCATATGCTTCGATTCTAAGGCATCAACTAGCTAAGGGCATGTTCAAAGCTCAAAGCTAAAGCCCAGCGCAGGTTCTCTCTACACTCCATGTCAGCGAAAAAACTCCTATGTACAAAGGATGGTCTCTTTAGCTGACTCTCCATTAATACAGGCTAATAAATGACTAATAAATTCATCATGTATACTAGATCAAATGTAAATTTCAGCCTTCCATACATTGTGCAAACAGTAAGCTATTATTTAAGCAAACAGTAAGCTATCATATAAAAAGACAACGAGCCACACACATATACTACTTCCTCCGTTTCACAATGCAAGTCGTTCTAATATTTCCCACATTCATATTGATATTAATGAATCTAGATATATCTAGATTCATTAATATCAATATGAATGTGGGAAATGCTAGAACGACTTACATTGTGAAACGGAGGGAATATTATTTAAGCAAACAGTAAGCTAAATTACATTATTTCGTTATATAGAGTAGTTCTACTTTTTTTCCAAAGCGCTGCCATATATGCGCAACCAAATCTTTCTTGAGTTGCATATGAGTTGGACGATCACGAATATATAAATTCCTTCGTAATACTGCAGCAAAGAATGGGTTGGGGTTGGAGGAATTGCTCACTTCCGGTGGCAGAACGATTGATGCTCCTGGGTTCTCATTCAAATCCAAAGGAATTTCAGTCATTTCCTTTTCATCTTCAACTATCATATTGTGAAGAATAACACAAGCTTCATTATGTTGATAACATCACCCCTCTGCCACATCCGGGCTGGACGACATACGATGTTAAAGCAAGACTGCAACACACCAAAGGCTCGCTCAACATCCTTCCTCTGTCCCTCTTGACGGGCTGCATATAATCTATCTTCATCTATCTGAGGAAGTTGTTGCCCACTCAGGATAAATTCCATCTGCAAGGAGGACACCTTCGCGAGGGACCCCATGCCGACGCCGCTGCATGGTCTGCCCATCAAAATCGAGAAGAGGATTTCTCCTTGATCATAAACCAAAAATAAAATAAAATAAAATAAAATGGACAGCAATGAGCAATAATGATATGAATGTTGCATAAGATTGTTCAGTACAATGACAATGTAGTCAAGAAACTTACACTTTCTTGTGGCAAATCAGCGAATTTGTCACTCAAGTATGTGGCATTTGAGATGACGCTACTCAAGTATGTAGCAGAAGCATTTTTTTCCAAACAAACATTTGGAAGCAGTATGAATTTTCGACTTGATCAACTCAAAACAAAGTAGCATCTTCATTCGTTGGAGTTACCAAAGATTGGATAACACCCAGCTGATCCGACATTGCAATATTATAGAGCTAATCAGCCTATGACTCATGCTAATCATGCTTGCTGTATGACAACTACTCCTAGTTGACAACTATAAATGGCCAGGAAAGTGTGTGTGTGTGTGTGTGTGTGTGTGTGTGTGTGTGTGTGTGTTTTGTAATTTCTCTTTTCCTTCAATCCAGTCTGTGTATCTCCCCAATTGCGAGTGAATGTCTGAAGACCTGCTAATCATACAGTCTAGGAACATTATCTGTATAAATTGCTAACTATGCATCCGATTGGCATACAAAATAGAACAATAATACCATACCGGAATGCCAAAAATTAAACCCAGTTGACATCCTAAAAGAGCAGGTTCAGAACTCCTACACTAATTCAGAAAAGCTCTATGTGACTCCTACACTAACAGATAAACATAAGGTAAAAAAAAAATATTGTGTAAGACCAAAAACAAAGGATGGACATCATGCAACCTGACTAGATTCTTCAGTTTGATACAGCTTCAAACTAAATCAATTTCTAGTATTTGTACATACCCCCAATCTTAATGAAATTTGGTCGGCCTTTCTTTCGGCCAACCCGACAAAAGAAAAATAAATCAATTTCTAGTATCACTTCAGCATTTCGATTTAATCACAGGCAAGGCAGTGGTTCGTAGATTCTGCTCATTTTCTTCCCATGCCCAATGACCAAGGAGTACTGCATTTCATGGAGCATCTTCAACTGCAAACCTCCCATAGTTACCGACTAAAGAAGGAGGCCATGCCATGGTGTACGGCTGAACAAGATTGTCAAATGTCCTGCGAAACAGCCTTTCCAGTTTCATCGTTTCCAAACATAGGGACAGGAACCAACAAGGAGGTTGGGGATCATGGAACATCGGAGATGCTGCTAAATACGCGTAGCCGTCGCGGACAGCTAACACAAACACCTGTCTGGGGTTATCCACCAAATGCATCAGTACACTGCCGTCGCGCAGCGGGGCTCGAAGGACTCGTTCGAGCTCCTTGCCCAAGGGAACTACCCTGTCCATCACCCATCTCTCAGCAGCACCATCATCACCCTTGGTGTGCATCAGAACGCCGACATTCAATTGATGCGCGTAAACGATGCAGGTCGCGCCATCCTTTGTTTCGCCGACATCAAGGGAAGAACAATGTCTCAGGCACTGTGGAAGCTGAACAGCGGAGAACGCCATCGTGGCGGCGTCAAGCGAAAGCAGATACCTCCGATCCTCGTAGACCCAGTAGAGGGATCCATTGGCTTGCATGGTACCCTCATTCAGGAGCCAGCAGCCAGTGTCATCTGACCTGACAGGTTCTGGGATGTCCACCCATGGGAGAGACGACCACTCCCACTCCCCGGTGTTGTCCGATGAGCAGATGCTTGCACGCACCCTGGAGTCATCAATGGCAAGAACCACAAGGCGGAACGACTTGGGGTGCCCGTCGGAGCAGATCAGGCGAGGAGTGAGCTCAACTGTGTGATGCTGGCCGCACGCCCCATCAGAGAACTCCGCGGAGCTCAAATCGACAACAAATTCAGTGCGCCGCGTCAATGGGTTGAGCACCGCGAACAACCCATCATCCCAATTCATGAGCAGGCAGTGGCCGCCGCAGATCTCCATGACGTCCCAGCATTGCTGCTCGTCGTGGGGGCGATCTTGCAGGGAGGTGAGGAAGAAGTCGCCGCCGCGGACGGCGGCAGCCATGTCCCGGTAGCGGGGGCGGGAGGGGACGAAGGAAGGGAAGGCGGGGACGTTGGGCGCCTGCGCGGGGGCGGAGGGCGCGAAGAAGAGGCCGAGGAAGGGCGGCCCGTGGGTTGCGCGGAAGCGGGCGCGGAAGGCCGGCGACGAGGCGACCGCGCGGCGCCACGCGCGGCAGGCGAGGGCGGCGCGGACGAGCGCCGCGAGGGACGGGAGGCGGAGGAAGACGGCGAGCAGGAGATCGTCGCCGAGCGAGTGGATGGTGGTGGTGGAGCGGATGCTGGCCGAGGCTTCCGCCTTCGACCGCTTGGTCGGACGGCGGCCGTCGGCTAGGCCGGCCATTGCGAGCGGCGGAGGACTGCGTCGTCGGCTTAATTAGGCGAGCGATTGAGACCGTGGAGATGTGCAGTGCAGGTACGAGACGAAGAGGAGGAGAAATCTGTTTTCTAGTAGGGTCCCCTTCCGCTGATCTCTCTCCCCGACGATTCGCCGCTTGTTCCGTTCGCGGCGGTTCGCATGCCCACCCCCGCCGCCGCCGATTCGGAGGCATTTATGAGCTGTTTTGGTTATTGTCCTAGACTAAACCTTAAACGTGCCACAAATTCTTATGTCAGTGTTTAGTTGCGTGCCGCAGTTGAGTCAAGCCACACTTTATTAGCATATTGGCCCATACGTCATACTCTCATCTGCTAGCCAAAGTTTACCATAGTTGTAGCCACACTTTATATGGCTTGCCACAGTTATGGTAAAGTTAGCCTCCATGCAAACAGCCCCCTTAACCATTTGTCAATTTGCCACTTTTAGATACGGTATGTAAGGGGGTGTTTAGATCTAGGGGCGTAAAATTTTGACGTGTCATATCAGATATTATATAGAATGTCGCATGGGGTGTTTGAGCACTAATAGAAAAACTAATTACAGAATCCGTCAGTAAACTGCGAGACGAATTTATTAAACCTAATTAATTTATCATTAACAAATGTTTACTATAGCATCACATTGTCAAATTATGAAGCAATTAGGTTTAAAAGATTTGTCTCGCAAATTAGTCGCAATCTGTATAATTATTTTTTTAGCTTATATTTAATATTTCATATAGGTGTTTATGAGTCGTTGTCTAGCCCACATCAGCGATTTTTCTTCATTAGCAACTTAGAGAGACGGTAAATAGAGACCGTTGTACGTGCCTTACAAAAGGCAATGTTGAACGCAGCGTCCGGGGAAGAAGGTTTGGTACTTATCTGAGTTCTCTCCCAAACAAGATGATTTATTAGTGCATAATTAATTGCGTATTAAGTATTAGTTGAAAATGAATTAATATGGTTTTCTAAAGAAACTTTTCAATAAAATTGTTTCCTAAAATAACGTACTGTTATTAGCCGTTCGGAAACAAACGCGTGAAAAACGAGGGGGGTTAGGATCTAGAAAAAGAGTTCCCAACACAACCTCTATCAGGCTATCACGGTTCTTGCTATTTGTCTTGCAGTGGCATACCTTGGCAACAGAACAGAGTGAAAATTGCCGGGTCTTAATGAGTATTTTTCAGTCAAGCACAGCCAACTTTACAAATAAACCGAGTGGATGTTGGCAATTTGGCATGTCAGACCATCACAACACAAACAACCAAAGATTTGCAGCTGGCTGAATAACACGAGAAGATTGATGACTACTCCCTCTGTTTCGAAATGTTTAACACCGTTAAACCCTCTCTTCCAAACACCCCTTAGTACGTGTTTGACCATTCGTCTTATTCAAAAAATTTAAGTAATTATTTATTCTTTTCATATCATTTGATTATTGTTAATTATACTTTCATGTACACATATAGTTTTACATATTTTGTAATTTTTTTTAATAAAACGAACGGTCAAACATATGATAAAAAGTTAATGGTGTTAAATATTTTGAAACGGGAGGAGTACTTAACGCGGGCAACACTGGTACAAAACCGATGTGAAAATTGAAACATGATGCTCTCAAGTGAAAGAACAGAAGAGTAACAAGTTAGGACTAGGATGTATTGGGGGAATGGATGAGATATTTTTTTGAATCAATTTTCTGCGCTCCGCATAATGCAAGTGGAGATTATCCCCAATCACGGCCCTAAGAATTGTGAAACAAATCATCTAGCCCGAATTTGTTCGAAACAAATCAATCATCCCAAATTAGTTCCTAGGAGAGGACTAGAACAAACAGAGATTCAGAAAGCAGTGGCAGTTCACAGGAAATTAGGAACAAGAACTGAATCGTCTCAAGGATTGGACTTGGGGAACACAAAATGGCTTGATCCTACTTCAATCCTGACAGTTCTTGAATCTTGAATACTTGATGCTATGACGCTACTTGCCTGCTTCACACATGGCCTGCTTCTTCTTCTTCTCCTTCTTCTCCTCGAGGAACTCGACGAGGCCACTGAGCGCGGCGTCGGCGTCCTCGCTGCGCAGCAGCATCTCCGACACCTCGGCCGGCGTCGCCTCCACGCCGGCGAGCAGCGCCCGTATCTCCGGGAACAGCGGGTGGTCGTCGACGAGGAAGTAGTTGTGGGCGAGCGTCTTGAACGCGTCCCAGCCGCAGTAGCCCATGTAGACGTGCATGTCCATCCTCCCCGGCCGGAGCAGCGCCGCGTCGAGGCGATCCTTGTAGTTGGTGGTGAAGACGATGACCCTCTCCTCGCCGCTCGTCGACCACAAGCCGTCGATGAAGTTGAGCAGCCCGGACAATGTCAGTCTCTGAACTCAGAAAGAATCAAGAATAAATATGGCCATAATCAAGAATCAAGAATCGAGAATGAAGAAAATCGATGTGTTCTTGGTGGATGACGCATACCTTCTCTGAAAAATCATCTCCCTCGTCGTCGTCGTCGTCGCCGCCGCCACCGTCATTGTTGGTCAGCGTCGGTTTCTTGCGCTCTTTGCCATCCTCCCTCGACCTTGCGCTGAAGCAGCAATCGATGTCCTCGACGATGAGGATGCAGCGGTTGGTCATGCCAATGAGCAGCCTCTGGAGAGCAGAGTTGCTGTGCACCTCGGAGAGGTCGAGGTCGTAGAGGTTGAAGCGGAGGTGGTTGGCCATGGCGGCAACGAGGCTGGACTTGCCGGTGCCTGGCGGGCCGTGGAGGAGGTACCCGCGCTTCCACGCCTTGCCGATGCGGCGGTAGTACTCCTTCCGCTTCAGGAAGCGGTCGAGGTCGGCGACGATGGATTGCTTGAGCTCCGGGTCCATGGCGAGCGTGTCGAACGTGGCCGGGTGGTGGTGGGCGATGCCGCGCCACGACGAGCCCTCGTTCATGAAGATCATGAGCTCGCGGTCCCGCCGCCGCGCCTGCTCCACCTCCTCCGTGATGAAGGGCACGTACCTGCGCAGCGCCATGTCCGTGTGCGCCGCGTCGAAGCTGAGCTCCAGCGACACCTCCGTGTCCGCGAATCTGCCCTCTGCGGGGACGGAAGTCCACTTGAACTCCACGCCCTCGAAGACGTCGGTCATCGAGTCGCCGGGCACCATGGAGAGGACATTCCGTCCGCGCCGCCCACCGCCGCCGCCGCCGAGGAAGAACCTGCTCATGGACCGGGGGTCGATCTTGGTGGCGAGGTACGCGTGAGCGTCGACGAAGAAGCGGCTCTCGATGCACTGAGCGTGGCCGTGGCCGTTCCCTTCGATGCTCCTGATGATGGCGGTGCGGCACTCCGCGGGGCGGGGCTCGACGCGGGCGCGGACGAGCGACGCGGCCCAGATCAGCGCCGCGCGCAGGTCGTGCGGCACGAGCTCCCTCGCCATGCCGCGCGCCAGCATGGCGTACGCGGTCACCGTGGCCGCCGTGGCGACCGCCTTCCTGTAGGTTTCCACCGCCTTGGCGAGCGACGGCGACGCCGCCGCCGACGGCGAGAGGTCCATGCCCACCAACCGTTCGACGAGATGGGGTAGAGAACCGAGCAGTGGTGGCGTCGCGACAGAATAGGAGGCGAGACGGCTGGGTGCTTGGGTTGACTGGTACTAGAACGCTTTTAATGGTGGTGGAATGGAACCAAACAGTACATGGAATGGAAGAAATAATCCATTTAGATTAGGCTTTTTTTTTCAAAATGAAAGAAACAACACTTTGTTTTGGCAAACAAAACCCAAAACGACAAAACTTTACCAAAAATTTTACAATGCACAAATCTTATCATTGCTAAATCTTTACTCTTTAGTAATGCATGTATTGGTTGAATGTATACTAAACTTTAGAAAAGTTTGTACTACTACTACTGCTGACATCATCGATTGCATCTCTATTGTAATTCAAACCACAAGAGAAGGTTCAAAATTTGGGGGGATTGGTATGTGCAAAGTACGTCAAAATAATTCTACAAAGGATCGTATGATCAATAAGCAACCCAGAGGGTGAAAATTAAAAGAGACAAATACCATGCCCCCTTGACTATGGTCTCATATAATTTTTGAAATCTATCTATCTATCTATCTATTATATTATTAAGTCAGCTTTAAAAGAAAGCACCACGTTCGTTATGGAGGCTAGAAATTCCCACATTAATCGAGAAAAAGAAAAACAGTGTCCAGGTAGAAATACAATTTATAAAATATACTAAAATTAGGAATAAAAAGGTAAGATAATATGCAGGGTCCACGTAGAAAACATTAAAGAGACCAATTGAGGCTAGCCTATTCTTTCCTATATTATAATGGCAAAATCATGAGCAATTAAGGGTTTTGTCTCATTAAGAATCAGACAACATATATGTTTAGAACCCTGGAGGCAGTTGGAGCAATCCAATTAGGAGTCTGGCATGCTTGCATGTTTCATGTCCGCATGCATATAGTGTTTGACACTGTGATATAAGAGATCAGCACTGCGTACTCACCCATGGCAAAAACAAGCAAATAGGAGTACTTAATATTAAGGCAGTGTTCTTTAGTGAGGGTTAATTGGAACCATTTTCCTCTCAACACATAAAACGGAACAACAGATTAGCACATAATTAATTACGCATTAGCTTAAAAAACTTGAAAATAGATTAACATGATTATTTAAAGCAATTTTTTTATAGAATTTTTTTGTAAAACACATACCGTTTAATAGTTTAGAATGTGCGCACATGAAAAACGAGAGGCAAAAGTTAGGAAAGTGTTCAAATAACACTGCCTAAGTGCTCAAAGTTGGTTGGAAAAAATATAGTGTTCTTCAAAGCAATAAAAATAAATTAATAAGTGGCAGAGCATGTATACGCTGTAAATATATAACAATGCAATATTTAGGAGAAAAGAAACAATTAAACAACATATATACATATAGCATGCCGCCATGCCGTATACACAAGCATACAGCGGTCAAAAATATAAGGCAGCTGTCAACTTCAGTGGCGCGCAAGGTGCGACACTCTGAACTATCCATATATCGATCGATCGATCTATCTATCTATTATTAAAACATCTCAAAAGGCCACAATATTGTTTTAGATGCTAGAAATTTCAGTATTAGTTGAAGAAGAAAAAAAAAGGAAAAGAAGAATTTAATTTAGGAATATAATTTAGAAATTACTGAAATTTGAAATAAAAAATAAAAAATATTTAAAGAATGGTCCATTTAGAACACAACAAGAGATTAATTAAAATTCAAAATAAAAGATAAAATATATTATAAATTTGGATTTCAATGCGAAATTAAAAAAACTTAAAGAAATCATTGAAAATCGAAATAAAAATATAAAAAATACTCGACCCAGACGCTAAACATTTCCAACATTAATTGGATAAAAAGAAAGTACAACTAGGAATTCATTTTTAAATAAGTGAAGTTCAGGAAAAAAATAATTTGAAACATCTAGAACACAACATAAGATTATCTAAAAATCCGAATAAAAAATAAAGTAAATTCTAAAATTGTATTTTCAATAATAATTACAAATAAACTTAAAAATATCATTAAAATTTGAAACAAAATTATAATAAAATTTTAAATAAGTGAAGACCAAATACCTATAAGAATCCATAGCAAAATATAGTATATAAATATCCAAAATTAAGAGTGATTAAATTTGCAATAAATGATAAATAATTTGGAGTTGGTTTTCAATATAAACTTTAAAAAATCATGAAAACATAAAATAAAGTAGGAATGTAATTTAGAAATAACTCAAAGTCAAAATAAAAATATATTAAAAACACAAAACATGTTGTCGTGATTGACATATGGGCCTAAAAAAGCACCAACGTTCACTTTGGATAACTAGAAATTATTACATTAGTTGAAGAAAAAAAATAAAAGGCTATGTTGTCCTGTAAAACTAGATTATAAGATTGTAGATTAAGTAACGAAGAGTTCCAGAAGAACTGTACAGATGTGTTTTGTTGAATTACCAAAATGATAAAAGATTGACAATTGAAAAATTAAACTTATCATGCTTTTAGAAAAAGTTTTCATAGATTAGTCTTGCTGGGTCGTGGGAGGGCGAGCTACTCAAGTAATGAATAGTAGGAGCTACGAGAGGGTAACCCAATGGACGGAAAACGAGTAAGGCATGGGATGTGGTAGCAGCAACGGCTGGTGGGATTTCTAACATAATCACAACGACAATAAGTTTCGATTTTGTTAGACACCGATGACAATGAATAAAAGAGACATCATGGGCAGATGAATAGTTAGGTAACAAAGAAAAGGGAGGCGATGGTTACCACGGAATGCGGGCCAAGGGGGCAACAAACGAGTAAAGTGGTAGCGCTGGCTTCTAAATCCAATAAAAAGGAACCTCAATGATGATAAGATTTTGATTTTACAAGGTACCGATAATAACAAAGATAAAAGACGGCATGACAGATGGGCAACAAAAGAGAAGAGAGAGTGACATACAGCGGTTGCCATGGGCAATGAGCCACGAGGGGTGGCAAATGACCGTAAAGAGGAGGGAGCAGGTGGGCTGTAAAGGACTAGGATGGCACGGTTAATGGGACATCTAAAGACTATAAAATAGAACACCAATGATGATAAAAAAGGAAGGGCAGCGGGCAAATCATAAACGAGTGTGGTCACGGCGATTGACATGGCTTCTATAAAGTAAAAATAAAATTGACTGGGCTTGATTATTAAAATCCCAATGTCAACAAAGATGGCGAAAAGAAAGGGTTGTAGGTGGACCGTAAAGAAGTATAGCATCAGCTGGCAGTACTTTTTAAAACTATAAAAAGGGAAACGATGATCAGGTTCAATTTTTAAAATCTTAATGATAATAAATAGAATGGGTTGCAGGCAGGCCATAAAAGAGTAGGGTGTAAAGAGTAGGGTGGCAACACTTAACTGGACTTCTAGAAACTATAAAAAACAGAACTCGACATGACAATGAACTCTGAAAACTATTAAGTCTAATTTTTACAGGTTCCAAAGAAGATTAAAAGAAATCATAGTGTGCCGGGCAAGATTAAAGGGGTGGCGGCTGGTGTGACTTTACAAACTTGATGATGATAAGTTTTGATTTTTTAAAAAAATCTTAAAACAATGAGGTAACTATTTAATAAATTTTAAAGAAATTTATGTGTAAAAAAATCAGATAATATTGCATGGATGCTAGCCGCGCAAATTGCGCGGGCCACCCTACTAGTTCCAATCATCCAAACGGTAAATTACTTGGAATAAATTGCAGCAGTACCCAAAGTTAAGAGGGATAGATTAGCATGTGCAGGATCAATTAATGGACAAACATGCAGCAGTAGATAAACAACGATCACAGTAACGACATCTCCAACAACAATGCGGTCAAGCTGAAACGTGACACTGTGGCAGTGTGGCTGCACTGCATTGTTCTTGATTTGATGTGTGGAATTAATGGTGAATTTGTGATCGCGTTACTGCTGCTGCTGCCCGTCGCGCCTCGCCTCCTGCTTCTTCTTCTCCTTGAGGAGCTCGGCGAGGCCCCGGAGCGCGACGCCGGCGTCCTCGCAGCGAAGCAGCATCTCCGACACCTCGGCCGGCGTCGCCTCCACGCCGGCGAGCAGCTGCCGTATCTCCGGGAACAGCGGGTGGTCGTCGACGAGGAAGTAGTTGTGGGCGAGCGTCTTGAACGCCTCCCAGCCGCAGTAGCCCATGTAGACGTGCATGTCCATCCTCCCCGGCCGGAGCAGGCGCTCCTTGTAGTTGGTGGTGAACACGATGACGCGCTCGTCGCTGGTCGCCGACCACAGCCCGTCGATGAGGTTGAGCAGCCCGGACAGCGTGACCTTGCATCGATCAAGAAAATGATCGTGGTTGATGCTTGGTGCTGATCCGTGCTTGCTGTGGAATTCCGCTGCGTCTCCCTCGCCGTCTCCATCACGAACGGCACGTACCTGTCCATGGCCGTGGCCGTGTGCTCGGCGTCGGCGTCGAAGCTGAGCTCCAGCAGGAACTCGCGGTCGCCGCCCTTGGCCTTCTTCTCCGCGCCGCCCGTGGCGGCGGCGAGAGGAACGGACTGCCACGTGAACTCGACGCCGTCGAACACGTCGGTGGTGGAGTCGCCGGGCTCGATGAACAGGCGCGCCCTCCACCCGTCGCGGCCGCCGTCGCCTTCCTCCCGGGGCCTTGGACACCGTGAGCCCCAGGCAGCGCACGTCGCGCGGGTCGAGCCGCGACGCCAGGTACGTCCGCGCGGCGTCGAACAGGAGGTTGCTGTCCTCGTATTCTCCACCTCCACCTCCGCCGCCGCCGCCGCCGCCGCCGGCGTGGCTCCGCACCACGAGCGTGCGGCGCTCCCTGCTCCCCCACCCGAGCCGCGCCGCGGCGCGGAGCTCGTCGGGGAGCAGCTCGCGGGCCATGCTCCGCGCCAGCACGGCGTACGCCGCCGCCGAGGCCCCGGTACGCGTCCACCGCCTTCCCGCCGTACGCCGCCGAGGAGGAGTCCATCCGACCGACGGCGAGCGCGCTCGTCTTCTCGCCTTCTTGGAACTTGTGGGCTCTGCTTGCGCTCATCAATGGAGGAGTAGCTGTAGCAGTAGCACAGAGCACAGTGGCACTAGGCCGCAGTATAGGTGCTGGATGGTTTCCTTAAATGGAAGCTGCGGGGGTTGAGAGATTCTTTGGGTTTGGAGGGGGGGATGCCGGAAAGGGAAAGCGGATTCCGGTCAGGGAACCCCGCGTGGTCGCGACGGCAGAGAAAGGCTGGGAGAATACTGGGCTTCACCAGAGAGGGGTCGGGTACACTGGTTGACTGCTACACTGGCAGGCAAACTGCCACGCACCACGGGGCACGGTCTCGAGGCGTGCCTCCTGCGTGAAGCGTGAATGCGTGATGCACGGCTACACGCTAACACTTGTTGCATGCATTCGATATACGATGCGACGGATCATCCAATGCCACAAAGCTCCGTTCTAGTTTTCTGTTCATGGGTCTCTTCAGGAACATGTTTTTCCCGTATCTTTATCTTTTTTTTAGAGAAAAGGCCAACGGCCCAGCTTACTAGCAAGCATAAGAGTTCTTTACATGACCAACAACAGTTTTGCTGGGATTACCAGCTAGACCTGAAGCACACAAAACACCTGGCTTATAACAGCTAAAAAAGAAAAAATTAACCGCTTCTGGCACAGCACAAACAAGCTAGACGGAATAAAACCTAGATCTTGAGCCTCCAAACATCTTGAAAAGCCATGAGACAAACAGAACTTCCACCTCAAACGCCAGTTTTTCTGACAGCCTTCCCCCGCCAAAACAAACAAGACAGGGAACACTTGACAACAGCGACAAAAGTCAGCTAAGAACTCCTGAAGAATCAACGTTTGCATTGTTGCATTGTTCGCCTGTCCCTTGGATACTGACACGGAGTGATTCCTTTAACGCATCCAGTTCTCCCCTTAGTTGCGCGGTCGCCAAAAGTCTCCACTGATTCAGAAAGGAAACAACTTTGTGAGGCAAGTGAGAGATATCAGCTATTAACTTGTTATTAAAAACCCAATCATTTCGAACTAGCCATAAAACCCAAAAACAGGCCACAAACAAAGTGATCCACTTAGAGTTTTTCTTCCCCCCATTGCACTGGATGAAATGCATGAGATCGTTCCTATTAGAAGGAATGCTATCCCAACCAAAGGCATCTCTCATACAGCACCACAGGTATCTAGCTGGAGGGCAGGTGAAAAAAAGGTGATTAACGTCTTCCTCCAAGCCGCACAATTTGCAATTGGGACTACCACCCCAGTTCATTTTTTTCAGTTGTTTGGCCACTTGGACCCTCCCCTTCATGGCCAACCAGAAGAAGATTTTGGATTTCAAAGGGGCATGAGCCTTCAGAATGTTCAGGGAACATACATCCTTGACACCTCCGTATCTTTATCTCATGTTTGTGAGACGTAGAAAGTAAAAAAAAAATGAAATTGCTAACCTTCTGTCAACAGAAAATACATTCCCAAATTTTACCGATTATGGATCAGTGCATGTTCTTCACGATTTGTTACTACATGTGCTTATTCTCTAACTCCGACAATATATTCTTCTTCTTCGTCGCCGATGTCAATCTAAACTCTACTAGAGGATCGACGAATTAGGGTCTAGATGTGGGGTACTGGGGTAGGGGTAGAGGGGGTGGGAGGGGGAGGTCGCCGGGATTAGAGGGATGGTCATGAGAGACTGTGGCCAAGCTATTGGCAGCGAAACGAGCGGGCGGTGAGGCGCCGGAGTCGCGGGGATAGAGGAGGACGATGGACTAGCGTTGGTGGCTGGTGTATCTCGCCGCCAACAGCTTGAGGAGGAAGGAGACAGGGAAGGGGGGCGGTCAGGAGGGGTCTCGCTGGCGCCATTGTCGCCTTCCGGCGAGGCCTGGCACCAGGACGGTTGAGCGGCGGCGAGGGTGTGGAACGCGCTTGCATGAGGGAGGGGAGCGAAGTGGTAGTAGGATTGAGGGGAGAGGGGATAATAAAATTAGGGTTAGGTGTTCACTGCACGAATTTTAAAGCGATCTAGACAGTGACAGTCCAAAATATTTTTGTAGACACCGGTCGCAATTGAAAACATATAATTCAAGGGTTGGGAACAAAATTTGTGCTGTTTTTTTTTTAAGTAAATTTCACAAAACTACAGGTATTTTGACCAAATTATCACAAAACTATATATTTAAGGAGTTGTATCACAAAACTACACATTTAGCACCAAATTTATCACAAAACTACAGATTTTAGGTTAAGTATCACAAAAATGCATATTTAATATTGAACTTATCACGAAACTACAACTTTTAGAGTTTAAATCCCTAGCACTATTGTTATGGTGGAGCTATAAACATTATTACTTTGTGATTAAATTGGTTCTAAACCTGTAGTTTTATTATAATTTAGTTACTAAACGTGTAGTTTTGTGACAATTCATCTTAAATGTGTAATTTTGTGATAAATTTGGTGCTAAATGTGTAGTTTTGTGATACATCTCCTTAAATCTGTAGTTTTATGATAGTTTAGTCATAGTATCTGTAGTTTTGTGAAATTTACTCTCTGTTTTTTTTAACGCTCCAAGATGGGCTAAATTACCCAACGTAGAACTTGCACTTTGATCAGAGCTGTTCCCATTGGCATCGCCGTACTGCCGCGGAGTGGCCCGACGTTCTCAGGCTGTGTGGGTGGCATGCAAAAGGCAACAACCACTCTCGCCGGCTCAAGTGCTGGAGTGGACTTGCACCACACCTTGGGGGAATTTAACTATTTACCACTTTTAGATTTAGCAATTGTTCAAATGCCCCTCTTAGGTTTGCAGTTAATAATATGCCATTGGAGAGAAGAGTTTTTCTAATTTTTCCCACTTTTCGCACTGTACACCGCCACATGGACTTGCCAGCATGAAATTGCACGTGAAATAACCATTATACCCCTGCATCGAGAACCCTAAATCAGCCTTAACCTCTCCCTATCTCTCCCGATTGATTGTATAATTCATTTGACTGATATATAACAAACAATATTTAGTAATATAGAGCTACAACAGAGACCATACATATATAGGACAGCACACACATATATATACATACAAGGATTAATATTTTCAGCATAAATATGGATACATATATCTCAACAAACTGAACATGCACACAAATCGAAATAACAAGCGATACATATAGCAGAAGCGCCTCAATTCATCACATCCCATCCAATATCTTAATTCATGAGCCATACAATTCATAGGATCATTGCAGGCCACACATCATTACAAAAGCAGTTTGTTAAGATATATGTATGCATATTTATGCTGAAAATATTAATTAATCCTTGTATATATATGTGTGCAGTCCTATATATGTATGTATGGTCTCTGTTGTAGCTCTATATTACTAAATATTGTTTGTTATATATCAGTCAAATGAATTATAAAATCAATCGGGAGAGACAGGGAGAGGTTAAGGCTGATTTAGGGTTCTGGATGCAGGGGTATAATGGTCATTTCACGTGCAATTCCACGCTGGCAAGCCCATGTGGCGGTGTACAGCGCGAAAAGTGGTAAAAAAAATTAGAAAAGCTTCTCTCTCCAATGGCTATTATTAATTACAAATCTAATAGGGGCATTTGAACAATTGCCAAATCTAAAAGTGGCAAATAGTTAAATTCCCCACACCCTGGCCTGCATGTGACTTGATCGGAACCAGAACCAAGGCCACAAAATTTATTGAATAACATTTTTTTGAGGAAAATCTAGAGTACTACGATTAGTATGTCAAACTATCGGTATACATTTCATTAAACTACAACAGTAATTAATAATTTAGTAATATAGAACATTAGTATGTCAATTGAATTATGCGAAGATAATTGCAGTTTTGTAAAATTTAAACTCTCTTTCCCTTCTCTATTATTTTTTTGAGAACTTCTTGTCCTTTCCAAATTCTAAGATGTCAAAAACCCAAAATTTTGTTGTTAAATACAAACATGTACAAAATTGTAGTACTACTTTTGCTTAAATATGTGACAAGCACAAACATATAGGTGCGGGCTACCGATTTTTTTTTTTGACGCAACGGGCTACCGAATATGAATGTATACCTAAGGCCATCAGCAATGCGTGTCCCAGGGTCGTAGCCCTGGGAACGGCCGTCCACCCTCCGTTAGCTTTTCAGCCACGCCCGTTCCCTCAGCTAGGCACGTGTGGTCTCGCTAGGGGACGCGTTCCTCACCACTTTTTTGCTGTGAAACCGAACCAGGAGACGCATTGCAGAGGGCATGGCTAGGTGAGTGTCCCATGGACACCGCTACCACACCATATTTTACCGTTTCACCCCTCGCCCTCGTCGTTGGGAGTAGGCGATGACCAGCGATGACCCCGCCACGGCGACGACCCCACGATAGCGATGACTCGGCGACGACCCCGCAACAGCGATGACTCGGCGACGACCCCGCGACGGCGACGAGCGGAGGAAGAGGGGTGGCGGCGCGGCACACGGCCTCTGGCGACGACCCCGCGACGAGAGAGAGAGAGAGAGAGAGGAGAGAGATGGATCCGGTGGCGTGGCACGCGACCTCCAGCGGCGACGATGGATTCGCGACGACGACGACTAGATCCGCGCGCCACTCGCCGTTGACCACCACGCTCATGCGTCGTCAACGGCTGCGCGGCGGAGTAGGCGGCCCTCCTCGTCACCCTCGCCGAGGAAGCTCCGGCGGCAGCGGCGGCCCTCCTAATCGCCCTCGCGTTGCGGCCATATCTAGCGAGGGAGAGCGGATGGCGAGCGGCGGCGGCGGGAGAGAGAGGTGAGCGGCAACGGGGGAGACCGGGAGAGAGGAGGGAGGTGGCTGCGGCAGGCTGCTACTACGGAGAGAGGTGGCGGCAGGCTGCTGCTACGGAGGAAGGCGGTGGCGGCGGCGGCGAGATTGGGCCGGGGAGAAGAAGCGACGAGAAGAAGCGAGAAGAGAGAGCGGAAGAAAAGAGAAGGAAAAGGAGAGTGGGCTGGGGAGGGGTATTTAGGGATTTTTTTCATCTGGACTACTTTGGGCCAAGACAACCATTGTGGACTGTAGTATCCTCACTGGGCTGATTTAGATTTTGAGGAGCCCATCTAGGGGTATCTTCCATTGTGACATGAGTTTCCCTACGAATGTCCTTAATTAGTGAGGACACTTTAGAAGTGGCTCACATTATAGATGCCATAATTTGTAGTGTTCTTGATGAAATGCAAGTACCAACCAAGTGTTAAAACGTGGCAAATATGTACTCCCTTCATTCTACTAAGATATAAGCAATTCTAGAAATTTAAAATTTATACCAAGATATAAGTATTTTTTAACATAATCTACCAATCATCATGCTCCTAACTCATACCCCCTCCGTCCCAAAAAAAAGTCCAATCCTAGCTACGAACCCGGACACATGCGTGTCTAAGTTCATAGCCAGGGTTTGGCTTTTTTTTGGGACAGACTAGTAAGCAATAGTGGGTTGAGATGATTGTTAGTAACAAAAGTTTAGTAAGAAAAATTGCTCTTCGCTATAATGGCCTTGTTTGGATCCTCCGGGCTATTAAATAGCCCTCCGAAATCTTGTTTTTTAGGATTATTAAACGTAGATTATCGACAAAACCGATTCCATAACCCCTAGGCTATTTTGCGAGACGAATCTAATGATGTATATTAATCCATAATTAGCGGCTGATTACTGTAGCATCACTGTAGCAAATCATGGATTAATATACCTTGTTAAATTCGTCTCGCAAAATAGCCTAAGGGTTATAGAATAGGTTTTATCAGTAATCTACGTTTAATACTCTTAAATAGCAACTCCGGAGAGAAAAAGCGATGGCATGGTCGAACAAAAAAACCGTTGGCCAAGCCCGGCCCAGTAGAGGCGCGTGAGTGTGCATTTCGAAATCTGACCGTTCAGCGACCAACTGCATCTCCCGCTCAAACCCCAAATTTCCCCTAACCCACCACCACCGCGGCGATCCACCGCTCCTCCTCCCCTCGACTCGAACCTTCTGGAACCTTCCCGAACCTTCTACAAGCAAGCACGCTTCCCTTCCCCGACCGCCGCCATGAGCCGCCGGGAGCCGGCGGTCTCCTCCCCCTTCCGCGACCTCTCCAACCTCCGCACCCCGAACCCCAGGGCGCCGCCTAACCCCAAATCCTCCGCCTCCAAGGAGGAACCCCTCCCTTCCGCCACCCCGACGACCCGGCGCCGGCGGGGGCCTCCTCCTCCTCCTCGCCCCGGCGCGGCGACCGCGACGCCCCTCGCCCGCCGCCTCCGCGCGCTCGAGCTCGACCAGTCGCGATCCGCCCGCCGCGCCGAGTCCGGCCGCGACGGCGCCCTCCGCGCCTTCGCCTCCTCCGCCACGTCGTGGCTCTCCCTGCTCCTCCGGGACCCCTCGGCCTGCGGCTGCGCGCCTTCCGCGGCCGCCGCCAGGGTCACCCGCGACGCTCCTGCTCACGGCGTGCAGGGCAAGCGCGACGCGGTCGATGGGGAGCGCGCGCGTGGGCGGAGCCCGAAGCGGCACCGGGGTGGTGAGGATCGCGGCGGGCCGGGGCCGAGGAGGAAGACGATGACGCCGGCCATGGCGGCTTCGTTGAGGGATTCCCTGAGGGAGGTGTGCAGCCTGGATGACGTGACGGAGAGGATGGGCAGCCACATGAGCAGGGAAGCGTGCGAGGAGGTGCTCGTCATGATGTGCCAAATCTGCAAAGTGAGGATCACTTCGTTAATTCATCTCTAGGATTCATATTCTGCAGCGTGTTAACATGGTTGTAGTTAATTTTGAAATTGTAGTGTTATTAAGAAGCTGAAATAGATAGAATTATTTCTTGTGCCCACTTACTCTAAATCAACTTTTGATAGCTTTGCAGTTTGGTTTACTTTTGTATCAACTCTAGTTAGGATAGGTCATTGTAGGTTGTAGCATAGATATGATGATTATATTATCCTCTTGGATATGATGGGTATTATTGGTAGCATGGTGTATGTTAGGTTGCTGTGCATTTTATTGTTTTTGAGACTGTTTGTTTGTGAATGATATTTAGTGGTGAACTCAACTTCGTTATCTCCATTTTTCTTCGGTACAGCATCTTTCGCTGTAATTTTGTACTTTTCTAAAATGAACCTAGACTAGAAATACTAGAGTACCTTAAACACAAACCTTTTGACTGACATTGCACATACCACCGTGGATGCTCTAAGTGGTGATTGTTTTTGCAGAACATTGATAATGGGAGGTTAAAGATGAAAGAACATTGCCCCCTTGTTTCTGATCTCAGGCTGAGAGATAAAGCAATAAGAATCTTCATGTGTTACAATCCTAAGTGGCTCAGGATAGGACTGCATATTGTCCTCGGGGGTGATTCCTGGATACAGAATGAATCGCAGAAAAAGGACAAGGAAGTTGCCTTTCTGAAATTTGTTCTGGAGAAGCAATTGTTTGTTCATATGAATACACAACCTTCCGCTCTCAACAAGGCGCCCGAGGGGCACCGTAGAGCATGTTATGCTGAAGCGGCCAGCAACAGTATACTGAAAAGGTTATTTCTTCTTGTTGCTGCCTTAGACAGAGCTAAAATAGAAAGTGGTTTACCTTCGGAATCTGGAATCGATGGCCTCGATGGTGGATCCCCTTTGTTATTTTGTCGCCAGACCGAAATAAAGTCTAGTCGGCAAATTGTTCAGGGTAACAGTTCTGAATTCACTTTCTTTTGACAAAATTATATGGGTTTTATTTAGCTGATTTCATCTTATTTTATTTGTTCGTCACATGTAGAGTCATTGGGGGAAGTCATGCATGGAGAAGGTGATCTATTGATGCATCTCAATATCATGGGATATAAATTGAATTATCAGCAGGTATTCTGGTTGCAAGCGTTATCTGAGTTATAGAGTTTTGTAACGAAGTCCTGAACTGTGCTGTTTTTGTGTTTTAGTTCCAACTCTCAGTTTGAAATGGTTTAATTAAAGTTTGCTTTAGGATATTTATTGGACTCTTCTAATTCTGATTCTTTACCAGCTTGCTCTATCAGAGTATGATTTCACTGTAGGAAATTTATTTGAAGATCTTCAAGATGGCATAATTCTCTGTAGAATTATTCAGCTGCTAACATCTGATGCATCGATTATTTTGGTATGAATTGATTTCTTCTACATTAGCTAGTGATATTCTCACTGCAGTTTTTATTTAAGGTGTGAACATGTTTTATTTCAGAAAGTGATTGCTCCATCAGATACATATAAGAAAAGATTGCATAACTGCACCATGGCAATCCAATATATCAAGCAGGCTGGGTTTCCGTTGTCTGATGCAGATGGACTCTCAATCTCTGCGGAAGACATTGTCAATGGGGATAAGGAGCTAATTCTAGCGTTGCTTTGGAACATGTTCATTTATATGCAGGTTAATCTAAACTCGTTCAGGATCACCTTTCTCTTCTCAAATTTTACTTTTGTTGTAGTACACATTTTCATTTTTCCCAAAGATCTAAAATTCTGGAGTATGGACTGTTTGATGTTTAATAGTAGGTTTAAAACCCACTACATAGACCACTCAACTGCAACCGAGAGCCTAAATAATACCTAAATTGTTACTTGCCCAAATCTGAAGGTTTGCTGTAGCAACTTCCCGATTAGTGAATATTATATCACAGAGACTATAATGGCCCATAGGTTAACTTATTTTGTGATTGTAATTGTTAAGTCTTCTCTTTCTAGTGCATATTCTCAATCTAAATTATTAAAATTATGTCACAAATACTACAATGATTCACCATTGTTTTTTGCGTTCGCGAAAAAAAAAGCGTTCTCGCAAAACTATCTATTTCTGCAGTTTGTAAATCAATTTTGTTCAAAATTGTGTTGCTAAGGAAATGTTTCCATCTAGCTTGTTTAGACTTATTATGTGCTGAACCTTAAGCTACCATGTCTTCAAAAATACCTTTTCGTTGTTTGCTCTGTAAATTTTACTGTGTTGTGTTCTTGTGCAGTTACCAGTGTTAGTAAATGAAACTTCAGTAGCTCAGGAAATATCAAGGCTAAAGGCACCAGTATCAGTGAGTATTTTGTACTCGAATATTCAATTCTGTGAAGTTTTTTTAGTCCAATTTAGACAATACTAGCACTCATAACTCAGAAGTTAACATAAATATTCATACCATTACTCGAAATTGCAAGATGTACCTTAGTAGATTGGACCTATGGAACAGTCACTATATATTTTCCTACCAGACTGACTAAATCATATGGCTGCTTATTCCTTTATGTACTCTGTAAAATAGTTCCTGTTTCTTACCGAACTATTGCCATCAAGTACTGCTTGAACTAACCAAATGTGTAAGCATTGCGCTGGCAGAGAAGGAACATACATGCTCGGCAGTGCTAATGTATTCTGTATTCTCGTGAAAGCAACATATGTGGAATTTTATTGACAGATCTGTTTTATATATCTGCTTCTTATTTTATAACTATGGTGGGAGTACTTTTCTCCACTAAAATATCAGTTCTCCATTTCTTTTTTTTTTCAGGAACAATCAATCTCTGAAATGAAGTCACAGACTGGTTTGCTTTATGATTGGATTCAGGTAGGCATAGTTTCCCTTTTTCTTCCGTACTTGCTCACCATATGTATGTCTCTACACTCCAGTACATTTTCTTCCTTTGCCATTTTACAGGTTGTATGTGCAAAATATGGCATTAGTGTGGAAAGTTCTTCCCAAATTGACAGGAGAGCTCTGAATTACTTCATCAGCTATTATTTGAACATCAATATTCCTAATTTTCCTTTGAAGGTTCTCCCTGAGTTAAATTGCGATCTCATGTCTCGTTTTTTATTTTTTTTACCATTTCTTGACATGTCCATGTTTTTCATGTTTGCTTGTTAGGAAACATTATCTGATTGTCGAAAGGAATTGTTCAGTTGTCATAAAACAGACATGATTGCTGATATCACCACTTATCAATTCAACAACATTGGAAAAGTGCTTGCACAATTTCTTCAGGTAGTAACTTATTTGTTTGAACAGCAAGGAGTTATTTGTTTCTAACACATTTTCTGCATTATGCAGGACCTACCTGGTTGGAATATCCTAGCTAATGATGTATTATTTGTTGAAAAAAGTGCAATAATTCTGCTCGCATTCCTATCTTCACATCTGACTAATGTCAGACGATTGGTAATCTTTGTTCATCACTTTCTTGTTTTATCTCGGTTGTTTTAGTCTTGTTAAAAGCACGCATGATGCATGTCCTTTGATTATATAGGAGCAACTAAAGAATCTGATCGATTCAAAGTTGGATCATCAAAGTCTGGTTACTGAGGTTTCTCCTAGGCGTAGATCTCGAGGAACAACTGACATGAAGTGCCATTTTCCTCAGACAGAGGAGACAGATGGTTCACGCAGTACCCGAGGTATGCCTGTTATATCTTTTTGTGGTTCTAGAGAACTTCAATTGCCCTGTTGTTATAGCGAAGATGAAAATTTTCATTTCCTTATAAGGTTATAACTGTATGGTTGTGCTCAGTAAACTTTGAAAGTACTACTGTAGGCAACATCTTATGCTTCTGCAACTTTAATGAAGCTCGTTATTAATGTTTTGCAGAGTGGGCTGCAACAGTTATACAAACTCAAGCTAGAAGACTTAATGCAATGAGCAAATACTGTAAGCTTAAGAATGCAACACAGCCATGCAACAAGGGGCATGATCCTGCTTCATCCAGTCCTCTGAAGAGCATTGCTGATAGTAGCTGCATAGATTCAGCCACTAAGCTTGTGTGTGAGGATGATGTGGACTGCAGCAGCAATTCCTGTCAAGTTTTGTTCTATCATGATCCAGTATCTACCAAGGTCGACTTCCTGTTCTGCAGGAAGGCAATGGCTGCTCGAAAGATACAGTTTGCCTATAGAAGATTTGCCCACAGAATACGTTCAAGAATTTCGGCTGCAATTAAGATCCAAAGCCATTGGCGCTGTTTCTCTGTGCGGATACGTTTCAAAAGGCAAATTCAAAATATTACTACCATCCAAGCTGTAGCGAGGTGTGTTTTGTGCCACCGGGATTTTCAGAAGCAACGCCATGCTGCAATAGTGATTCAGAGAATTTTCAGAGGATGGTTAGCCAGAAAGAAACTACTAGGTTAGAATGTAAATCTAACATGATTCATTCAAAATATACACTGGAAATGGTTCTTGTTGTGTTCTTGTTGATTGCTGACTGCCCTTGCTCATGCAGGCTCTTGGTCACCGGGATCTGGTATAAACTTTTGTGCACTAGATCAAAATCAGCATAAAATATCTCATCAAAGTACACAGCTGAAGATTGTGCTATATTCAGTCCTAAGGTTACAAAGATGGTGGAGAAAGGTCCTTTTAAATCGGTCTATCAGAACATCAGCAATCTCAGTTCAGTCCTTTGTTCGTGGCTGGTTGATTCGAAAACAAGTAAAGCAAATTCTATGCAGCGTCTATCTCATTCAAGTATGCCACCTCTTTACTATTCTTATGGACTTGATGAATGATAATATGGTTTAAGGGGATAAAGGTATATTTGATCAGTGTATTTGCAGAGATGGTGGAGGCAGGTTCTATTTCTTGAATCAAGGAAGAGATCTGTGATTGTTATCCAGGCTCATGTCCGGGGATGGATTGCACGGCAGACTGCTGTTAGAAACAAGAAGCGTATAACTATAATTCAGGTACTGATCAACTACAAAGTTATGATGTTTAGATAGGATCATTGGAGGGTGGTTCAGACTTCAGTATATCTTTTCCCTTTTTTTGGATATACATTTGAGCCTGTAAAGATGACCATATGCTTATTTGCTTACAGTCTCTTTTACATACAGTTAGTTGTAATTTACTATGGTTGTGTATTTTTAACTGAAAGTCAGCTAACTGACTTTTGCAGTCCTATGTTAAAGCTTATCTTCTGAGGAAAAGATCGAAGCAAGAAATTACCGATGACATCATGTGTCTGATCAACAGACTGATTGCTGCAGTATCACAGCGGAGCATCAGCACTATTCGACAGATTTGTGCAACATTAAGTAATATACTCTCAGAGTTTTCTATTCTGTTACTCTTTGATATTGTATTCTTAGATTATTGCAGTTAACTAATTAACCCCTTGACACTGGTAGTGCACTAATATTTTACTACCAGTAGGCACATGATTCAGAAGTTGAGAGTTAACTGTTTCCGTCTTGTTTCTCCAGGTACGGCTACAGAGCATTCGGAGAAGTGCTGTCAGACAATTGTCAATGCTGGTGCTGTCGAAATTCTGCTGAAGCAAATCAATTTGCTGAACCGTGGAGTTCCAGACCAAGAAGTCCTGAAACAAGTGCTCTTCACTTTGAGAAACATCGCACGATTCAGGAACCTTCAACCAGTGCTAGCTAACACTCCACAGGCAGTTGAAATTGTTTTCCAGGAGTTGCTGAGGTATCCTTTTCCACTACTAATTGTCCAGCTGCTCATAAGATATTTCAGTTTTCTAGTTAGTTTCGTGCTGGTGCAATGTGATGAGATAGTAGTAACACCATAAGTCCATAATGGCCATTTGCCTTCAACATACCAGATTTACAACTGATAATAAGATTTTAAGGTGCGAACTTGTTGGCCCATGCGCTGTTCCGAGTTCTGAACATTGGAGAATTGGCTGCCTCGCATAAAGCTGTATTTCGTAGTAACAAGTTTTTCCTTCTCTTGTGATGCACCTCAGGAGCAAAACGGAAGGGTTCTTCGTCGCGTGTGATATCTTGAAGAGGCTATGCGAGTCGGAAGAAGGCCACAAAATCGCACGAGCTCTGAAGCGCCACATCAGAAGGCTGGGCTGCCTGGTGCAAGAACTCGAGAAGAAGGTGGATCTTGACAAGAGGTGAAAGAGGGAAACAAAAAATATGCAGCCTGACTTTCAGTTGCACCGCCTGTATTGTAGTTTTGGTCCTCTCAGACCTATCGAGTATTCATTGACTCACATGCCTCTCTTCTCTTTGCAAAGGAACGGACGCACCGGAGTCGCTAAGGACAACAATTTGCGGCGGCTCGGGGAGGCTGTCACCCTCCACCATCTGTTCACCAACGACCATTGTTGATGTGGTGATAAACTGATGATAGTCGATTCGATAGGCTTTTCACCTTGGAGTTGGAGGTGTTGGCTTTTGGGGGTGATTTAGGGCACAGGTGGATGTGATTTTCATGCGCTTGTAGATGATGTAATTGGACTCTGGATTTGCTGAAAAAAAATGGAGTTGCAGGTGTGTTGGCTTTTGGGAGTGATTTAGGGCACATGTAGAGGTGTTTGCCATGAGCTTTTTGTAGATGATGAAGTTGGACTCTGGATTTGCTGAAAAGGAGCATCGGCTTGATGTGTGTAACAGAGTGCCTTCTGATAAGTGCTGCGTTTTTCAATGGTTAAGTTCCGTAGTACTTGGAAGTTGGAAGTTCTTCATGCGACTTCACAACGAAGTGGGCGCAGGAACGCATAGGCGCAGGAAGGCAAGAGGGTATTAGCAACAACCTGAAGCTAAGGCTCTCCTTTCCTAACCTCTGATTCTGCACTAGCTTTCGATCCCCTTCTTCCTAATGTTTCCACTTTCTAGGTATACGCATCTATTTCAACGATATTATCAGGGTTCCAATGCGTGCAGCTTGCAAAGCATTGCAGCGTGAAAGGCTAAAAGGTTGTACTCCCTCCGTCTTACAATATAAGGGATTTTGAGTTTTTACTTGCAACGTTTAACCACTCGTCTTATTCAATTTTTTTTTACAAATATAAAAAACGAAAAGTTGTGCTTAAAATACTGTAGATATAAAGTAAGTCACAAATAAAATAAATAATAATTTCAAAAAAAAATTAATAAGACGAGCGGTCAAACGTTATAAGCAAAAACTCAAAATCCCTTATATTCTGGGACGGAGGGAGTACAATGTAAACCCAAACTACTCAAGAAAACAAAACTCAAAAGGCACAGGAATATCTCATGTACAAAACAATAGGCTAACCAGATGGTAGTTTGGTTATTGAAGTAGAACGAAAGAAATCTATCAGCTGTATTTGCCTATGTCCCCCTTACAGACATGACATATAAGGGCAATTCTAGCAACAGACCTAGATAACATTACATACAGGCAAGCACAATACAACGATCTATTGTACATGTACACCCCATCTAGCTAGGCCTATGTCATAACTCATAGTTGCTAGACAACACTCAAGTTACAGGAAGAAGAGAATCATAATTGTTATGCTCATGAGTCAGTCTGCCCTCCATCTTCATCAGCTGGATTCTAGATTGATCGGGCGCAGCATTTGAGTTGACCTCCGCCTTCGCTTTCCATCTGGAGTCAGTTTAATTGACGTCTTCACTGGAACCTTGCCATTTTTATGCCCATGTTTCTTAGGCGACTTCTGTTGCGCTGGAGAGGGTTTGCCACTGCCTTTATTTCGTGAAGGCGAATTGACCCTCTTTCGCGCGAAACGTGCCTCGATTTCCGGTCTCTGGTTGGGACCAATGAGCCTTACATGGAATGGGTTGGAAGCCGTGTGACATACCAACCCATTCGTAGTTTGTCCTTTGTCCAGATCAACACTTCTACCGTTCACCTGAATAGGAAGGTCAGAAATGTTTGGCGTTGCGCAAAATTATGACTGGAACAGGAAGGGGATTTACCAGCTGGAGAAGCGCAGAGAATGTCCTTGCAACCTCATACTTTGGCTTGCCACTAACAATCTCACTGAATGATGCAATCCCTGCATTCTCGGTTCTTGATGAGAGCGTGTCGATGATTTGCTCTCCATAAGAACCAATATCAAAAGGTGGGTTTCTATCCTGAAAAGGTACAGATTGTTGTAGTAATCAGCGATAAATTAATGTTCCAATTTGCAGAGTAGCTACTCAACCACGCGACTTGCCTGCTCTTCCAAGGCATGCTCAATTCGTTCTTTCCATGTCGAAACTCGTGCATCCAGCTCAGTCTGCTGTTCAGCCTCAGCTATGCTAGCAAGGAGAGCATCCTGGGAGGAATTTTCCATGTTACATTGAAAAGTTATAGTGCTAAGACCTATTAGTGACGAGTCATCCAATGGTGTCAAACTATTCCAAAAATGTTTCATATAGCATGTCTGGTAACCCTTATATACTTTTGCCAATATGTTGGTTTGCATGGAATCAAGTCACTTGAAATCGCAAGGATAAATAAAGAACTACTTATATAAAAGAAAATTGAAAAGAGAACTGCACATAGGAAACTATTAACTGTACTTAGTATTTACCAGATGTGACCGACACAAATCTTCAAGGCTTTCATGCGCATCCATGCTATCCTGTGTACCTTGAGCTCCATCCAATGTTGCATCATTATTCTGAGAATTGGTAAACTAAACACATTATTATGACAACCAAGTATTGGGTGACTGAACACAACAACAAAAAACAAAAGAACCTTATCAGGGTATGTTGGTATGTCCATATCAACATCCATATCACAGACATCATCTGGCATATCTGGCTCATGAATATCAAAGTCATTTACACCAATATCCGGCTCATGGCCATCCTTCAAATCTCCAAACAGGTGACTTTCTGGTTCTCCATGTTCAAGTGACCTCATAAGCTGTAATTTGATGAGTCACAACAAATTAATAAGTCAAAAAAAAATCTGATATGTTGACTGAGAATAACACATGTATGTAAAACTGATGAGAACCTTTTCGTACAGAGGAGGAGGTTCAGGAACATGATGTGTTTCCTGCTGAGATAGATGTACTTTAAAGGATGCACCATCCATCTTTTCCATAGGAAACAGAGATGCAATAATGTTCCTTTTGGGAGCACCAATGACCTGCCTTGCAAAACTTTTTACTGTTCCAACACAGAATAGGAAATATGATCCAAACGTATGTTTAGAAATGTAAGGCGTGAAAATAGAATATAAAAGAGACTAAAACTAGCATCCAGCAGATAACTTGCAATACCTTTCCTACAAGTCCTGATCTTTAGGTTGCCAGGTTCATGGGGATTCAATGGCCTCCATGGATCATCATCATCATCAGAATCATCCACACACCCAGCGTCTGCATCATCTGGGTGGGGCATGTCATTATCAGGAAAATCATGGTCAGCAGGGTGAACAGACCAATGATCATCATTTACATTTAAGTCATCGATATGTTCTTGGGTTTGATTTGCATTCATTTCTTGAGATTGGTCGGGATTGCTCTCCTGAGTTTGATCTGGATTTCCCTCTTGGACTTTTCCAGGGGTAGGTCTACGACCGGTGCCCCCAGATCTTCCATTTGGGGAACAGAAAACATTGGTTCGGCTTTTAGACCGTGCAGAGCTGCCCCTGCCAGCGAATATATCTTCTTTGGCAGATTGTTTTCCTTGCAAAAAGTCAGAAACAGCTGGTGCATCACATGGATCCAACAGGAGGAAATCTCCGAAAAAGCCACATGTTGCTAACTGCAATACAAAATAGATATGCCCGATTCAGTAAGGGAAATAAACAAAAGCATGCCATAATTGCAAGTAAGGAGATAAAATGTTACCAAATATAATTCTAGCTCACTCGCTTCGCTATCCATACAGTCTCCTTCAAACACCAGCAGATTTGCTGGTGGCCTCACATTTTTTTTTAGCAAGTCATCTCGATCAATATTGTTATCCAAAGTGGTCCTTGCTTCCACTGGCAATCGACAGGAAATCTTAGGTTTCTTAGCATTTATTTCATTCAAAGAATCTGGATGGTAAAATATGCACTGACCTGGGACATCATCTAGCCCTGAAAACACATCATCTTCCTCATTCGGTACTGTGCTACGATCACTTTCATTAGCTTGAGCTGAGCTATTTTCCTGATCTTGCCTGGAATGTTTCAGATGTTTAACACAATTTGCAGCCAAATTAGAAAAAGAACAGCATGTGGTAGGATCAATGGAACACTGCATATATATATCAATGCAAGATAAATTAAGTGCTCGATGCCTCGATTACACATCACATACGTACGTTAAATTATGATATGAGCAGCCATTAGAGGAATCTCTGTTAACATGGCTAACAAGGTATAAAATAGGTCTTTTATCCTTCAATACCCTAGTATGGTCGTAATTTGCATTGAACCTTTCATTTCTGAAAGTGTAATAAAGAAATAATGTTTTATTTATTTATCTCTCAAATCAAATGCTTGAAAAATTCCTGGATATTTTTACTTCTTTCAATAATTAGAATTTGGCAAGGTCCTGCATTAACTAAAAAAAGGGATGGACACCAACTTGCTAGATGTTGACTGCCTAGAGTAATTGAAAAGCCCAACGAATAGAGAACGATTTGAACCATCCTTTTACAGACCCAATGCTTGGAGCTTGCACAAAGATTTCACCTATTTAAAAATGGCAAGGAGTTTCAGCATCCAGCTAAAAAAGGATGGCCACCACCAATGCGAGTCCTAGGACTCGAACGCAGGTGTGTGAGGAGGCTAAACAGCTTTGCCACCACCAAGCCACTGGCCTCGTCCAGATTAGATATATATGTTTTGAAATAAAAGTTTGCCATGCATGGTGGAGCTAAATCCCAAGTGAAAGGTCAATGAAAGGAAGAAATCACTCAATCATATCATTGTTTCCGCACTCTTAATTTCAATAAAAGCACTGAATTTTAGAGTTTTTAGTGTTCTAAATTGTACTGGGCAACACAGCTGTTTGCAGATGTTCTATGAAAGGTTATTACTACAAGATATTCGATAACGTGGACTATTAATAGCATGCATTTATCACTGTTATTCAGTTTCAGGCCTATTACAAGTAGCTTTAGATTACATATATTGTCCGATATAGCAAGCTAGCACATAACGGATAACGCTGATACAAAATCACATCTTTCATTCCTTACTTCTTTTGCGAGAGAAATTCCAGCGCGTTGAGCACCAAGGTGTACAAATACTCCACCTTGCGGCTGTAAACCTGGACTGATCCCTGCAGTAGTAGTGCAGCTGCACACAAAATTAACCGTAAATGAACAGGGTAACAATCTGGTGCGCAAAAAGCAGGCAGCTTTCTTTCAAGAAAAAAAAAAGAACTTCACAGCCTAACATCGATGAGGTTAACCTTAGTCCCAAGAAACCAAGAGAGAGTAAAGACAGGGGAGCAAAAACACCTAAAAGAAGCTGCTTTCCGTAAAAAAAAAAATATATCCCGTGTTTCTAAGCTGCAATCCTCCGTTGATAAAATCAAGAACTCTGCAAACCTCCCAAAAAATCCTAGCCCCCCGCGCAGTACAAACCCTAAAAAGAAAACCCCACCTTCGGCGAAGTTGACGGAATGGGCCCCGTCCTCGCCGCTGATCTCCCCGGAGCAGATCCTGAGGAGGTACTCCTCGAGGCTCTTGGCCACGTCCACCTCCCAGTTCGACTCCGGGTCCCGGTTCGCCTGCAGGATCGGGAACCTCGCCCCGCTCGTGCTCCCCTCCCCTCCTCCTCCTCCGCCGCCGCCGCCGCCGCCCTCCATGCCTCCCCTCCTTTCCACCAAAACCTACATCCACCGAGGACACGCCTAGGGTCTAGAAGCTTCTGGAATGGTAGGCCTCCGAAGCGTGGAGGGGAAGGAGAAGCGGGAGGAGAAGATTGGGGTTAGGGTTGGGAATTGGGGAAATTTTTCGATTTCGGCGTGGTTTCTCTTCTCCCGCCCGTTGGATTTGGAGAGGCGGGGATTTTGAGTTTTGGCGAGGGGCCTTTCTGCAATTCCTGTCAAGTACAGGAGGGTAAGTGTAAAGGTGAAAGGAGGAGAGACAGTTTTGCACTAAACCCCCTCATATTTTTTCGGCTTCCGGTCCGGTCTGCTTCATGGGCCCGAACGGAATGGCCACCGATTTAGGCCCATATTTGTTGGGCCCGGAACGGGATTATGACGTAAGTGCGGGCCGGAGTGTGACTAGGGCAAAGTGCATAGGTTGTCCCTCGTCTTATCATCGAATTACAGTAAAACCAAATATATGATATTCCTCAACTTATAAAATCAGGTCACTCAGCGTCCTTAGGCGGTTTTGATCTAGGTTTGTTCGATGTGGCTGTTGAGTCAGCATGAACATGTTAGTGAAACCTCCTTTTTTTTCTTTCCCTTCCCCCTCTCTCGTCTCTTCCTCCATCTCTTCCTCACATCTGGAGTGGCGCTCCGACAACGGTACGGGCGGCGGCGAGCAGTGGCTAACCCAAGGACCCCGACAACGATGTGGGTAGTGGGTGGCGACCGACATGCTCCACTCCTTGCTCCCCTCCTCTAGCTATGTCTTTCTCGACGTCCCCGCCCTTTCCCCTCTCTCCCGGTGATCTCGAGGAGCGGCGACGGTGGACGAGCTCCACGTGCTCCTCTCCTCCACCACCCTCTTCCTCGGTGCCCCCGCCCCCTCCTCTCCCGTCAATCTTGAGGAGGAACGCGTGGCGACGGGCCTGGGACTTCTCCGCGTTCGTCCGCACCTACACCGCCTACCTTGACGACTGGCTCCTCACACCTCCACGCTCGCCGCTGTCGTGCTCGTAGTTCTCACGCTGATTGCATCCTCTGCGCCAGCCACCACGACTTCGTTCGTCCGCGGCGGCGGCGGCGGTGCCAACAACCATACTATCCTGCAGTGCAAGATCCTGCTCGGCCCAGACATCATTCCGCGCCTCTCGCGCCAGAGCGTGCTCTTCCTCTCCCGCCCCGCAATGCCGATCGCTTCCCCCGCCTCCCCGACGGCCACCTCAAGATCATCCTCTATATCCACAACCACCCCTAATACTTCCGCCTCATCATCGACAGCCCCTCCCACATCTACAACATCAAGGAGGCGCTGCTCACCGTCAGCCACGATGGCTACTTCCCAGAGATGGACGAGTTCGTCCGGGACAGGCGCGCCGCAACGGCGTCGGGGTAGACGAGTATATAGCTGTCCCAATGCTCCCCCTTCGCCTCCCCCATGCTCCCGCCGCCGCCGCCGCCCTTCCCTTATCCCGCATTGTTGCCGCCGCCGTCGCGTCGTCCGGTGCCGGTCGCCGCATCTCGCTCCGGCCCACCAGCCTCCTCCTCACGTGCCGAGCGGCCCACCCAGACGAGAAGAGTGAAAGAGAGAGGAGGAAGTGAGAGAAGAGGGGAAAGAGAAAGGTGATGACGTGGACACCCTGACACGTGGGTCCCACGCTGACTCGGCTGCTACGTCGGATAAAATCAGGGTCAAAACTGCCTAAGGATCCAGAGTGATCCCGTGTTGTAAGTTGAGAGATGATATATATCTGGTTTTGCAGTTGGGGACGATTTTATAATCCAATAACAATACGAGGGACCTCATATGTACTTTTTCCATGTGATTATGGCCGAACGTGCTGGCCAGGCCATACTAGTTGGGCCGAAACGATTAGGCCCATTGTAGTTGGCCCGGAATCGGATCACCACAACCCTGTGGCCCATTAACGCTAGGCCGCAATGGCGACGCGCCGCCGACAAGGCCACCGCTGGGCCAATCCCGGTATCCAGTATGCGGCGGCGCCGTATATCACGTCGTCGGAGGAGGAAAGGTGCGCGTCACCTTCCATAAGCGTCGCCGTCATCGCCCATCAGCTTTCTCACACCAACAGTAACCAAAATAAGAAGATTTGGCAATATCCACACCCAACCATCTCCAATTCTCAACCACAAAAGGCACAAATCATCTCCTTGACAACAGCACAGTCAAAACTAAATCCTTCACGTTTTACTGCGACAGAACAGAAATAGAGTACTATAGCACAAAAAACAACTGATACTACAAGATAACGAACAGGCACTGCCAATTTGGCAATTTTCTGAAATTCTGAAATGCCTGAGAATTGTACAGTTCACTATACTGCTATTACTTCCCCAATCCTAAGCTCACAGTGCAACTTAAATAAGTAATTAAGTAATTTTCTTGATTGATATCGAATCACTAATCAGGCTGCTCGGGCGACGGGGTCGCAGGCCGGGCCACCGCCACCGCCGCCGCCGCCGGCGAGGTTGACGACGGGGCGAGCCCGCGTATGCAGCCTCGGGACGGTTACCCTGAGCACGCCGTGGGTGTACTCCGCCGAGATGCCGTCGGCGTCCACCATCGCCGGCAGCCGGAACTTCCTCGCGAAGCTCCTCCGGCCACCGCCGCCTCCGCCGTCGCCATCGCCACCGTCATCAAGCTCGGTGCGGATGACGAGGTACATCGCGTCCTCCACCTCCACCCTGATCTCCTCCTTCCTCACACCTAACCCCACCATTCCTCTCTTCGTATCAATCAAGGAAATCAAAGCACCAAAAGATTCGATGAGATGATGTTTTTGATTGATTACCGGGGAGGCTGGCGGAGTAGAGGTGCGCGGCGGCGGTCTCCTCCCAGCTGACATGGCTGCACCTCTGCGCCGCCGCCGCCGTCGCCGGAGACGGAGACGACGACGAGAGGAGGCCGAGGAGATTCTGCCAATGGTGCCACTGCCACGGGTGGACCGGGCGCCGGAATCTTGGGCGCTCGTGCACCTCCTCCTCCTCCTCCATGGGGTAGTAATAATCCATGGCAGGCGGATTCTCCGGCCGGCGTCCGCATCCCGGTCACTCTCCGGCTGCATAAATAGCCGGAGAAAGGGTGCAAGATTGCAACTTGTTGCAGCAACCAACAAGTTGTGGTTAGCTCGGCTCGATTTCCTCCTCCCAACTTGCATGTGAGGTCCCCATGTGCGGAAAGGGACGGCGTACTGCAGACTCATCTTTTCGCTATACTTATCAGCTAAAATTTAAAATTTTTTATTTTATACTTAAAATTGATTTTAAGACTTTTTTCATCGAAATTTATTTTTAATCTTTGTTTTTATCGCTAAGAACACGTATAGAAAAGTTTTATTTATATATTATTTTCGCTTACAAATATGTTGTTTGGTTTATTTCACGAATAAATCTAAAGATAGAGCTGTTGAATAAAAAAGACGGCTTTGTCTGCAAATATCTTGGTTTCACCTCTGTCCATGGCTCCAGCCAGTAAAAATTCTATTACTACTACGTATCTTTTTTAAAAAGGAGGGTAATTTTTTTAGGGCTAACAATATACTGTTAATCTAAGCTTACCACGGTGAACGGCTCAAACTGAGTGTGAGTGTGAGTGTGGGCAGAGTACCTGAATTTATATCTTCTGAAAAATGAGTGTACTGGAATTTTACCTAAGAATTAAATTGTGAAGTCATTTTTTGTTGGAAAAAAGTTTTTTTTCTTTTTGTAGATTCATGGGTCATTGTCGGCCGTACATTATGATCCAACTTGAACCGATTGAATAAACAGGAGACCTAGAGCTAGAAGTTGGTAAGATGTCCATATATATTAATGGTTATAATATAATGTAGCAGAAACAGAAAAATCACATAAACTTTTTAGGTCAAGCATCCAACGCTAACGGAGGCATCGGACGCCCTCCTTCCCTGTCTTCTTCTCTCCCTCTTCTCCCTTCCCCACCTCTATCATATTCCAACAAATAGCAATCTAGAAAAGTGAGCCAAGCCCTCGGAGCAGAGGAAGACGATGTCGCTGAAGAAGGCCCTGAGCACATAAGTACCCTAACTCACCAGTGGTGGCGGTGGCGGCACTGAGAGGAGGAGGTGCACTGAGCAGAGCAGAAGGTGTTATTCTCAGAGATGATCTCAAGCTCACCAGACGCGGCGCCACAAGGAGGAGGTACAACAGTCATCGGAGAGTACCCTGAGCTTGCCGATGCGGCAACAGTGTCATGAGGAGCTGCAACCATCGCTGGTTGTGGACCCGAGCTCAGTGGTGGCGGCACAAGAAGGCGGTGCACGGGGTGGAACTTGAGGCACCATCGTCAGTGAAGGTGAGGCTGGTGGGAATGTCAAGCTAGCGAGGATTGTTGTAGATTATTTTTATGTTGCACACAATGTTTGTTGACGTTTCAAATCCGTCTTTTTGGTACTTGCTTACACTGGTAATTGATGTTGCAGATGGTATCTTTGAATGTTGCACATATCGGTTTTTGGGTGTTGTAGTCAATGTTCTTGAGTGTTGCATCTTATTGCAACATCTTCGATAAAAGCGATGAAACATTTTTCAACGGATGATGAAATATTAGGAAACAATTCATTTTGAAACATTTTTTTTGGTGATGATACATTGCAACATTTCTTTAGCACAAGGTGAAACACTATTCAAAGATTTGCAAACCTCCGAACACATCCAATTCCTAATCGTCTCCAAAAAAATCACATTAACTCCTTTGTGAAAGCTTGGTCAACTAATTTTTCTCCAATTTGGCAAAAATTTCTACAAGACACTAAATAACTTGATCTTTGCTAGAGGACATCGCAAGAATGTGGCTTTGCCCATGAACGCCCTAAAATTTTAGTTTTTTATTGAAGGATACCACATGCAATATTTTATGATTTTTGTTTGTTCTAGAGAGAGGATTTTTACGAAATGACCATTTTCACCCCTAGATATGTTGCACATTGCACACTTTCTTGAACCCAAGAGGCAAGTGGCAAGACTCTGCCTGATGTGGCCGCCGGGTTATAGTTGGTCACATCTCTTCAGAGGGAGTAAGCACATCTAGTGGCAAAGAAGTTTGATTCTATGGGCAAAACAGTCATTTTGTGAAATTTCTCTCTCTAAAAGTGAATATTTTTAGGGTGTCCACGGGCAAAGCCATGTTATTGCAATGTCCTCATGACTCCTACAAAGACCATGTATTTTGGGTATCCCATAGCAATTTTTGCCTTTGTTGATACAATAACGAGTGAGTTCATGTGTTAAATATATGTATTCACAAGGTAATTGACATGCACTCCTAAAAATTTGCAATAGTGCTTCTTTTCATGCCTCCTACACAATCTACCCGATCATATGTTCGTAGAGTATGTTATAAAAGTTAGTTAAAATATGAAATACTGACAACTATCCGACCCAAATTTACCATTGATCAACTTAGAAAAGCTAGATAACAATATATAAGCACATGATAGTTGTTAAAGGCGTTGAGCCAAAATTTTGGACACTTCACCCAACCCATGGTTAAATTGTGGTGTTCCTCTATAGATGGAGCAAGGGATATATCACATCCAGGTTATTTATATCTTTAAAAAAATTTCATGCTTTTTTTTATGAAATCTTGAAGGGCTAAGCCTAGGTTACCAGCCCTAATTCTCTACATCCTCCCTTCACTCATGTCTTCTCTACAAAAGGTTAAAGGGTTTGAACTAACTCAACCCTCCATCACTAATCCAACTTTAAGTCCAATTATTACATATTCAATGCCTAATCTAACCTAGCACAAGGTCTAAATTATGACATGTTAAGTTCTATTGAACGATGATTATCCAGTTGTAGACTTTTTTTCATCACTTGTATTTTAATGTTTCACTTTGCTTGTTTAGATATTGCATCAAATATTTTTTGATGTTTCACTAATTTTATGGATCATGCACAACTTTTCTTTTTACAAATGCTCCTTTTGTGTGATGTTTCGCACCTTACTAGTTAGAACATTTAATGAAACAAAAGCAACCTCATACTATTTTAGTTAATGTTTTACCTGTATGCTATAGCATGTTTTCTGATCGTTGCAATAACTGTAGTAAATTGTTGCACTAAATATGCAGTTATTTTCAAAATTCGTAGTTTTTTCTTTAAATATTATTATTGCTATAATTTTCTGAATAATTGGATTAACTTGAAAATTATAAATTTTAAAGTGGTTGGACCGACTTTATAGCTTGAAAATTATAACAAAATATAACTCGAAGTTGTAATATAAAATAGCTCAAAAGTTGTATTTGTTGTATCAGATTGAAAATATTATCGGAGCCTACAAATTTCCATCTTCCATGCTTCGTTTCTTGTGCACATCCCTCTTGAACTGTTAAACGGTATATTTTAGCTAATATTTTTTTATAAGAAAGTTGTTTTTAAAAAATTATATTGATCTATTTTCAAGTTTTTTAATATAATACTCAATTAATTATGGTTGATGAGCTACCTAGTTTTGATGTTTTGCATTTTTTCTATACTTCAGAATTATCATTATCAAGCCTGTCACGGTGTCACTCCAACCCCTTTAAACCAGAGCCACCAGAAAATCCCTCCGCCGCCAAAAGCAACCTTAAACCCTAGCACCACCGCCGCCGCCGCCGCCACCCACCCGGAGCCATGCGCCGCCCGCGGAGCCGCGGCGCGGCGAAGCAGACGCGCCTCCGGGAGGCCGACGAGATCCGGTTACTCGAGGCCTGGATCGACGCCGGCAAGCCCGCCCGGGGCACCAGGCCGCCTCCCCTCTCCAAGTCCTCCTCCTCGCCCGCCGACACCGCCGCCGCCAAGCGGGGAGCCAAGGGGGCCGGAGGGGTCCCCAGCAAGGCGGCCGGCGAGCACCCGGAGTACGGCGCCTGCGCGCGGTTCGACGAGCTGCCGCTGTCGAATAAGACCAAGGACGGGCTGCGGAAGGCCGGGTACACGGAGATGAGCGAGATCCAGCGCGCCGCGCTGCCCCACGCGCTCTGCGGCCGCGACGTGCTCGGCGCCGCCAAGACCGGCTCCGGCAAGACCCTTGCCTTCGTCATCCCGGTAATCTCATGCTGCTAGTTTTTTGCTCCCGTGAATTCCCTCATTTCGGGAATACAGCCTCTTTTGATTTTTAACAATTCACGTACTCCCATGAGTGGTGTGGTTCGCAATCTCCGCAAGTAGAAATATGCAATTAGAGTTCACTTCTACTCCTACCTCATTGTTTTTTTTTTGAAGTGGAAGCGGCAAAAGATTTGCCGATTATATTAGAAGAAAAGGGAGTGTAGTAAGTCTAGCTAGGCGCTATTACATAGTGCGCTAATTACAGGAATATTGGTAGGCCCTGGAGCATGAAGGCTGGGCTCTAACTACATTACAGAAGAGGAAATTGTCCGCCTAAGTTTAAGGGGGCTTAAACGCCCACTCTTGCTCGTTAATATCTTCAAGGACGTAGAACACAGTCTGTTGGCAGTTTGGTTCTTGTTGACAGAAGATCTTCGCGTTTCGTTGTAGCCATGTGTGCCACCAGGTCTTGATGAGTGCCGCCACCCTTAACCTTGGTTCCTCCTTGGAACAAGAAGAAGCCAGTGAGTGCATCCACTGCTTAGCCGAGGTTGTGTCGAAGTTCCCCGTGAAGCCCTTTGCAGCTGCAACTCTCTGCCAGGTCTGTTTGATGAATGTGCAATGGCAGAAAAGGTGATCGGTGTCTTCAAAGGCTTGCCGGCATAAGGAGCAGATCCAGTCACAACTCCAATGTCTTACTAGCAGGTTTTCCGCTGTTAGGGTCCTTTGGTGTAGGGTCCATCCCAAGAATTTTTGTGTCGGAAGCGCCTTTGCATTACAGTTTACAAGGAACACCGGGTCTGATATGGATCAAATGAACTGTGCACGATATGCACTTTGCACAGAGAACCTCCCTGTATTGCCCCTTGTCCAGGTTATCTCATCTTCTTGGTTTTCGTGTAGCTCAATTTGATTGAGCAAGGATCCAAGGTTGACCAGCTCATGGATCGCTTCGATGGTCGTAATTTGCCTAAAGGAGTATAGCCAGTTGTTGTTCGGTAATTCTATATCCAATTTTCTGTTTTTCCTTTTTGCCAGACCGAAAAGCGTAGGGGCGATGTCCTTGGGGCAAGGACCCTGCAACCAATTGTCTTTCCAAAAAGAAATCTTTTTTCCATTGCCAATGGAGATCTGTGTGCATGCCTGGGAAAGGCAAATGTCTTTTTCGTTGCAGGGGCTTTCCATTGCCTCCCAGGGCCTACTTTGATCCTGCCATCTTAGCCACAGCCATCTTAGTCTTAGGGCGGAGGTAAATTTCTCCAAATCCAGAATTCCTCTTCCACCTAGTTCCTTCGGTCTGCATACAATGTGCCAACTCACCAAGCTGGCGCCCAGTTTAACATTTTCTGGTTCCTCCCCTTTCCACTGGAAAGCTCTTCTAATCTTGTCGATCCTCTTTAGGACCCACTTTGGAGCCGGCAGTGCAGTGAGAAAGTGGATAGGTACTGAGGAAAGTACCGACTTGATCAAGGTTTCTCTTCCAGGTGCAGTGCAATATTTTCCTTTCCAACCCGGGATCTTTGAGGCAATCTTATCAATCAAAGGGATGTAATCTAGCTTCCTTAATTTCCTTAGATGAAGTGGGATTCCAAGGTAATTAGTTGGAAAGGATGCAACTTGCCCTGGGAAATGTCCAGTAACATGGTTGATGTCAATTGCTGCGCATGCAATAGGTAGTTTTTTGATTTGTGGACATTGGTGATCAAACCTGCCACATTCCCAAAAAGCTCTAGGATCTTCTTGAGATTGTTGATATCCTGCTGCGTAGGCTTTACAAAGAGTGCAACATCATCAGCATACATAGAAACTCTGCAGTGGAGCGGTCCCGACGGCAGAGAGGATAACAGGTTTGCTTCTTCCGCTTTCCTGAGAATACGAGTTAGTGGTTCCATGGCGAGGACAAACAGCATTGGCGATAGTGGGTCACCCTGTCTCAACCCTCTAGCATGCAGTATTGGCGGTCCTGGCTTTCCATTGAGCAGGATTTGTGAGGTTGAAGTGTGGAAGAGTGAGCATACCCATTCGCGCCATCTGCTTCCAAAACCAAAAGCCTGTAGGGTTTCTAAAAGGAATTGCCAGCTGATGGAGCCGAATGCTTTGCTAATATCCAATTTTAGAAGCAGTGTCGGGACTTTATTTCGATGGAACCTTTTGACTAGATTCTGTATGTAGATGAAATTTTCATGAATTGCTCTCCTTTTGATGAAAGCACTTTGGTTTAGAGAAACCAATTCGTTCAGTCTTGGCGCTAGACGGTTTGCCAAAAGTTTTGAAACGATTTTGGCAAAGCTATGAATGAGACTGATCGGTCTATATTGTTCTGCTGATGTTACATTTTCTTTTTTTGGTATGAGACTACATTTTCTTTTTTTGGTATGAGACAGACAAAAGCTGAGTTGAGTTCATCCTACCTCATTGTACTTTTTTCTTGAAAAGATTTTAGCTCTGTGAATCGTTGTCTTGAAACTGAAACTATAGTATTTGTTTCATATTGACTGGCAAGCTCAAATTATTTTCCAAGGTAATAGTGACCAAAATTTGCCTGATGAACTTACCATATCACAATTCTATTTGGCAGGCTTTAGAGAAGCTGTACAGAGAGAGATGGGGTCCCGAGGATGGTGTGGGTTGCATTGTTCTTTCTCCCAATAAGGATTTAGCTGGGCAAATTTTTAATGTTTTCCAGAAGGTAGGGAAGCTTCATGGCTTCAGTGCTGCTTGTATTGTTGGTAATCGCAAAGGTCTTGATGAAGAGAAGGCAGTCATAAACAACATGAATATCTTAGTATGCACGCCTGGGCGGTTACTTCAACACATGGGCGAGACCACAAACTTTGATTGCTCACAGATCCAGGTCACTATACATATCTTGTTCTATAAGACTGGTGAATTGCAAATGTTGATATATCGATAATCTAAAATGCTGCCTTTTTTGGTAGGAAACAGATTTTGGTGATTGATGAGGCAGATCAAGTTCTTGATAAAAATTTCCAAGAGCAAGTTGACAATGTTGTTTCTCAGCTTCCCAAAGTTAGACAAACATTGCTGTTCTCTGCCACACAAACAAAATCAGTTAAGGACCTTGCAAGGGTTAGCCTGAAGGATCCTGAATATATAAGTGTGCATGAGGAGGCTACAACAGCTACTCCTGATACCCTTGAGCAGTATGCCATGATTGTGCCTCTTGAACAGAAGCTAAATATGCTCTGGAGTTTCATCAAACGTCATCTAAAGTCAAGAATACTAGTATTCTTATCCAGTGTCAAGCAGGTGATAATCTGTTCGTTTCTCTCAAGGTTGCATATTTGTTGTATTTGCTTTAAACATGAGGCTTGGCAGGTAAAATTTGTGTATGAAGTTTTCAAGAAGCTCCGTCCTGGTATTTCTTTGAGATGCATGCATGGACGGATGAAATACGAAGTACAGCAGGCCATAGTAGCAGAGTTCAAAGAGGGACACTCGGTTCTATTCTCAACTGATATATTTGCTAGAGGATTGGATATAGAGGATGTTGATTGGGTCGTACAAGTAAGTTAATTACAAACACTATTTATCTGCTTGAACTTCGCTTCCTCTAATCTATTCATTTTTTTTTCTAGGTTGATTGCCCAGAAAACATTGCTCTGTACATCCACAGAGTTGGCCGTACAGCTCGTTATAACAAGAGAGGAAAAGCTCTTATCTTCCTTTGTCCAGAGGAAGAGAAAATGCTTGAAAAATTGAAGGCAGCTGAAAGTAAAATACCTATACATATTAAAAAGGTTAGCAATAATCCTTTCTTCTATTACACTTGCTTAGTGGAAAAAAACTATTTTTTAAGATTGATGTATGTCAGTTCACTTTGAGGTAAGCTTTGAAATGACAAATCTATTCTTGATGACAAACTAACAGTGTCAATAGGTGATTTACCATAGAACTGCTAAATTTGTGCATTTAGAGCTTGCAAATACTTCATGTGCTCATTTCCTATTTTTTTACCTGTCCAAATTTCTTTGTTCTAGCCAAACACAGAACAACTGCAGCAGATATCTCAGAATATAGCGTCAGTGCTGGTGCAATATCCCAATTTGCAGCAACTGGGTAAAAGGGCTTTTGTCACCTATCTGAAGTCAGTGTACCTCCAGAGCGACAAAGAGGTGTTTGATCTGAGCAGGTTCTCTATGGAGAATTTTGCCGCATATGCTGCTTCTCTTGGTCTTCCTGTTACCCCAAAGATTCGTTTTGTTAGCCACAAAAAGAATGTGCCAAAGAAATATATGGGGGATATTGATGTGAAACGGATGAAAAGAAGTTCCAAACCTGAAGTTATAGAAATTAATCCACAGGCCAAAAGTAACTTAATTGAGGATGATGGAGATTATGATATCCTTTATCCCAAGGAGCAGCAAACAGATGTAAATATGGCTGATGGTCTTGATGATGTCCTTTATCCCAAGGTGTCCACTGCAGATACAAATAATGAACCAGAGAAAGTCACACAGTAAGTCCCTTCCAAGTAATTTTTTCAGTATGGGGAATTACTTCCACCTTTTAACTTCAGACCACGAAATTTCTTTTTGTAGATACTGTTTTGTGGCATTTATTCTAAACCTATTGTCATTATCAGGTTGGGAAATAAGTCCGTGAAAAAGAAGAAGCTGAAGATAAACGTGCATAGGCCATTGGGCACAAGGGTCAAATTTGACGATGAAGGCCACACTATCCCTCCTTTTGCATCCATAGCTGAAGAAGTGGGCTCAGGAGATGTAATTGACAAGGATAAAAGTATGTTCATCCTCTTCTGATCAATTCATGGTATTCTGCAGGTAGGTTATGAGCTCAAAAACTAATATGTAATTTTTGGTTCTATTCCAATAGTTTCCCAGAGGTACGCAGAGATGTTGAGAGAGATGCAGGAGCATGACAAGGAGGACAAGCTCGAACACAAGAGGATCTTGCGCGAGAAGAAGCTACAGAAGAAGCTGAAGCTCAAGCGCAAGAGGAATGAGGAAATGGACGCAGGGTCAGAGAACAGTGGCTCGGAGTCGGACAGAGACCAGAGGACTGCCTCCAAGGGTAAGAAGAGGTACTTCAACAGCGATGACGAAGAAGGCAGCAAAGATGCGGCGAAGGATGGGGATGTTCTCGCTCAACAGGAGGCGTTGGCCCTGAAGCTTTTGAGTAAAATGCACAGTTAATTTAATGGTTTTGTACCGCGTGATGTTAATGTAGGCAGCTCTCTGCAACCGGAGAGTGAAATTTTGATCAGTGCTAGTCTAGTTCCCCGGGAGTTGATATATGCATAGGATCTGGAAATGTACCAGATTCTGTCATTCTAGTCGTACGTCGAGAATTTTGATGGAAAACATGGTGTTACTATATTATGTACTTACCGTTGAGGGTATTGTAATTTCCATTTATTATATACACAAATGTTTTGCTCTTTGAACCCATCCCATATTCAATCTCCAAAGTCCCGTTCTTTCACAAAGGAGAACATATCTATCTTTTTTGGTTTTTTGGCTTACACGATGTTTTTTTTTTGCAAAACATTTATATAGAAAAGTTACTTAAGAATCATATAAAAGTAATTAAAAATTAATTAATTATACGTTAATATCTCAACTTGTTCTACATTTTCTCAATCTTCCTCTTTCTCTCTCAAACACCATATTCCTCTAAAATTAACACTTGCTACGTGGCATCGTGTCTCATATTGGCTGAGGCGTTGAGTGGTGATGCGTGCCATGTTGTGTTCGATATAATGAGATGCGTGCCATGTTGTGTTCGATATAATGAGTGTCATTGACATATTTGTAAACGAAAAATATTTTTTTAATAAAATTTTTATATATGTGTTTTTAGTGATCTAAAATCAAAGACTGAAAAATAAAATACAATAGAAAAACCCTAAAATCAACTGGAAATTAACGGTTAAAATTTAAATTTTGACTTATACTCCCTCTACCCCATAATATAAGGCGCGCACGCATTTTAAAATTCAGCATTTAAAACATTTGACCACATAGTACAATATGAAATGAATTTTATTTATTAAAAATTATATCATTAGATTAAGATTTAAATTTACTTTCATATGATTATAATTTTATTGCTACAAACCTTATAACATATGAGACAATATAAGCTAAATATTAGTTTTGAAAACCGTGCCAGTTTTGATGGCGTCTTATACTATGAGATAGAGGGAGTATAAGCATAAGCCTAAGGGGGAAAAAAATGAACATTTGCTGAGTGGTGATGCAATGGGTGTGTTCGGTGGACATGACTTGCTCTACAGGCACAATATCTACAGCAAATATAGCAAAAGGTTCCATCGTTTCGCTTATTCGGGGAAGGCCTCATAAAATAAGCGAAACAACATATCTATAAACTAAAAATAATTTGTGAATAAAACTTTTTTGTGAAAAATAAACTTTGATAAAATAACCCAAAATCAACTCAAAATTTAAGATGGAAATCCAAATTTTAGCTAATAAGCATAAGCGGGCCCAAATGATGCGAATTGCGAAGCTGCTGGAAACATGCACGGAATGCATCGATGCTGCCGTGCTATGGGCATGTTGTCACGTTCAACCTTCAAGCACACTCACCGACTCACGAGTCACGAAGGTGGTAGGAAGATGTGTTTGGAAGTTGGTAAAGAAGATGGGCGTACACCTTACACTTGGTTGTAAGAAAAGGCTGTTGCAGCCCTCGCCTATAAAACAACATGGAACTTTGATGATTACCTCTACAAGGATAACCCAAAAGGGAGGCACCGACCATCGAACGCTTTGATTTCATGACAAAAAAGTGAAGATCAGAGGACTCGCAGCACTGACGGGAATCACAGCCTCACAGGGGGGTGATGGTTTCATTTCCATGCAAAAGCCCAAACAAACCATCCATAAATAACATTAGTCGCCTCAGTAACTCTCAGAGCATCAGATTTGATGATCATCACACCCAGGGAGGCCCAAAAAACGAAACACTGGCTACTGTCAAAAGGGTTCGATCAGTCGTCTAACGACAGGTGGTAGCGGAGCTAGAACACGACCTCATCCACACAAAGACATCTACAAATAACTTAAGGAAGCGCCAGCTCGAGTTCACGCAAAATGTACACCCTGATAATCCAACTGCGAGATCTGAAAGTTGCACGTCGCCATGGTCACTGCATAGTATGAGGTTAACTGTCAGCCAAGAACATGCTAGCATATCATCGTGTGATAAATGATGTACTGAACTTGTTATCTTGTGGCTACAGATTCAATTGACAATTGCAGTTCAGAAAGCAGATGTTCATCAATGCTTGTTTGCTCAGTTGTAGTCTAAAAGGTTAACTTGTGTAGCGTATGATGAGAATGAGGAAAAAAAATGTGGATGTTTTGACTGGGCTTTTGATCTCATACCTGCTGTGGGGGCTGTTGTGGGGGTTGCTGCTGCTGCTGTGGGGGCTCCTGCTGCTGTTCGTAATTGCCATAGCCAGAATATCCATAGTAGTTTTGCGCACTAGGATCCTGTGCATTGGGTGCACCATAGTAAGAAGAATCATAGCCCTGTTGGTATCCATAGTAGTTGCCATTCCACTGGTTGGCATCCTGCTGGGGAGCCTGAAAGGATGATTTTACGGTTAACCTATGCACATGCAGGCTACAGCTAGCATCAAAGGCAAGGAATTCAACTCTGTACACAAACCTGCTTGTTCTGAGGAGTACGGCCCCATGAAAGCCGAACTTGCTGCCCACCAATCTGAGACCCATTCAGCACACGGATGGCTTCTTCAGCAGATGACCTGAAAAAAAATACAATATAACCAAAGCAATAAAGAATCAGGTCACATGTTGGTTTAAAGATGGTTAGCAAAGAAAGCCTGAAGAATTTATTAACCTGCTAGTAAATTGGACAAATCCACAACGCTTGCCTAGAGGAATCTTCACATAACCAATTTCCCCATATGGAGTAAATACTTGCTTTAGATGGTCCTCATTTACATTGGAATCTAACCCGCCCACAAAGATCTATTGCACAATACGAAAAATAAGGAAACAGCAACTCTTAGAAATTAAGTAAATCAGAAAGTTACTCACTGTTGTATTATTGGGATCATTCTCCAAACTGTTTCCTTGGGAGCTCTGGTAACCTGCAATGACAAAACAAAAGCACCATAAGTTCCGAAAGATCATACTAAATAATATTCAAAACCCCAAACCAATGTTAGTGATCATGTTTGCTAGTCAGACCAAAGCAAACAAAACTGTAGACAGACTATTCCTTAATAACCTAGAGGGTAAAGTGCATGTGAATATTGCTGTCTAACTACGATGAATCAATCAGCAAACAAAAAAGAGCAAACACTGTTAGGGGAGGGTCGGGAAGGAACACAAGCAGTCCTTTGCTTCACAGACGTGATTTACTCACTGATTGCATCAGCTTAGCTGCAATACAAGAATAAACTGGATACAGGAGCATGGATGTTAGTATGGCAGGTCAGTTATGAATTTGAGTTGATGGATGGAGCTCAAGACCACCCCATGTACTTTGCAGTAAATGTGCAATAATACCTATGAACTGCAATTAACCTATACGGCATATATATACAAAAATAGAAACTTAATGGCATTCATAAGTTCCAAATGCAGTATGCCAATCATTCATCAGTAGTAAACTGAGAATTGCTTTTATAAAGCACAAATATTTCTCTTATTTGTGACCACACCTAAATCTTGCCCATGTATATAAATATGTTCAAGAAGATAGTTATCACATATCACTTGCTGCCCTGCATTATTTGAATAAAACCTAGAAAGTTTTTAGTATTACAGATAACATATGAATGGGGAAATGGAAAATAGAGGAGCAAAAGGAATCTGCAATATAAAATAATTTGGAGAAGACAATGTGATATTGCTTATAGGTTGGTGCAAATAAAAGGAATGATAGGTTGAAGCAGAAAGGTACATTAAGACTGTGGGAAGGCTAGATAGAGAAACCTAAATAGATAATTAAAGCTAAAATTGGAAGTACTGGAATATGATAGAGAACTTCGCAGAATGTAGTTATCTCAATGTAGTGGCAGAAAGGGAGAACAGGAAGGTAGCATATTTGCTCCTTACTTCAGAACCAAATTCTCGCAAAAATTAAACACTGACCTAACTGAGGCCATGGATTGTGACATGTATCTCAGCTGAAGACAATTCCAGACCCTATAAGGTGGCATGGCGTCCTGCTTTGAGAAACATGAATTTTGTTTAGTTTTCCATTACTTGGTTGTGTTTATTTGTATTTACCCCAATCTTATAAAGGAAACAGCAGGATGAAGTGTCTGTTTACAGCAACGAAGCAATGACAGCTATCCTTTAGTAAATTGACTAGAAAAAAGAAGTGGTAACAGCTCCCATCCAGCAAGTGCAAATGGCACAGTTAGCATATGAAGTGAGTTAGATTTGGTATTCAAAATGTTGACCCATAGAGGTTCTAATAATCAGTAATCCTGCAAGATTCTATATAAGCAAGGGTCAAGCAATACAACAAGAATTAATACTTTACTGGAAGTTAACTAAGTGCCTACCATTTGTTGAATATGTCTGCTGGGTACCCATATTCTTCTTGTTAGCTGCCGGCCCAAGCCTCATTTGCCTTGTAGACAAGGTCGCTCCATTCATCTCAGTCATAGCACGTGTTTGCTCATTTTCATCTCCAAAACGTACAAAACCATATCCCTTGGATCGCCCAGTGACTTTGTCAAAAACAACTTTGGCTCCTCTAACTGAAGGATAACTGGTTTTGAATGCTTCTTCCAACATGGAGTCTGTAACATCAGAAGCTAAATCACCAACAAATATTGTGTGCTCAGGACCATCATCAGCAGCACGCCTTTCACCAGCACCACTAGAAGCCCAGTTTAGCTTGAAAAGTTGGTCAACATTAAGCATCATCCTCCCATTAAAGTTAGCCAGAGCATATTCTGCAGCAGCGTGAGACTGAAATTCAATAAAACCATAACCCTCAGAGTGCCCACTCTGCTTGTTGCGGATGACTTTCACAGAGGTAACCTGCATGTATCAAAAGCATTATTACCAATAGCAGTAATAATAATTGTATAAAAGGGGAAGCACAAAATTGTTCAGCAAGACAAGAAGAGCATACGAACAGAAATGCAAAAAATGCCATAACACAAATGAAAATGTCAGAACTGCTTATATCGGTTGTATCAACTTAAAAAATGACATGTGCAACGATAAACTCTCACAAAATCAAAATCGTAAAGGAAGTTATTGACTTAATTTTAACTCTTAAGGGCATAGTATCGCATTTAAAAACACAATGGACATTTTTGCTGTTTTCATTAGGCCTTGAATAATTCGGGTCTAAAGGCCTTTTTTTGGTCTTCAGGTTGTTTTGCTGTAATATATTATATCAAATGGTATTTAAAAAGCATGATTGCTTCAAAAGGTTGAAGCCATAAAGGCTTTTAGCTCTAATGACTTATATAAAAAAGAATTACAGCATATTAGCACTTCTAGCCCTAACATGATGAGCTCTAATGACTTATAACAAAAAAAAAAAAAGAATTACAGCATATGAGCACTTCTAGCTCTAACATGATGATTAAAATAGAGCTATAACATATGCTAGACTTCACTAGCACTGAATAACTTCCTACAATGCATCCACACACATAAAAAATCAAAATCAAAAGCGCCTAATCCACGACATCCTCAGCACAAATCTAACATCAGAGAAAGAAGATCACCTGCTGTCCCATGGGGGCAAAAGCGTTGGAGAGGTAGCTCTCATCCATCCAGTACTGGAGATCCCCGATCCACAGCGACCTGATCTCGTCGCCTCCCGGAGCGGGCCCGCCAGCCATCTGCGCCCCGTACTGCTGCTGCGGCGGCGGCGGCGCGTAATGCTGAGGGGGAGGTGCGTACTGCTGGTGCGGGAGCTGGAACTGCTGGGGCGGAGGTGGCGCGTACTGCGGCGGCGGCGGCGGCGGCTGGCCCCACATCGCCGGCGGCTGCTGCGGCGGAGGCGCGTGCGGGGGCCCCGCCTGGTAGTAGTGCGGCGGCAGCGGCTGCTGCTGCTGGCAGTACGGCTGAGGCGGCGGCTGCTGCTGGTAGTGGCCATGCGGCGGCGGGGGCGCCCCGGAGACCTGCGGCGGAGGAGGGGCCGCGTGGTGGCCGCCGTTCATCGTCGGCGGGGGAGGCTGCTGCATCGCGCGTCGCGTCCCCGGCTGCTGCTGCGGCGGCGGCGGCGGTGGCGGAGGAGGCGAAACCCTAGGCGAGCGCGTGGTGAGGGTTTTCGATGCGTGGGAATCGGAGGGAAGAGGCGGCGCCGCGGCGGAGCGTGGGATTTTATGGGCCGGATCTGGGCCGCCGTTTGTCTCGGGCCCGGCTGGGTGTCCGTTTGGTTTGGAAACGGCCTTCTGTTTTTTCTTTTCTTTTTTTGGCGAGGAATCCTTGTGCCGTTGGATGCGTCATCAATGGTGCGATAACCATAGCATGTAGGAGTATGAAAAAAAAGATATATTTTTGGATATATATGATGCAAATGTTGGGAGGGTGACAAACTCAAAAAAAAGCTTACTACTTGGTCAAGCTATTTTGCTTTGGTTGAAATATTTTTTGACACAATTTATGTTTTCCAAGTTAGGATTAAGGGTGAGTTCTTTATATTAGATTATGGTTCTGCACATAAACAAGAACCATGATTAGAATATGATTAATTGGATATTAATTATTAAAAAAATTAAAAATAGATTTGTTTGATTTATTAAAAGCATATTTTGTGTATAAAATTTTCGTACGAAACACACTGTTTAACAGTTTGAAAAACATATTAATGGAAATCGAAGAGTGGCTAAGCTTAGGCCCTGTTTGATTCAGTTTAGGATTATTATGATCTGGATTATTATGAATAAGCTGAAACAAACAAGTAGATTGTTATGATAGATTATTATAATATAATAATCTCCTCTGGAGGAGCTTTTTCCATATTATTGAGTGGCTCACTACCCTTATATGCCTCCAATAATCCAGAGAAACAAAACAACTCACAGCTTATTGTATGTCAGCTTATTATAATATAGCTTAGAATAATCTGATCTAATAATCTAAATTAAAATAATTTTAAGCTGGAACAATCAAGGCCTTAACTAGCTGTTTAGAACGTGTCCTTCTCGGTTGAACACGATCTTTCTCCATATACTATACATTAGGTACATGATATTGTTAGGTCAAGTTTAGACTTGAATTTTGTGGTGAGGCACATGATAATATACTATACATTATCTATGTTTTTTTTAGCATTTTTGTAACTATCTATATTGTAAAATAAAGATACATCAGAGGACATCCCCACAAGGATGAAAAATCCATATCCTAGTATCTATGTCCCCCATAATACACTTGAACAAATGGTGTTAGGCTTCACCGACCTCAAGGTACAGCCAATCCGGTGATGTCATCAGATCATAAGTGTGTAAAAATACCATAGGAAAACACTCAACTAGCCATGTATCATAATAGTTCTTGCAGCATTGCAACTTTCTGCCCAGAGCAATTATGCACCACGAATAATGCGTTAATTAATTCCAAGGTTTGGATTGTCTTTTTCTGTTTATATAAATCCTCTTTGATTAGCTTTCTCATCGAAGGAACAAAAATAAACAATAAGCAAAAGGGATGAACTTCTTCGCTTTGACAAGCAATAGCCGCTAATTTGATGTATTATTCAGAGCTTTGACCTCTGATGGCAGTTCTAGTGAGTAGATCACCTTGTTTAATGCAGGAAGACGCCTCCGATGTCAGCTGAGAGTGACAAATCTGTCGACAAACTTAGCTCCTTTGATGCCATTTGTCAACACACTGTGACCAACTCGAGCTTATATAATATGATTTCATTTGAAGCTTCTGTTTGTTTTGTTTTGGATCCTGAATTTCACACAACTTTCTGAATTTCTGCCTGCAGGTTGTTGCTGTCAGGTTATGGTTAGTTGCTCTTGTATGCAGAAATGGCAGCATGAGTTAGACCCCAAATCTACTTTCTCATCCAGCATAAACAAATGAGCCATCCGGAGCCTCTTGATCATGCACTTTTTGTTTTGCACGGACACATTGCCACATCCACTAGGTAGTTTATTAGTAGTAGGTTAGCATTTGTTAAGCTAATCTAATCTTGCACATTGCTGCAGTCTTCTTGCTTAGATAACTTTTTTTTTGAGGAAATCGCTTTTTTTAGAGATAACTTGAAGGAGGGAAAAGAACAAAAAACGCAGAGAGAGATTCAGAATGCGTTTATGAGACCACAAGATTCAGAACTTATCAGTGGAGTAATAAAGAACTAAAGATTCAGTGCTTCATGCACAAAAGAAACAGCATCTAACCCAATGAGATTCAGAGTCCTCACAGATGTTCACCATCTGTTACTGGGCAATCATGGGTTTCTGATTGCAGAACAAATAACAGAAGCAAGATCAAGAAGCATTGCATTTGATTTTTTCATCAAAAACTACATCAACATGCATGTATCAGATCAACAAGAAAAACATATCTTTCAGCAGCACAAGACCACAAAAAGATTCAAGCTTGGTTACGAGCTAAACAGGAGCAAAAATGCCATAACAGGAACATCTTTGTTTAGGGAGTGTTCGTTAGGTGGAGATAGGAGAGATTGTCTCTCGTTTTCCGCGCGCACGCTTTTCAAACTACTAAACGGTGCGTTTTTTGCAAAAAATTTCAATAGGAAAGTTGCTTTAAAAAATCATATTAATCCATTTTTGAAATTTAAAATAGTTAATACTCAATTAATCATGACCTAATGGCTTACCTCGTTTTGCGTATCTTCCCAATCTCCTCAATCCCCTTCTCTTCAAACACTCCCTTAGTGTACAGATCGAGTTAAACAGGAGGCAAAAATGCCACAACAGGAACATCTTTACATTACATTTTTTGCGTGCTACAGTCCACCTAAACGCATACAAAAGATCCGTTCTTTCAACTCTTCGAAAGGAAAAAAGAACCGATCTTTGATCAAAGCACGGACGCCATTAGAGCCATCGCTTCGAGCAACACAGGCAGCAAGAACAAGTTGCTGCTGCTACTGCTCGAGACATGCATGAGGAGCTCAAGAACACGAGCCAAAAGGAAGAAGACGATATGGGAGAGCTCAAGAGCAAGAAGACGAATCATGGAGAGCCGAGCTGCCGCGGACGAGCCGCCTCAGGCTCCGGAGGTGCCTCTGCAGTCCCCGGCAGAGGCGCAGCCGGACGCTCCGGGCGGCGAGCCTGAGCCGCCTGAGCCGGACGCCGACCTGCCTCGCCGCCGGCCTCCTCCCCCTCCCCCTCCCCCTCGCCGCCGACGACCCCTCCAGCACCTTGTGGATCAGGTACTGCGCCTGCAGGTGCCGCGCCTCCTCGGCGTCCACCTTGTCCACCTTCGCGTACGCGAACGGCGCCGCCGCCGCCGCCGCCGACGGCCGCAGCAGCAGCATCATCATCGTGATCTCGCCGACGACGACGAGGAGAAAAAGAAACAAGAAGAAGCTTCTTGCAGGCTTGCAGCTAAGCTGTGATGATCTCTCACACTTCTGGGACGTGTGAGCCTGTCTGTCAGATATATAGATGGGTCACACAAGATCAAGGACAGTGTAAGGCTCAGGCAGGCTGGTTCCAGGCCTCCTCATATATTTTTTTTTATGGAATTATTATTGGTGAGATCATGAGAGCATTAGTTGGACAGGCCGTGTCATTGTTTATTGCCGCGTTTTCTTTTCTTTTCTTCTCTTGTTTGTGCATGGATGACGATGTTCGTTTCCCAGTTCATGAAACGGACAAACATAAAGTTTGAAGTTTTATTACCGGGGCAAAATTATGTAAGTGATTTGTGTCCCATCAGGACAGGTATTTGTGGTTGTAATTCGCTTTAATTTCCTATCTGAAATGAATGGTCAAAGCTTCTGCCATCCGTTTCGGGGAAAAAAAATGTCGGCGCAAAAGTTAGTTAAAATGCTGATTTGATTCTGTTCCCTGAAGAGAATTGAGAGCGCTGAAATTTAAATTCCATTGGTTTCTGAATTTACAGGGCAGCGAAATGAAGGGGCCAAAATATGAGCTACCAGTGCAATATCCAGTACTATGAGAATTGTGAACTTGTTGCATTTAACCTAGCATCTTGGCCTTCTATTTCTTCTACGGTCAAGAGAAGTAATGCAATTAAATTGGAGGGTTCAAAATCTCAAGCTGTAATCATGAAGAACAAATTATGAGCCACAAATGCAATTTTCAGTACTCAGTACCACGAGACTTTCATGCACTTCCGTTCCTTCTGAAACACTGAAAGTCTGAATCACAACCACTGCAGCGAATTCCAAAGCAAAACACACCAGATCTCAATGAGGTTAGGTGAAACCAGTTGCAATTCATTTTCCAACTCCCATGTCAGTCTAAGTCTACCCATTTTCGATCACATTGTCATTATGATCATCTTAGCATCAACATCCGGGTTTGGTTGGGACATCATGAGAGAGACAAAGAGGCAGCAAGCTCTAAGCTTCCTCTCTGATTGGCTTAAACAGTTAAACCTCAGAAGTTCAGAGCTATCTCTTCTGACAGAGCCACACGAAACACTCCCCAAAACACTTCATTTCTTCTCCTTGTTCAGAATCTCAACCGAACCTAGCTTTGTCTGAAGAGGCTGTCTCCAAAATCGTCTCTTCAGAAGCTACACTCCAACTTAATCATATTAATCAACATGCCAAAGGCTGCTCCGGTGATGTGCAGGTCAACTGAATTATGTGATATAAACAAAGCGATTTATCGGATGCATCGATCGGGGCCTGGGCAAGCCGGCACCAGATGACTCGTTTCACAGCCTGAAAAAATATTGGCAATAGGTCAGCAGATTCTGACCCTCCCCACGTATACGTTGGGCTCGTCAGAGAGACGCCTACGCTTGGCATGTGTGGTCAGTGTAGAACCGGCGGAGGCAACACCACCTTAAACTAGTTTCAGTTGCATTCTTTTTTTAAGAGAAAGTTTCAGTTGCATTTTTCATCCATGCAGATCCAGAGTTTGCGGAACAGGGCAAAATGTTTACTCTTGCAATTCAGCATCTTCTTGGAATGGTTTTCTTGGAAAGTGGGAATTTTTTTTTCTGATTCCTTCAGAATTTGTCATGTAATATTTGTTCTGTAGATTTCATGTTTTTTCAGAAGCTATCTTTGTTAGGTTTCAGTTTTTCTTTGATTTTTATTCCTAGAGCGTTTTTATTTTTATTTTTATTAGGTTTAGAGCGTTTTTTTTATTATTTTAGTATTACTTCCGCCCACTGCACACGGCTTAAAAAAAATAAACTTTTTCTTAGAGCTTTTGGTTGCAGGAAATATCAGAACGGAATCAAGATTGACAGGTTCCAATGTTCCATACGGCCCTGTTGCTCTGGTCTGGAAATGCATAGCACCAATATGATTTTGTCTGAAATTCTGAACTCTGCCGTCTCTGGCTGTCAGGCCTGAACCCTAAAGCATATTGTCATTTCTGTTTCTGGAACGTGAATTGCCGTATCTGTGGATCCGACTGTTAGTGTAATGGAACAGCCAGATTTGAAAAAGAAGATCCATAGTAGTATATACTCCATATTAGCATAGTGGTGAACGTTTGATCAGGTCGGCAAAGAAAACTTCTACTTGGAAGCTGCTTTGCCTGCATTCCATTTGTCATCTCTTTGCATTCATGGATGGGTTTCTGACAAATTCAAATTGGATTATACCCTCTCAAGGATCAAAAGAGGAGACAAGGTTTATTGTCGCTTGTCTTTTCGATTGTTGCCTCCTGCCCTTTGAAGAATTTGTGTTCTCAACAGCTCTGCAGGGAAATGCTGTTACGGTACCTGGACTAAATAATGAGAAACTGAAGTCACATCATTTTTTTAAAAAAATTCACTGGAGCAACTTGAATTCTATTTCAACCTAATTATTGAGCCAAAATAAACATATAACACATACATACATTATGTGCCTCAAAATAGTATCGTTAGGTGAGAATAATTCATGGTATTTTTCCAGTTTCCCGTCCCCTTCATTTTTGCTTTTGCTTTGGCACGTAAATAACATTTATTCCTCTTAATTAAAAAACACGGTCCTTGCGTATTCCCCAAAAAAGAATAATTCATGGCATTATGTGAATTCTGAAGTGGTAGCATGAGCCCACATGAAACTGACTGAACTGAATGTCGTTGATCCAACCGTCCGGGACAGTCATATCATTGCGGTTAGATGGCGTCCAATCTGACGAATTTGCAGCCGCATACATATATCAGCTCCTATTTTTCCTTCTGATACTATCACTGTCTGTTAACAAGAAGAGGCTGCTTTGTGTCATCCCACTTATCTAATCTTCGTCTCGCATCCTCGACCTACATTTAGAGCAATGTTAACAGAAAATGTACAAGAGTATTGTGCAGAATTCAGAGAACCAATGAAACAACCTAGATTATAACAGAAATGTGTAACTGAGTGAAATAATTGGCTTAAAACAATGTGTTGGCCCATGTGACAACACATAGTCTCTCTGTTTTGATGTACAATTTTCTTTTCTTGCCTCTAGGGGCTGTATTTTTTTACCTCTATATCCAATGAAATAGCACAATCTCATGCTGATTCTTTTCAAAAAAAAGAATCATCTGTCAGTGTAATGATGGAATCTATTTTTTTCTTTTGTTAAGATCATCAAAGATGGCTTAATGGTACCTCCTTGTTCCAATCTGTTCTGAATGTGATCCATATTAAAATAAGTGTTTGGATGAGCGTCCCTCCAATCATGCCTCCCCACAATCCCTGCATGCAAAATATCCATTTTCAAACTTGCAAACGTTTAACCTTTTCCAGTTGACTCTACAACTGAAAAGTCAACTGAATGTGTGTCAAATTGCGGTATGTCGAGAATTAATAGCACCTTAATTCCATAGTCAAATTTGAATCCCAGAAGCACGCCGAGGGGTAGGCCGATCAAGTAGTAGCATCCAATGTTAATGTATGCTACCAATGCTTGCCATCCACAGCCAACAGCCACACCTTCATGATCAGTAAACAAATTCAGCAACAGTGAAATGACAGCAATGTTACTGAGATGTTGCATATAATTCGTTCCCAAAAGCCAAATTGCCCCCAAGAGTCAACTGCAACTCTGCAAGGGAATAATTGTTTCTGAGTTTCAGTACTAGTAACATTTTATTAGGGTGGTTAGTGCAACATCTTCTCAAGAAGAAACTGCAAATGGGCAAATAGCAATCTGATACATCATTGGCAAGTGATTATTGTAATTAAGCAGTGAACAATGTGTTAGCATTCAAATGCAACCAAATCAAACTCATGATGCAACCTACTAGATTGCAAACCGAATCATCACGCACCGAGCTGAAAACAGCCTCAACCTACTAAAATCTCAATCGATTGCAAATGCAACAATCTAAAACAACTACTCCTGGTTACCACCAAACTGTCCGAACACAATGTTCAGAAAATTACAGAGCACAAATTAACAATCAGATTGGAGCAAAAAACATTCAGGAAACCTCACCTGACAACACGGGCTGGATCCCGCAGAGCACGATGGTGCCAACAAGCAGTGGGCAGAGGTCGGAGACGGCGCGCGAGACGGCCTCGCCCTGGGTGAAGATGTAGCTCAGCTTGTCCCTGAGCAGGATGACCACGACGCCGGCAATGGCGGCTATGATCGCCGAGAGCGCGGTGACCATCCATGTCGAGAACGCCGCCGACCTGGGGTTGCCGGCGCCGAGCTCATTCCCAACCCTCACGCTGCAAGAACAAAACATTGAACAAATTTCGCATCGATTCAAATCTTCAGAGACAGACATCAACACATCAAGAAGAAGTAGAGATAAGATCACTGAACCGACCTGGCAGCAGCATTGAAGCCCACTGAGATCATGAACACCCATGACTGTATCGACGTGCTGCAAATTGAAAAAGAAAATTGCACTGAATTTCACTGAAATTAACAAGTTCGATTCATTTTTGAAATCTTTACCAGACGGTGAGTGCGTCGAGGGCGATCTGTGGGTCGGGGAGCATGCCGGCGAGGAGGATGAGCACCTGGAAGTACCAGACCTCGAGCGCCAGCATCACCGCCGACGCGGCGGAGAGCCTGGCGAACGCGGCGAGGTCGTGGAACGCCGCCCAGGTGAAGCCCGTCCACGTCGCGGCGCACCGGGGGCTCCGCACGATGTACGCGAACTGCCCCGCGACGAGCACCCACCACGTGGCGCTGAGCGCCAGGGCGGCCCCCGGGAGGCCCAGGCCGAGCACCCGCACCGCCGCCCAGCTGAGCGGCAGGTGGAGCGCGAAGCTCGCCGCCAGCACGGCGGCGCTGGGCGCCACGATGCTCTGCGCCTGGAGGAACTTCTGGATGGGGAAGTTGGCGGCGTAGGCGAAGATCTGCGGGATGAGGCCGCGGGCGAACCCGGCGGCGGCGCGGGAGATCTCCGGCGACTGGCCGAGCAGGAGGAGGACGCGCTCCGAGCACGCGTACAGCGCCGCCAGCGGGACGCCGGCCGCCGTCAGCAGCACCGCCGACCGCTGCAGGTACACCCCGAGCATCTCGTGCCTCCCGGCGCCGTACGCCTGCCCGCACAGCGTCTCCACCGCGCTGCCCATCCCGAGCTTGACGACGACGACGACGACGTACACGAATACCGAATACGTATTATTATACGTTTATACGTACATTGTGGTGGCGTATGGGTGGGTGTACGGGATGGATACCATGAGGCCGTAGGCGAAGACCTGGATGCCATTGTTGCCGAGGGAGGAGGCGGCGAGCTGGACGTTGCCGAGCTGACCGCAGAAGATCTGGGTGGCGGAGGACATCACGATGATCAGCATGTACACCACCACGGCCGGCGCGGCGAGCGGCGCGAGCAGCCGGAGCTCCAGCGCCGCCGCGGCCGCCATGCGCCGCGCCCACGGCGCCGCCGCCTCGCCGCCGCCGCCGCCGCCGGAGAGCAGCGCCTCCAGCCGGCCGTCCACGGCGTGGCCCATCTGTGGATGGATCGATCGATCGATTCCTCGATCGAACTGCTGCGGCGAACAAAAGATTCAAGAATCGCGCGCGCGCCGCTAGTATACTAAAGATCTTGGTTCCGGTGAGGAGTTGGGTGGACTGACACTGTCACTGTTCGCGGACGGAAAGGGCTCTCTGACTCAACTGCTGTATAGTTGAGCCACTGACATGCGGGCCATAGAAAAGTGGGACCCACATGTCAGTGACTCAAATGCATGTGCAGTTAACTCACATGATTTGCTTCCGTTCGCCGACACGGCGCACTTAAACCTGGGTTAACTTTTTGTCCTTTTGCTTGATCTCTGTTTTTTTTCTCTTGTCTTGTTCTCATGGTGCTGGAGTTCTGCACCTCCTTACACGTGATGGGCGTCTGTTGTTTGCACACGTGTAGGAGTGGAGTAGATTGCAGGGTTATTATATAAAGACCGTGATCGGCCCAGCCGCCCAGCTGATTTTGAATTAAAAAAAACTAATTTTAAGAATAACTTTGGATAGATTTTCAGCTTAGTTTTGGTTAGACTTATTATGATGGAACTGGCCTATCAGATGGATTTAATCTTATGAGGTGGCACTTGCAAATGCTGGTGCATTCAATGATAAAGTGTATACTCATCCTACATATAATATCTAGTAGTTTAACATATTTGGACCATACGTTAAAAAACCCGGATCGGCCTGACAGTTGAACTAGAAAAAATCGAACAAACGACCTTGGTGGCTCAGTTCAGCTCAAAGACCATCCCCGCAATAGGACCGGTAAAAACAGGATGAACCAAACAGTTTTTGGTGGTCGTTGAACCGGCGCGGTTTTGTAGAATTGGGCGGTTCCATGTTTGAACACACAATACATCTCCTTTTGCTTATATTGATACTGTGAACTCAGGGGTAAGATTGGAAAATGGATAAGCCATCAATAGGGTTTCTGACTTCCTGTAGAAATTCTGACAGACGTTTAGATCCACTCATCCACTCACATTCTCAAGACTCAAGCTGAGATGGGAATGTTTGGTTGATGCCTAACCTTGCCATAACTAAGTTTAGGCTAGTTGTGATATGGTGGCACAAATGTGGCTTAGAAATAGTTGGCCACAAGTGTGGCATGTTTAGCTGTAAATTTGAGAGCATGTCATGTGGGTCCCAAAGTTAAGAAAGTGTGGCATAACACAATTGCGGCAGTGAACCAAATACATACCTAAAAAACTGTGGCATGACTAACATGTGACGTGGCAAAGTGTGGCAACCAACCAACTAAGACTAATTAAGCTCACTGCCCAGGTTTAGCTCGGTGCGTCGCGCCGCTGGCGGATGCCACGTCGTGATTTCTCTCTCAATGCAGTGTCCGGCGGCCTCTCATCCACATTCCAGTAGCGGGGTAAGCTGGCATAACGAAGTTGCTGACACTACAGGATGGAATACATTTGAAGGCATTCGGTTGAAGGCATTTATCTAAAACTGCCTCAAATCATCGCCTTTTAAGGCAGTTTTGATAAAAATACCTCAAAAAATATTAATTACAAGGCAAATTTAGTTTATGCCTTTAAAAGTCTGTCATCTGAAGGCACTTTTATTATGAATGCCTCAAAAACTCAGTGTTTCTAAGGCATTTTTCAGTAACGCCTTAGAAAAATTATCTATTACCGGCACTATGATGAAACGCCGTAATATTTCATACTATCTAGGGCGTTTTGCAAAATTGCCTGGACAAACGAAGGCATTTGGAACAGAAATGCCTCCAAAACTGTTATATATGCAAAAAAAACCCTAAAAGAATTTCACTTAGATAAAATAGTCCTTCCACCACACGTGCTCATCCACCACATACGAAACCTTATCCTCTCGATCAGATCGCGTGAGAGAAGAAAAAACGCTAGAAAAAAAAAATCATCCATCGCCGCTTGCGACTCCGAGCGGCGCCACCGCCGCCACCACCGCCGTCTGCCACCGCCACCGCCGCCGTCTGCCACCGCGCCGCCGCCGCCGCCCTCTGCTGCCGCCGCTCTACTCCCCGGATCTACACACACCATCCTGCTTCGCTCCCGTTCCATGCCCAAAACTTGCATATCACTTGCGCCTCAAACAAGCTAGGGTAGTCGTCGGGGGGAGGGGGGCGCTTGCTGCTCCCTCCGCCGGCACCATCTCCAGTCCCGGTGTCGTCTCTCGCTGTTGGATCCGGAGTCGCGCCTCCACTTTCTTCATCCTAGTCGAGCCGAGCCACTTTGGGATCTACCGTTGCTGCCTTTATACTGTGAGTATATGAACTAAAATTTGTGATGTATACTTTGATTTGTCATGAGATGATCGATCTACTTTGACTTATTAGCTCTAGAATACATAATGTTTTACTGGAGAATCTCCTTATATATGATCTATTATTGTTTTTTTACCCTGCAGTTTGAGATTTTAAATATATTTATTTAATCCTAGTCTGCTCTAGAGTGTGAAATCACCATTCGATATCATTAGTATTATTTAATTTAGAAAATTGGAGTTACCAGTTGTTCAGTTGTGAATCATGAAACTTCCTAAGTACCATATTGCAGAAGTATCATTCCTGTATATAAATCTATGGTTGTAGAAAATTATAGGACGTATTATAAATGATTATAGGATGTATTATATTTGGAGAATCTGAATATTACTCAAACTGAATATTTTGGTTACATGCGGTTGTTGAGATCTATGTATTATGCTGATTGAAATCATTCCCATGCAAAAGGGTGCAGTGCAGCCTGTAGATCAAACAATCCAACTTCCAATATACTACAATAGCCTGACCAACCACTGTTCTTGATGAATTTCAACCAAAAGCACGTCACTATATGCAAATCATCTGAATCTAAACAAGTTGACACAGAAAAATGATTTTTCATGAATAACAGTTATTTATGCATGAATCAGAAGATTTATTTAAAAAAAATCTAGTATTGTCTGAATGCACTGATACACATCTACCCATAGTACTATATTATCATTTGTCACACTGACCCAATTTGGGTGTTTTTAGGGGGTTTTACAAGGTTGTCCTGTGCTAGCTTGTTTATGCTTAGTGAAATAATGTTCATAAAATACTTTTTTGGTCTCTTGTATTTACCAAAAGATTTTTATTAGTTGGTGAATGGAACTGAACTGTTTAGTAGATGTTTGGTGTTGAGCTGGATGTGGAGATGGTTTAGATGCTTGCATAGGCATTAATGCATTATTAATCAGTGATTCATTTAACCCCATATTTTAGTATTATTATAAACTAATGGTGCAATCTGTATTTTCATCTATGTTACTAGGTAATATTAATTGAATTTACCATGGATAAGGATTGGATGAAAACATCTAGATCTAGTGCTGAATATAATATCGGGGTTGATAAATTTATAGAATTCGCCTTATCCAATTCAGCCCACAACAATAGAATCATCTGCCCTTGTAAGAACTGTGGAAATAGATATTGGTTAGGTGAACATAAGGTTCGTGAGCATTTGATTTGTGATGGGTTTTTGGCCGGGTATACCTCATGGATTCATCATGGAGAAAGCATGTCGACTTCCAAGCCAAGTGTTGCCTCAAGTTCACATCATGAACAAAATGATGACATGGACCAAATGCTGCTCGAAGGCCTTGGGATGTACGACAGTCGTACTTTAGGGACAGATGATGGGGCAGAAGATGATTTGGATGTTGATGCTGAAGCATATTATAAGTTGGTAAATGATGGAAGTCAAGAGTTATATCCAGGTTGCAAAAACGCTATTTCTGTTGATGGCCAGGCACTAAATGATTGTGTTGACATCCTTGTTAACACTGTATTCAATCAGCACACCATAATACCTCGTGCATATGGAATGATCAGCAAGTTAGGAAGTGCTCAAGCTCGATGCATCCCATGGCCACGTGACAATGTATGATGCTATTAGTTCATTTTTCTAGCTTATTTACATGCAACTAATTTTTTAAAATTACATTGCAGCTAATGCATCCAAGTGGTCAAGCTCTACATTCTAAGGTACTGCATATTTCACTAATTGTTACTAGTACATTTAAGTCAAAATTAGAGTGATATTGCTATATGTGGTAATCTGGATGTTAAATATGATTTTCACTCAATTTAAGGTGTCGACTATTGCGAGACATAACTCAGCTAACCAAGGAAATTCGGTGGCACTAACTGAGGTGTTCAAGCACAATAGCATTGATAATGCACTGCAAAGTGTTGTTGGACACAAGAGAAAGGTGCATGATCTAACACCAAAGGAGAATATAGGACGTGAAGATACACATTCTAGGGCAAAGAAGATTGGGAAGGCCAGACCCGATTCTCCATATGCTAACTTCACCAATAGCCAACTGTTAACAACTTCCCGGTTCTAGCTCAAGTAAATTGCCCCTCACTCCCTCTCTCCATCTCTTAATTCTTTTTGCAATCATATGTGGACAATGTATTATATTTAGGTGATTAATGAGTACAGGAGTTCTAGCAAATGAATATTAATCCTAGTGATATGCTTTGTAGGTGTTGCTGCTGCATCTGTTTATTCTTAAAGAACTATAGTTCATGAGCTCAATCTTGTTTGTGTAAATAATAGGAAATATGCATGGTATGTTATGAATTACTATGAAACTGGTTCTTATATTTTGATGGCAATGGATGTTATGTTATGGCCGGGATTAATTCCCATACTTTGCCCTGCAAGGTTGGATGAAAAGATGTTGGTTTACCTCTTCTCATGTTGTGATTTGCTACTTTGCCCTCTAATCGCCATGTGCAAGATGATGTCTAACATGACTTTGTAGCATGGATATGATAGGCACCTGAATGCAAATGTATATATTGCAACACGCATGTATATATATATATATTGAAAATCGATATAGAAACTTACATGTTTTTCTTTTGCAGGTCCAAATGCATGGACAGGTTTTGGTGTAATCCATTCTCAGGTTGTGTTTTTCCTCATTGCAAATACATGCGAGCCTCACAGGATGACAGGGGCAAGCCACTCAGTAGATCAATGATGTTTATTGTCTTGTAAATCATAAATATACCATTGATTGTGATAGCATATCTTACAAACTTAATTACCATTGAGATGATTTGTGAACCACTTAATGTGCGATTGAATTGGAATTGGGAATTATTCTTCTATATTGTTTTTGGAGATATATGTGATGTGTTATGTTATTTCCTGTTAAAACATTCATATGGTGGGATGAGCCTATATATGCATGTACTGTACTATTTGAGGCATTTTAATAATGTGCCTAAAAAGAAAAGTAAAGGCATTGTAAAAAATGCCTTGAAAATAAATTAGGGGCATATGTTAAAATACCTCGGAAGAAATTATTGGCACAAGTCCAAATGCCTCAAATGTGTATAAAGGCATTCTAAAAAGTGCCTCAAATGTGTTTAAAGGCAATCAAAAAGTGCCTTCATCTATACTTATGAAGGCATTTTAAAAAAGTGCCTTAAAATGTCTTTTCCTACAGCAGTATATCCAACACTTTTTTAAGTGCCTTTTTTAAGTATTGGAGGCATTTTTTTTAATAGTTGAGGCATTCTTAAATGCCTCCAAATCCTATCCATCCTGTAGTGTGAGGTGCTGGCGGTCTTCATGTCGGCAGCAGAGCAACTGATCAGCAAGCCTGGTGGTAAGGTGTGCACAAGGGGTCAAGGCTCAAGGACACGCCACTGCTAGTGCTAGCTGCTTCTTGTTCTAGCCTCAAGAAAGGTATGTGCATGTGTAGTTGACTAGTTGTTTACACCAGATTTGTTGCTAGTTAGTAGTTAGCTCGGCTGTAGATGTTTGATTTGTTCCATCAATCTAGTCTAAAATTGGTATTGCATATACGATGAACTTGATTTGCTGCTGATTTGTTTTCTTCTCCATTAGATTTGTGACCCCATGTTCATCCATTTGCAGCAATGGATTCTTTATCCACTCCAGAACCACTACTGCCAGATGTGCCAGTAGAACAACCACAATCTCAAGAGGATTCCTGTGCTGCTGAAATATAGGAGCAAACTATAATGATATGTTGTATATAACTTTCTTTTTTCTTAGTCATATTCAACATAAAATTGACATAACAGAGAAAGAACTAGTAAGTGTGGATGAAGCTAATCTTCTTGATGATGATGGGAATTCTGAAGATGGAAATGCACCACCTGGATATGGATGATCATGCTCTTTTTAGTGGTGATATTGGACAACCAAATGAAGCAAACAACGATCAATGGGATAATAACCTAGCTTGCTGATTGGAATTTTTCTCATGTTTAGGAGTTTTTGTCATGAATTTGTTGGCTGTGTACTCGCCTTGTATGGGTTAAGAGCCATATACTTACCCTTTTAATTTTCCTATGCATACCTTATAAACTTTATTAAGCTGTTAGTCTGTTGGGGCACTATTACCATGATACAGTATTATGGATTTATTTATGTTACGATTCTATCATTTGTTTTTGTGATGCTGTGATGTTCATGTATTCTTAGATATATTGGTGGTATTTTTAAAACATTTATTCATATATATTTTCATCAATTTCTGGTGTTTCTGTATTAAAAATAATGCAAAACAAATATAATATCAATTAATAAAAAAGGGCGGTTTGGCTGGTGAACCAACAACTTGAGCGGTTCGATCTAGTTTGATCGTATCATTAGTGGTGGAGCTTCACATGCTATTAAGAGGGCGATATTAACAATTTAACATGAGTTCTATGGCTAATAAATATCCACAAACGTAAACATACACTTAACATAGTTGTAATTTACACGGAGCGGGAAATGCTAAAACCCAATATAACCTCCATAAAGCTCTTATCATTATGTGTGACCGGGCGTAAGTGCGATGTGGGAGGCCGCTACGGATCGGACGTCCGATCTGGTGCAAATCATCGGACGGTGTTGCACCGTCTTACCGAGGAATGTTTCACATGTTTTATCCCTTAGAAAAAAAAATGTTTCAATGAAAATATTTTAGATGTTTCACTCCTAGAGAAAAATGTTTCAGCGTTTGAGGAAAATTGTTTCAACCAAATACAATATTCAACAATACGGATTGGTGGATTGTAACACCAAGAAATCAATTCATGCAAAACATCAAGTCAAAATGGAATGAAACACCTCAATACAATAAAATAAAGTACAACAAAAAATATAAAAAGCTGAAACACCATGTGGTTGTTGCACTGTATTGTTGCAAAATGTTTCACTAAAAATGTTTAAGATGTTTCATCAATCAGGGAAAAATGTTTCATCTCATCAACGGAAGTGTTTCAACCAAATGCAATCGAAACATATCAATTGCAACATGAAAAATCAATATATGCAACATCGAATCAAAACAAAATGAAACACCTTAATACAACAAAGTACAACACAAAACTAAACCCACCTCCGTCTTCTTCTTCAACTCCAGCGCTAGCGACCACCCTCAACTCCGGCCGTCGTCCCCAGACGAGCAGCAGCACGAGATGGACGACCTCGGCTAGGAACAGCTGCATCCGCATCAGGTCTCCGCCGGTGGCCATGTCTTCAGATTCACTCCCGCCATCACCATCGCCATCGCTGGAGCACAGGCATGATGGAGGCGTGCTCCGCCCCTGCCGCCTCCGCCTCCCCTCGGGCCGCCGCACCGCCGCGCTCCTCCGCTCCGGCACCGCTGCATCGTCCTCGTCCGAGCGCCGCCGCCGGAGCCCAGGCACGATGGAGGTGTGCTCCGCCCCCGCCACCGCCTCCCCTCGGGCCACCGCGCTCCTCCACTCCGGCACCGCCGCCGCCTTGTCGCTCTGCGTCCGCCTGCTTGGCCACTGCTAGTACAGGCGTGGGGAGAGAGGAGAGGAAAATGAATGGTTGGAAATGAGATAAGGTTAACTGTTGTGCTGGGGAAAGAAATGGAGAGAGTGGTTAGCGTTCGATTTTTTGTCACACGCCGGACGTACGAGTTGAAGCATTTTCATACAATGTGTACGTGAATGCGTGTGCGCATCCGACTTATACATTCGACAACACTCTTTTGACATCATTCTTGGGACTGTGTGAAGCACATCGCTAATAAACTTTGGACTGTCTTTTTTTACGATATTCTTTGAATTGTTGAAAGGCCAACAAGGAGTATTTACTTTTGTGTCTAATCTATAACCTAATGTTTTTAGTGTTGGCCTCTTCTGTCTTGGCTACTTGGAAGGAGGACCATATATACTTCGGGCTGGTTTGGTTTGAGGCCTAAATTAGGCTTACCAATATTTGGTAATTTCAATAGTATTTAGTGGCTATTTGGTTTGAAGCCAAATTTTGGCATGCCTAAGAAAATAGGCCATTTCAATAGTGAACTTAGGCTATTATGGCTTCAATCCAAATGTAATTTTGCCTTACTAAAATTAGTCATGCCAAAACTTACCCAAATTTGGCACTGACAAATTTGGTAAGGTTTATTTAGGCCACAAACCAAATCAACCTTTCTCTCCATCAATTTATGGGGTAGAAAGCTTCCCAAGCCCCATTGCTTAAGATCAGGAAAGCAACTTAACAGGCCTAATCTTTCTCTCGATCAAATTCTAATCAAGACAGATTAGGCCACTGTCGGCCTGTGCCCTGTGTGCCTGGAGTGCATTTGTATACTGTTGCGGCTGCTCGGCCCATTTCTGTTTACAAATTCCAGGGCTTCATCCCATGTGGGCTTCTACATGTTCAGCACTTCAGACTTCCCAGACCCCCCCCCCCCCCCCCCAAAAAAAAAGTATACTGTTTTGAGATGTGGCTGAGAACCCAAAAATGGTGAGCTACTATCATCACATCAAAATTCAGATTTTTTTTATTTTTTATTTTATTTATTAAAAAAATTAAAACTATTTTTTTAAGTTTTACAAATCTACACCCCTAACATCTTTTGTAGGATATTTTTTAAAATTTTTATGACGTGACACATATCCGTTGGAGCATTCTAATAGCCACATGGAGGGTGGCCAGCCATTTTACAGGCAACCTCCTTGCCGCCTTCTTAGAGGGCTGCAAAGGGACCGCCTCTAAAATGTTCACACGACCATTACATCACACTAATGGGTAAAAGGTGTAGATTTGTAAAGCTTTGAAATAAAAAAAATATTTTAAAATATTTTAATAAATGAAATTAAAAAAATAAAAAATTCTCAAAATTCATGGCACAAGGCGTTACTTGTTACAACTACAAAATAACTCCACCCCTTTCCATCCAAATGCAACGGTTAATTTGAGGGTTAATTGCTGATGATACACTGTACATGCTTGTGCAGATCATGTGTTCAATCGAATAAGGAAGGTGGTCGGAGAAGAAAGAAAGAAGCAGCTGTTCATGGCTACCTGCCGTGGAGTATATTGGATAGCGGCGTAGCGCTACCTCCTCTCCAAATAAGCAACAAATAATCAAGGAGATAGTTAAGCCAATAATAGCGTGGATTAATTACGCTCGCAATTGATAGGACCAGCGATCTGCAGTCCGAGGAAAATGGGAAGTAGCGTTAAAATTCAGTCGATTTTATACTCAAAAGGATAGAAGAAAGAAATACTTATTTAGCATTTTTTTTTGCCAAATATACCCCTTATCAATCCTACTACACGTAGGACGGTAGGAGTATAACTAATTCTAACACGTTGAATCAAATTAAACAGACGGTCTATATCTATCCAAGGGTACCTTAAAAAACTTTTTAATTTTTAAATCCTCCAAAAATCCATTGATTCCTCCGGTCCAAAGGAGGCTTAAGTGCCAAACTGCCAATACGCAATGAACCTGGACAGTGGCTTCAAATTCAGAAAGGCACTACTTATGCGTGTCCATATCTGCAAAATGCAGTTAAAAATTGAAACCGAAGGTTTGCAACTTGAAAAAAAAGAAAAGAGTAAAAAGAAGTTCCTCAAATTCACACACCCCAGGAAGCCCACACGTAGTTTATCCCTAGAAATAATACTATATCTTGCAGATTTATGCATGCAGCTGACAGGATTTATCTTCACACACTGAATTACATAATTAACATACGCAGACAAAGGAGCTAGCTGACTTTCAGCTCCGTTTGTGTAGTTAATCACTTGTAAATTGTGCATGATTGATGATCAGTTCGTCATTGCCTCAACAAGTTGATTGATTCCAACGTTTTGTCGAGGCAAATCGTGTGCGGTCTTCTACGCAGCTATGTGTCATTGTGCCTGTTCTTCAACTCGCTGCTACGTAGGCAGGATAAGCTTGCATGGACAAAACTCGTTGGCTAAACTTGGATTGGGTCAATCGGTTCAGTCTTCAACTGTAATTGTATTCCTCCACAAATTAATATTGCAACTGTTGACAGTTTTTTTTGTAGTTGTAATTACAGGAAGAACAGATTACCGTGTCAGCAATTAGCAGAAGAAACAAGAACTTGTCAGTTGTTGTCAACTGCCCAGTTCAGTGATTACATAATTGACCCAAGAATATCTCCGCGGAGATGGTAAATTAGGTTAAATTATGTATTTGTGCCGCTAAAAGTCAGGTTCCATGGTAGGAAATTTGGACCCAAAAAAATGTTTGTTTTTTTTTCAAGTCAACAGCGGAGGGATTTGATCAGATCAAAGGAGTGAGATTGAGAGCAGAGTAGGATAGGCTGAGGAGAGTTCAATGGATTTTAATCTTGGACGATCGTTGCCAAGACTTAGGCCAGATGATCTATTATTTACTGTTTAATTTACCATGTAAATGGTATAATTTGTGTCATTTTTCATGTTTACGAATGCATAAGTGCTCTTCTAGATTTTCAGTATGAAAAGTCATATTCTGCCTTTTTATTTTTAAAAAAGCACCGTCTCAGCCTAATGATCAGTACAGTTGATGAAACATACAGAATATGTTAGCTGTACAACCAAAAGTCCACTTCCAGAATCTGTTGAGAGAAACCACTGCATGTCCTAAAAATAATCCAACCTTTCCAAAGCCCAAAAATAAAATACAGTACATGAAGAAGCAAACGAACGTGATGCCCAGAACGGCAGAATTCAACCAAAAAACTTCTCAACAAAAGAAACAAGTCAAAACAAGGAACACATAATGCAAAACATATCCTTGATTAGGAGGCAAGATATGATGATGATTAGGAGGGTAATTAATCAAACATCTGCAAGAGCTAGGAGTGGAGGTTCACCATCTCAACCACTCTCTGTCCATTCTCAACTAACTGCAGAGTAGCCACGTCCCCCCACTTGCTTTACAAAGTGCTAAACGGCCAAGACATGTATAACAGTGACAAGCACATATGACAGTATATATGATGAAACTACTAGACGAGTTGTTTGTTACTCCTGTTTAATTAAGCCTCATATCTGCATGAACAGTTGACTGTGGTTGCTGATCAAATCTGGATCTTTCCAGAGAAACGCACATGAGCAAATAGTTTTGTAAGCGCTTACAAATAGCTTTTGTTAAGATAATGGAAGTATTAGTAACTAACAAACACTACTCTGTTAACTAGTATGTTGCTCATCATATTACAGCTGTATTGAACAAACCCAATGTCAGGAAGAAAAATCGATGGTCATCAATGGAAGAATCCCCATCCAATGCCAAATAATTCACATACACTACTACATATGTCTTTACACAATTACACATCTCACTCATTTACTACTAAATACCAATATATAGTACTAGTATTATCTACTCATTTACGATAGCCTACTACTCCATATGTAGCTAGCTAAGCCTGCCTAGCTCAAGTTCATGCCTTCTCAAACCTACCAAATGTACACCCTACACACCATGATATAAACTACTAGACATATCAACGCAAACAAGAGGTGATTATGATTAAAGTAATTACCACCAAACTAATCATCATGATGACACTGCATGATCAAACCAGCATATATATGATCAGTTGGTAACATGGAAGAAGATAGCTAAGCTTGGATCGATCAAGATCGATCACTCTGGTATGACGTGCAGCGACGGCCTCCACTGCTCCGGCCTGTGCCGGAAGTTGCAGCTGCTCGTCATGCACAGAAGCTCCGACACGACGGCGCCGCCACCGCCGCCGCCATCGCTCCCCTCCTCCAGCCGCCGCAGGAGCTCCTCCAGCTGCTTCCTCGTGATCCGGATCTTCACCTCCGTCACCTTCTCGCCGCCCTGCTTCCGCACCTCCTCCTCCTCCTCCACCGCCGCCGCGGCCAATTCCTCCTCCACCAACACCGCGCGCTTCTTCTTCCCGGCGTCGCAATGCGCGCCGCCACCACCGCCGCCGAGCGATCTCTCGAGGCAGTTGCCCATCACTGCTTGCTTGATCTCGATTCTCGAGTTTAATTTGAATTTTGATGCGAATTGCGAAATGGAAAATGGTGAGAGGAGGAGGTCGATCTCCTCTGCGTGGGGGGTATATATAGGCGTGGAGATTTGGAGGGAAAAGGAGAGATGGGACACGTGGATGGCTGGGATCTGGTCTAGGTTGCCAGGCCCGCCCGGCCGGCTGGGCCGACCGCGTAGACGTGGCGGTGCGACGAGATTCGTGCGAGGACGGGGGTTTGGACGGCTCGGATGCGGTCCGGGCGCGTGGCGCGTGGTGTGAACAGGAGTGAAAAGGCGGAATCGTGTTTGGTGGGCCCCACGCGGCCTGTAGGTGGCGGTGAACGTGGACACTGTTGGCGCTTCCGGAGGCTTGAAGGATTTTGGTTTTCTACTCCTACTATACAGCAGTGAAATGGAACGGCAGTTTTTTTTAGAACAAACTTTACAGCAGTGAAATGGTACGAGTACTAAACAAGTGTTACATCACTTATGGGACTGTACACGTGGCACCTTAATAACTTTTAAAAGATTGAGAAAGTAATCAGATTTGTGTAGCCATCGGATTGGAATGGGTAGCCAGCCCAAGTACCCCCACCCATATTAATATCCCACCCTTATATTATTCGTACTATCTCTATAATGGCAAAGGAACACAAATTGTAGAGTCCAGACCAGGGTTTCCCAAACCGTCGGGGTTGAGTTTACCGCGCCTCGGCGGTAACATGTTACCGTGGCAAACCGTACGAAATCGTATAAAATTTATCAAAATTTTAAATTATTTTTAAATTTTATTTGAATCTAAGTAGGTTACCGCGGTTTTTCTTTTACCGTACCCCTGCGGTAAGCGCGGTAATCACGCGGTTACCAGTGGTTTTGTTAACCCTGGTTCGGACAAAACAATATTTAGCTCAAACAGTCGATAGGGGTCACTAGGTATCCATCACTATGTTGCGTTCTCTCCTACACTTTTTCAACCTCTACTCTCTTACTCCCTCCATCACATAATAAGCGCAACTGTGGGTTTCAGTGCCTAATATTTGACCATCCGTCTTATATAAATTTTTTTATGATTAGTATTTTATTGTTATTGGATGATAAAATACAAATATTACTTTATGCGTGACTTAATATTTTAATTTTTTTTATAAATTTTTTAAATAAGACGGACGGTCAAACGTTGGACATGGAAAGTTATGACTGCACTTATAATGGGACAGGTGGAGTACTATTCACGTGCACGTTTTACAAACTGCTAAACGGTGTTTTCTAGAAAAAAAATTAGAGGAAAGTTACTTTTACAAATCATATTAATTTATCTTTTAGGTATTTTAACTGATACTTAATTAATCGTGGTGAACCGTTACTTTGTTTTACCTGTGAGAGGGAAAAATTTCTAACCATTATACACATACACGGCCTCTCCAGTGGTCTGTGTGTCTTGATTGTTACCCTCTGTTCTGACCTGCATTTTTTTATGTGGAAGTGGCAAGAGTATTGCCGAATATATTAGAAAGATAGAGTTGAATCTATTTATAAGGAAAACCGGACCCAAAAACCATACAATAGCACGGTTTGCTAAAGTAAAACCGGCGAAAACCTTATACAGAAGACAAAAAAAAAGCCTGAGGCAAAACAACTATGAACCGCAGAAGACCGAGGGAAGAGCAAGACCCTAAGACAAAACCTTCAAGAAGGTAAACAACGACATAAGCCACTATCAACACCCGACCAACACTGCACTGGGTTATCACCCAAGGGGGGAGAGAGTTCACAAGGCAACACCTCCAAGGAGAAAACGACACCCGCAGGCGTCGATATTGCCGATTCTGTAAGAGCAGGCAGGGCTTTCACCTCGTACTCCCTCAAAAGGTGCAGAATCTCCAAGAAGCCAGAGCAAAACTCTCTCACCATGGAGGTAAGCACACCGCTCCAACCTCAGCACCACAACAAGTTCAGAAAACCACAGGGCACGTGAAGTACCGGTGAGGCCTAAGAGCCCTAACTACAGATAGACAGGACTAATACCGTGAACGAACAAACTCCTCAAACACCGAAAGAGACCACGACTGGATCTGGAAACAGACGGCCAAGGGAAGGAGGGGGGAGGCACCAAGGAGGCATGGTCGGCCTGGAGAGGAACTGAGAGCTGAAGACAGGGCACCAAGACATCGGTGTTAACAATGTTTCCGGTGAGGAACTCCGGGCTTCGCGGGGTAATAAAAAAACTGTGACAACCACATGCAACTTCACCACCAGCGTAGAGAGAGAAGCGCTGGGGGAAGGGGAGAGGGGATGGTCTCCCCCAACAACTTGTGCCGAGAGGTGGCACATTTTATTTTTTTAGTTCCTGACCTTTTTTTCTGGCTTTTAGCAGTTTAGCGCCATGGCGGCATGGCCACCTGCACTAGCCTCTTACGCTCCTCTATCTCTTCACCAATCCTACCATTGCCGCTCATCACATTGTAGTACAAAATTCTTAATAGGTGCTCCCTCCTTTCCTAAATAATATTTAGACGCTATTGACTTTTTTAAATATGTTTGACCGTTCATCTTATTCAAAAACTTTTGTTAAATATGTAAAATTATATGTATACATAAAAGCATATTTAACAATAAATCAAAAGATAGGAAAATAATTAATAATTACTTAAATTTTTTAAATAAGATAAATGGTCAAACATATTTAAAAAAATCAACGGCGTCAAATATTTAAGGACGGAGGGAGTATCAATTTATAGGTGTTGATTCATTTAAAATCGACACCTATTAACCGTTTCACACCTTCACGGGGTGGAAAAATATAAAAACCGAACCCTTTAAACCACTAATAGGTGTCGATTTTTAGATAAAAACCGATACATATAATTATACACTCGTCTACCTATTAGTCAATGTATGTTTCATTGTAACCATCCTAGACTTTTCTCTAATCTTAGAGAAGTCCCCTCTTTTCCTCACCTCAAGAGGCCTCTCCACTTTGCCCCAATCTCTTATAACCATAATATTGTGAGTTTTTGAAGAAGCAAGCTTTGCTGATGATTTTGACAAAGTTAGTGTCACGAAGAGATTTCTCCTCGTGGACCGAAAATTCTAGTGTTTATTTTATTTAAATCAGTTGAGTGATAGATGGTTTAGAAAAAAAAAGGCTAATAGTGATTATGATCGTCAATGTTAGTTTTCATTTAAAAAGTAGCATTGGTTGACTGTCACCAGAAGATGAGCCCGGCATCATCATGGGACCTCTATTTGGAAGGAAAAATGGTTTTCTTTGCATGCTAGTTCATCGGGCAGTTTGTACAGTTGCGAAGTAGTGCTCATCTTATGTCTTTACGTCACTTGAATTTCTTAGGCCAATTAGGTTTTGCGACCCACTTGTATTATTTCAATCGAGCTTATATGGCTAACCATAATGCAGTGGGTATCTCGTAACTCGCAAGAAAGGAAAGAAAAAAGAACAGAACGTAATTAGGAGACACAAGCCTCTCGATCAGTCTCTCTGAAAGTCTCTGTATTCTGAAATCTGAACAAGATTGGAAGAGAGAAGCTAACACCAGCTCATCTTAGATTAAGTGAGATTCTCATCTCTTCCTTCACTCAAAGTTAATCTGAGCAGAGAAGAAACCATGAAGCTCCAACCATCCTAATCAATCATCAAGCCTATATATCTATATATTATTTTTTCCTCTGACATAACATGGAGTAAAGCACATGCATGTCAAACATGTGTTCAGACTATATTGTCAAGTGAATTATTCATGAATATATTCCAAACTCTACTACTCTATCTACTGCACATAATAAAACATTAGCATTACTAGGCATGGCTATAGTAAACATTAGTTAATTTCAAAGAACAGCTGTAGTTCTACGACTAGGACTCATGCTCTGAACTGAACACGGCCATGAAGGTAGATGATTTCAACTATGGCGATTATTAATCTGCAGCTTTAATTCTTGTGTGATTTTTGAAGGGTCTTTGCAGTGGTCAGGTAGTCGCCTTCTGCCACTCTGGCCTTCTCCCCGTATCCAGCTAATTAGGCTGACCAGAAACTCTAAGCTCTAATGATTAAGCGTATCTCAACTGAACAAATGATTAGCATTGATGATTACCATCTATTCTAGGCTTCTAGCTACATGGAAGACGTAACATTTCAACATATAAATAGCAGACCTACATACTGTTTCTTATAATATTTTCCTTTTAAACGTTTTTAATTTTAAAAATAGACTCCCAAAATTTATTTTCAAATCTAGACCTTTTGACCACGCCAGTCATTGGAAACAATGTTGCCACGCTGTTTCACAATGCCACCCGGGTTGGCATGGCATCACAAAAGTATTACGCCTACTGCAGGTGGCATGACGGTGTTATTTTGACACACCAGACATGTTGACGTGATTAAAAGGTTTAGATTTTGGAAACAAGTTTTAGAAGAGTTTATTTTTAAAATATAAAATATAAAAGTCTAAAATAAATAAATAAATAAATTATACATGTATTCTTGAGATCACCATTAAAGAATATCGCAGCTTTAAGAATGGTCCCAACACTTATCAACTCGCTTGAAGTACTCCCTCCGTATTTTAATGTATGACGCCGTTGACTTTTTGACCAACGTTTGACCATTCGTTTTATTCAAAATTTTTATGCAAATATGAAAATATTTATATCATGCTTAAAAAACATTTGATAACGAATCAAGTCATAATAAAATAAATGATAATTACATAATTTTTTTGAATAAGACGAATGGTCAAACGTTAGACAAAAAGTCAATAGCGTCATACATTAAAATATGGAGGTAGTATATGTATTTCATCTTGTAGAGTGGCCGAGCACTTGCCTTCAACTTCCAAACTAACTTGGTTTTAAAAAGAAGTTCCAAACTAACTTGGTATAAAAAGTAGCATTGATCTAACTAGGCTCTTTTCATCTAAAATTATGAAAAGGATCGATGATGGTTGTTTTCTTAAACAATTGTGGAAAGGTATATGTGGTGTGTACCAATCAAACCATCATTGTCCATGCTTATTGTAGTTCTTTTTTTAATAAGGTATAAAAAT